GTATTTGTTGGTAGTTTGTGTACAACTTAATGTCTCATGTTTGTCTTCTCGTTGACTGTCAGGTGTGCTGATAATTCCTTGGCATTTCTTTTTTTTCTTGTCAGTGAATCAAAAGTTTCGCACCATGTATTCAAGTATTAATGTTGAGAAGATTTTTTCTTCTTGTAGAATGTCACAAATTGCAGTTGAGAAAAAAAACTTCAAACTTGATAGAGAAGGGAGGTAATTTACTCTTGGCTGGTTATTAACAAAAGAAACAATGAGCAGTATGTTTATTTCCTTTCAATTGTCTCTTTACTGCGCTGTTTCTTATCAGTTACGATACTGTGTTTGCATGGTGTTGGGTTTTTACCACAGACCCTATTGTTTGTGATGTGTCTGGAATAATGCTAAAGTGCATAGCACTCTACTCACTCACTTAGGTTTGAAAAATATATTAGTAAAGTAATAAAAAAAGCTGTTGATGTAGCACCTGGATAAAACCATCTGCGACCAGATTTAGATTTAGCTGATTTAGTGACATCATTTCAGTGGTGTGCACTGAAGGATTTAACAGTCACTTGAGCTCACAAGCTTTAATTCATTTGACACCTCGACTCACATCAGTGTAACTGTAGGAAGGGAGGTAGAGCAGTTGTACAAGAAGATTTGGAGAACAAGTTGAGAACCTCATTCTAATGCTATCACCATAGAAGGTCAGTGGTTTGTCGTTACCCTAATATAAATAGACAAGTATATATAGGATTATCGTGGTCTTCAGGCAGACAGTGATCAAGGTGCACTAAATGCTTTAGTGTTGTAGTGGAGACAGTGTTGAAGCTGTAGTGTTGTAGTGGAGGCAGTGTTACAGTGGAATTAGTGTTATTGTGGAGACAATGTTGTAGTGTAGGTAGTGTTGTAGTGTAGGTAGTGTTGTAGTGGAGGCAGTGTTGTAGTGGAATTAGTGTATTGTGGAGACAATGTTGTAGTGGAGGTAGTGTTGTAGTGGAATTAGTGTTGTAGTGGAGGCAGTGTTGTAGTGGAATTAGTGTATTGTGGAGACAATGTTGTAGTGGAGGTAGTGTTGTAGTGGAATTAGTGTTATTGTGGAGACAATTTGTAGTGGAGGTAGTGTTGTAGTGGAATTAGTGTATTGTGGAGACAATTTGTAGTAGAGGTAGTGTTGTAGTGGAATTAGTGTATTGTGGAGACAATGTTGTAGTGGAGGTAGTGTTGTAGAGGAATTAGTGTTATTGTGGAGACAATTTGTAGTGGAGGTAGTGTTGTAGTGGAATTAGTGTATTGTGGAGACAATGTTGTAGTGGAGGCAGTGTTGTAGTGGAATTAGTGTATTGTGGAGACAATGTTGTAGTAGAGGTAGTGTTGTAGTGGAATTAGTGTATTGTGGAGACAATGTTGTAGTGGAGGTAGTGTTGTAGTGGAATTAGTGTATTGTGGAGACAATGTTGTAGTGGAGGCAGTGTTGTAGTGGAATTAGTGTATTGTGGAGACAATGTTGTAGTAGAGGTAGTGTTGTAGTGGAATTAGTGTATTGTGGAGACAATGTTGTAGTGGAGGTAGTGTTGTAGTGGAATTAGTGTTGTAGTGGAGGCAGTGTTGTAGTGGAATTAGTGTTGTAGTGGAGGCAGTGTTGTAGTGGAAGCAGTGTTGTCGTGGAGGTAGCATTGTCGTGGAGGTAGCATTGTCATGGAGGTAGCATTGTCGTGGAGGTAGCGTTGTAGTGGAGGCAGTGATGTCGTGGTGTGGTGGAGGGAGGGAGAAGTATGTGTAACATGATAGTGACACAGATACCCAGTTGGTGCAGATCCATCCTTGGTCTGCTGCTGCAGCTCCCCGATACACACATTCAGGTTCTTGCAGGCCCACTATTTTTACTGAGATGGCAACATGATTTATGTGCGACTGAAACGTTTTTCCTTGTCCCTTGCTACTTTTGCAAAAGTTCTTTTTTGCCCTGGATGCCAGCATTCTTGGTTTGACTACTGGTTTACTAGGGTTTGTTAAACAATATATTTGTCAGATGTATGCTGTCAGATATCATGGTAAAAATACTGACATCAAATGTTTTACCTTTGCCTACCACGTAACACTGGAAGGAGAAAACGTCTGCAAGCAGTTATATGGTGGAAATATTTGCACACTGGATGCATAAAAGTGGGTTGGATATCAATTTTAAACCAATCATCTTAGAGGAAATAATCATTTTATAACCAGGGATAATGTACAATGAAACATTACTTACTGGAGTTGCTAATGATGTGACCATCAAGTTTAATTTACTCATGCAATCATTGAATATATACTAGTCAAAGGGAGTTAAAGAACATCCAATTCTTTGATATGACTATGCTTAATCTGTCATGCATTGACAGATTAACTATAGTAATATCAAAGAGTCGGGTGTTCTTTAACTTCTTTTGAGTAGTATATATTGACTTCCGTAATCGACGTAATAAGCGCCAGCTTTAATAGGCGCCCACAGCGATATTTGCATATATATTGGCTAGTGAACGATCCCAATTAGCACCCCTTCCGATTGATCAATGTACACTTATTTATTTGTGTATTATACACACTCGTGTGTTATATACACCCTTAATTATGGGCAATTAAATTCTGAAAAATATATCTGTCATGTTCTTTTGTATCATTTCAGGCTGTCAGCATAAACCACAAAATTTACGATCTTTCCAATGTTTTGTTTTCTCACCAAAATTATATTCTAATAAGAGCCCCCTATTTCTAACTTTGAGAGCACCCTGGGTGCTTATTATGTCGAATACGGTATTCATAGTTTGAAACAAGCAGAATGGCACTTTTATGTTCTCTGTGAGGATTCTCCTGGGACCAGAACGTTATGTCGTCTGCAATATTTGTGAGTGAAGAACGTTTCACTGTACACAGTCACATCAATGATATTTTCCACATTTTGGACTATCCCATGTCCTTTGAAATAACCATTGAGTCTCATGATTAAGGCTGAAAAGGATTAGGGGACAGTAGTAGCACAGTCGTCTAAGATGGTAGTTGGCTGTGCAGAGTTACTTCCCTTAAGCATGCCAGAAACCTATTAGTGAGGGTTCAAATCCCAGTTTACCCTGATTAAGTTTCTAGGTTTGTCAGCACCATTCCCATGCTCGTGGGTCTAGGACGTGCATCACTTCAGGTTTCTTTAGGTTTCCTCCTACCTTAGGTTTCCATGCCTTGATGTAAATAAAATACCTTTCAATGTGGTATTTCACTATGCAAATAAAATACTGTTAAAAGCGGCTTTAAATGAAAGAAGTAAAACACTGTTCACACAGCGTTATGTTTATGTCACACACTCATTATTTAAGAAATAAATGATGACCATGAGTCATTTATTTCTTAGGAGATATCAATATTATGTACAGCCGCTATCATAATGTTGATGAAATGTAAAGAGCTTTAAAAAATGTTTATTCACATTGTAATAATGATGACTTCCTGAATAGAATCCAAATTCGGAATGTCGGACAAGTACATTCTATGAACAGGTGGTAAGTTTGGTATGTCCCTTATATTCTCACGTCGATTATCTGTACTTTTTCTCCTGATACCAATTGTCATATCTCTCTCACTTTTGGATGCGATCGTTCGGCAACTGCGTTTATCTGCCAAGCCCAGCTACATCTATGGCAAACAATTTACAAGACATTTTTCTCTCAAAAATAGAGTCGTCCAATATATCATATCAAGTAGCAAGCGCTTATTTGAATCTCCAGAAATGACGTCATGATAGAACAGTGTTTTATCGTGAAACAAACCACGCTTCGTTCTTTATTGTTCTTTCCGATTTATCGTGTAGCTATCTTATACATAACGATAGTGCATAGTTGGTCTGTGGTAGCTTTAGCAAGAAAACTGTATATGACAGGCAGATAGTAGTGTCTCTGGTGTATACGTGATGTATACAGCTGCAGTATTGCCATTGTGATGCGTGTCATGGTGTCCAGGATGCTGGTGGATGTCATAGCTTTTCAAGGTTATATATGCTATACTGTTTGTGTTTGTCAGACGACATGACCCTACATGGTATTGAGTTGAAAACATCCAATGTATCTTTGCGATGTAGTCTTTTGTGATTTTTTCACCCATAAAACATGATAAGTTTTGTTGTAGACCTTCATGGTGAATGCATTCTGTGCTGGAAACTTTTGATTCTACTAGCCCAAACATGGCTCTTAACATCATTTTTGTTCAATTTTAGTGTTATCATATGTACTATTATTAACTGAGCGTACTTATCCGATCAGAACTTTACTACTCAGGCTTCAGATTTGTGGTTAAAGTCACAGACTGTTCCTGAATTAAGGAGAATTTATGGATGTCAACTTTTTTATTGTGAGGAGCACACTGTTGATGATGAAGGAGTAAGTATATACTCCGAAACGTTATGTTCCTCATATAAAGAAGTTGACATCCATAAACTCTCCTCCTTATGTGCATCATTTCTAAATGCCTTTCAAAGATATGTCAGTGAATTGGTGCATACTTTTTATGTTTTACATTTTTATTTTTATATTTTACCCTGAATCAGAAGTTTTGCTACTATTTACAGCAAGTTTTGAACAATCTGTTATGTAAACCATCTTGCAGTAATTAATTGAGTAAATTGACCCGTGAAGATCCGGGTAGAATGTCTTCGGCAACCCATGCTTGCCGTAAAATGCCACTATGCTTGTTGTAAAAGGCGACTGAAGGGATCGGGTGGTCAGGCTCACTGACTTGGTTGATGCATGTCATCGATCCCAAGTCCTAGGATTGGTGCTCATGATATCAATCACTGGATTGTCTGGTCCAGACTTGATTATTTACAGCCCGCCGTCATATAGCTGGAATACTGCTGAGTGCAGCGTTAAACAACAAACAAACAACATTGAGTAAATTAATGATCAACAAGGTGAAACATTGTTCAAATTCTTTCATCAAGGTGGAAAGTTTTATGAGGGAAGTAAATGTGAATTGTTTCTTTCCAGTTCCCCAGCACAAGATGTCGAACGGAAAAGCATCCGGAGATGCGAGGTATCGCGGAGTGCCAAAGGACAGTGACTGCAATGGCACTGTTGTTGTGGAGGAGAGTACGGTGTCCCTGAAGAAGCGAGTCGGTCTTGTTAGTGGGACTGCGCTAATTGTTGGAACCATGATTGGTAAGGTCAACAAGATGTCAAGTAGTGGGATCTCATGGTCAACTCATACACTGAGGAGTGCATGGTTCAAAATGACTTGTCTACTCATTCATTGTAAATATCGACGTGTGAAGATCCGGGGTAGAATAGGTCTTCAGCAACCCATGATGCCGTAAAAGACGGCTATGCTTGTCGTAAGAGGCGACTAACCGAATCGGGTGGTCAGGCTCGCTGACTTAGTTGATGCATGTCACCGTATCCGAATGGTGTGGATCAGTGCTCATGATATCAATCACTGGATTGTCTGGTCCAGACTCGATTATTTACAGACCACCGTCATATAGCTGGAATATTGCTGAGTGCGGCGTTAAACAACAAACAAACAAATTTATGTGACTTATGTGAAATATAACTGTATTAGCAGACAAGATTTTAGAATAATGCCATAAGTATTTGCTACTGTTTTCAGTATTGTTTATGTTCATTAAGGCAAGTGTCATTTGGTACTCATGTTTGTCTTTGTCAACAGATTATTTTCCAAGAACCAAGGAACATGCAGTGTTCAAGGCATAAAACTGTTTGGAATATCTTTGCATTGACTTAATCCACAACTTTGACATGGCCTCAAATATGTGATATAAACTACTCAAAGAAGTTAAAGAACACCTATTCTTTCGTATTACTATTGTTAATCTGTCGTAGTGTTGTTTTAACTTCTATTAGTAGTATATGTCTCTTACCACCAAGGGGGGGGGGCGGTCGGGTAGCCTAGAGCTCGTCACGCCGAAGACCCGGGTTCGATTCCCGACATGGGTACAATGTGTGAAGCCCAATTGTGGTGTCCCCTGCCGTGATATTGCTGGAATATTGCTAAAAGCGGCGTAAAACCATACTCACTCACTCTTACCACCAGTTTTGACATTCGGTGCTACTGGATATGATTCATGAAGGACCTGGTTACTTGTCTGTGTGGCAATAGTCAGATGATACTGATAATGTTCTCTTGGTCACTTGCCCTAAACCTGACACATTTGTCATCGGACCACTTAACTTTCATTATTAATTTCTGACACTGCAAATAGTTGTGACAATATCGCCTTGGTAAAATCTTAGGTTCAAATAATGGCTAGGTTTGTTTCTCTCATAATCCTGTCATTATTTCTCATAAAATGTTTGCCGATTGAGTTGTGGGTAGTGTTTGTTTCTGGAGGTTAATATGAGGGTAGTATTTGTTTCTGGAGGTTAATATGAGGGTAGTATTTGTTTCTGGAGGTTAATATGAGGGTTGTGTTTGTTTCTGGAGGTTAATGTGAGGGTAGTGTTTGTTTCTGGAGGTTAATGTGAGGGTAGTGTTTGTTTCTGGAGGTTAATATGAGGGTTGTGTTTGTTTCTGGAGGTTAATGTGTGAGGGTAGTGTTTGTTTCTTGAGGTTAATATGAGGGTAGTGGTTGTTTCTGGATATGAATATGAGGGTAGTGTTTGTTTCAGGAGGTTAATATGGGAGTATTAACCTCCATTCAGTATTTCTACATAACACTTTCTATACACATTAAACTTCATGTATAATGCAAGAAAAACTACCGTATATGACCGCGGATAAGCCGACCCCGTAGATAAGCCGAGGTGTTAATTTGACCATTGAAATACGAAAGAAAATGATATGACCCGCAGATAAGCCGAATCAGGAATTGAAAGACAAAAAACACTGCGAAGTCGGACTGCAAGACATGTGCCGGTACTCGCAGATATTCAAAAATATAAGATGAAAAACGTTGTAATTATATTGAAAAAGTCATTATTATTTCTAATAAAGATTTAACAAACCAGTCATCCACTTTCATAATGTGGGAAGCTGTTTCTCGTGGGTTTTTTTAATCTCATAATGATCGTTATAGTTGCCATCAACAACCAAGCGCCATTTTGTGAATCGGTGTATATAGAATTCTGAACCCGTGAGAAAATATATTAGCTGGAGCGAAAACTCGCAGTTTGAATTCAGCATCGTAAGCATGGCGTTTTCGTTTAAAACTCATGATGAAAATGTCAGTCAGTAAAAATATACCAACTTTTATAACCCCCTTTACACCACTATTGTATGTTAATCCAATTGAATTAAATAAACTATCATACTATGAACACATTGAATGACCATCACTTACTCACAGGCTTTTCCAGTTTATTAAACTAATCTCTCGAAAACAAAGGAATTAAGCCCCTACTCCCAACACGATCGCTAAGCACCCACAACTTGAAAATGTTTGTGTAAACAACATGACAATAGCAATCGGCCCGTTATTTTCAATGCTGATTTCCTTGTGTACCGTGTTGCTTTAAACAACAGGAAGCAATCACAGTGGTCACCGTTTGTGACGTCACAGGAAACAGCTGATCACATGTTTTTGCAAATGGCGAACGGAATAACTCGCCGATACAGTTGTTTATTTGCCCCTTTCAATAAAGGTAGACACTTGTTCACTATCAATTTATGAACTTTGCAAAACGTACGTAATAGCTATTGGCGATTTTATCTGGGGATTATATATTATAGCTGTGAATTACGTATATTGTTACATGTAAAGATTGTGGAGTTGACGAAGAACGATAAACTTTGAACATTCAATTGAAAACTTATTATCGGAAGTAGTAACATGCATAACATTTTTTTAATAATGACAACATTGGTGTATAATAATAACTTTATTGATAATTTATAACAATAATGGCTCTAGTTGTGGCAACTTCCAAACTTTCGGGAAGTTGTAATCTATCGGACCGTCATTCAGGCGATGTTTCTGACAGATCACGATCTGAAAAATACTATCATGAAAGTGTATCCCGTGGATAAGCCGACCCCTTTCTACAGAATCTTTTTTCTGGTCCTCAAAATTCGGCTTATACGCGGTCATATACGGTAAATTATTATCTTATTGAAATATGATAATTGACAGTTTTGCTTTTGATAGGGATATCATGGGCGGATACAGCTTTTTTGAAAAGGGGGGGTGCACAATTAAGATCTATTTATTGTCTTTGGTGGTAATTTATACAGAAATAAAGATTTTTTTTGAAATAAAAGGGGGGGGGGGGGTGCGCACCCCCGCACCCCCCTCCGTATCCCCCCATGGATATTTTCATCTTTCCGTGATACACAAAACTGATTGTCATAATAGGTCAAGTGTGTATTTGAGAGAGACAAGCAAGGGATGCTGAAGACACTAGTTCATATTTCGTATTTAAAAGGGTGGGGTATATCGATGACTTTGTTGTGCCAGTGTCGTCAATATGGTGAAGTGTCGATCATGCTAAGTGTGACTGCCTGTAACATAGTATAATTAAACCGGCAGTAAATCACGGTTGTCATTAACCTGTTATTAATAGTTGGGAGAGCCAGACTGAGGTAAACAAGCAACATCTGTGAGATGACTGATACAGTCAAGCGCTGCCTCGCACTATTTACTTGCCTCTCACTCTCAGTGTAGCAGTTCTTTATGATAGCACTCTCTCCCAGACCCACCTCTTACAAACCTGCCATCACAGATATATATCATAGGGCCATTAGAGACACAGCCTTGAAATTAAGGTTGAATGTCCAAAAGCCCTTTCCATAACTTTCACAGGGATTTCTCTGATTTAAAACTAAGTGTCCTGGCAAGAAAATGAGAAAAAATGGATTGGATTTGTTTTTAAAGATCTTATTTTTGTACATTCAGAGGTGTTTGAACTTTTCATTCAATGCAATAATGTAAAATTACCGTATTCGACGGAATAAGGGCGCTCTCAAAATTAGAAATAGGGGGCTCTTATTAGAATTTTATTTTGGTGAAAAAAAGACAGAGCTGAAAGATAAATTTCGTGGTTTATGCTGACAGCCTGAAATGTTTATGTACGACAGATATATTTTTCCAGAATTTAATTGCCCATAATTAAGGGTGCATATAACACACGAGGGCGTATTATACGTGAATAAATGAGTCTTGTGTACATTGATCAATCCTAAGGGGTACTAATTGGGATTGTTCACTAGCCAATATATTACAAATATCGCTGTGGGCGCTTATGAGAGCGGGGCGCTTATTACGTCGAATACGGTAAGCATTAAAGCCTGTTCTTTATAGGACTATTTATCAGTGAAATATAAAGCCATGCAATAACTTTAGTTATGCGTATATTATTAAGTAGAAGTAGAAGATGAACTGGAAAATATGTAATTCCAGTTTGGGAAAATTTACTGATATTTTGTTCAGATGGCATGATTCATTGCCCACAATATCAATCACTGGATTGTCTGGTCCAGACTGCCATGCTTTAGTTGTAATATTGCTGGTGTTGAACAACATACATAGAAAAACAATATGAGGTCCATACTGGGTTCATTACTTTTAGGGTAACGCTATTTTTCAGGGCATTATCATTTGCAGAAGCCCGAGGTCTTTCATTAACTTTCAGGAGGGCAGTTGAAAGGACCGAGGGCTTCTGCAAATGATAATGCCCTGAAAAAGAGCGTTATCGTTATTATAGCTAAAATGGATGGAATTTGTTATCAAATAAAAAGACAAAACAATATCGGTTTTGAAACATTTACTGCAATCAACACGAATGTCACTGACCCACTTTCACAAATATGGAAACGTCATAGAACAAACCAGATGACATCACTATTAAACATGGCATCACTTTCCCTACCCTATGACATCACCTAACAACAGGCCTGTTAATGGCCCGTCGTCAAGCAATATGAGGGCATTATCAAGTTACAGTAGCCTGCTCATTTCTGATAACGTGCGGGCGGTTTCATGATAATTCTATCCATTTTAGCTATAAAAGCATATAGACTTCAGAAAAGGAAAAGGAAATATGCTATTGACTTAATGACATCCATGTATATTGACTAAGGACAATCAGCTAAAGGACATGCATTGTTAGAGAGAAAGGGAAAATCTGGACCCTTGTATTACAGCTGTAGTATTTGAATCTAAGGACTCTCGTCCAACATTAGAACTAGGAAAGGACTCACGACAGTGTCAAATTTACAAGCATATTGTCACAACAGTATGCAGTGTTAGAAAAAAAGCTTGAAACTCAAGGGTTTCTTTTACTGTTAAAACGTCAAGATTTATGGAGTCCCTAGATTTAATACTATCGCAGAAAAACACCTTCGGACCCAAGGTCCCCTTCAATATCTAACACTGCATTAACTGCTATTCTACAATTATTTCAAACCCTTTTGCAGGTTGGAAGATAGGATATAACACAAGATAGGCGTTATTTGCTTGTGTGCTAGTTACTGAATTACTCTTTTCAAACCAAGCTGATAACATTGAGAGTACAGCGTGTTGAGGTATTCACTCGGGCTCAGGCCCTGGTTAGGTCTGTTGTCCTTGTTTGATAGCTGTGTCCAAATTATGTACATATTTTCCCCATAGCGTGATATATTTTGAACATCCTGACAGCCTGGTACAATAAGAAAGGTCGTTTTTCGTTTCTGACAAATTGTCAGGCATCAGTTTTGTGTCCACAGGAGATCTCATTAGGGTTGAGATAAAAATGTCTGGGGTAGATGTTTACATTTAGATTTATACGTTTTTTGTCACAATGTACAAATTTGAGATCTGAGGGGTTCACACACTGGTCTTCTGAATGAGTGAGCGCTGCAAGTCAGCAGTTTTACAGCTCTATCATTGCTGAGATCCCTGCATGAGTATCAGTATCTTGTATTACAGGCAATAACAGTTTCAACAACATGTCAAAGTTTGGAGAAGTAAATCATTGGTTTTCAAACACAATTTAATTCCATGATTTATTTACAACTATGTGTTATTATATCTTCCAGGTAAGGATAAGAATTTATGATGAACAACTTCTTTATTACAATTGCAGTTTATTACAGTTGTTCATCCATAAATTCTTATCCTTACTTAGTACTCCAACTTCTGAATGCCTATCAAAGAAGTTATTTCTTCCAGTTTGATGTAGTTCCAGAATATTTCAGTCCAGCTTAATTATTTGTTCAACAATCCCACCCGAAATATGAATAACAAGGTTTTTTTTATCATAAAACAATAGTGAATAATGATAATAATAATAAATGTAAATTCTGAAAAAAATAATTTTAAAGTACCGGTTTAGATTCTGTTATTGAAATTTATAGTAAACCTATTAATGATTTCTTTTCTAAATATGTAAGAATAAAGTTGGTTTGCATGAAGTTATGACATAATTCTATGAAATGATAATGGAATGGTGTTGATGTTTGAATTTTTCAGGATCTGGTATATTTATATCACCAAAGGGAGTATTACATGGCACAGGCTCCGTGGGATTGAGTTTGATGGTGTGGGGTGGATGTGGCCTCATCTCGCTGTGTGGTAAGGGAGACAATTCTCAGTCCGGTGCACTCTTCTGCATGTGATGGCAGCCTGGCGGCTGGTCGGCCTCCCGGCTCTCTGAGGTCGTCAGAAACTAGGACCAAGACCGATCAGTCCGACAGATGGGGCAACAAACCACACTGCAGAGAGCTAACTTGTTAAACGAGGGCTCACAATAAGACAGAAAATAGGATTTATTTCATATTTTAATTTTGGCTAAAAACAGCAGTTTCAAATTTTTTACAAAAACTCAGGAATTTTGTGTTCTATAAGTTTTATTTTGAGCCCTCTTATTGTCAACTGTCTTTCTTAATGTTAATATTGTTCTTAGGGGATCCAATCAAAATATAAGCCTCGGCTTTATCATTGGAAATAAATACGATAAATATCTCATTATTATCTGAATATTAAATACTTCTGTAAAATATTCTTTAGTTTACCTTGATGTTCTATTAATTCTTATTTTGAATGTGTATCCAATGTCAGCTTTCTTTTTAAAGAAACAAAATGATTTAACAACTGAAAAATTTGGTTTCAATGAAATGTTGATTTATGTTCACAATGTTCTTAATTCACTAATACTTTTCAGAAACAGGGGAGACAACTGATTATGAGAAGTATGTGGGAGTTACTCCCCTTCCCAATTCAACCATGTTGTTTTTCTCTTTACCTCACAGGTGCTCTGTCCTATGCCGAGCTAGGGACCCTTTTTACAAAGTCAGGAGGCGAATATGCCTACCTTGCGGCCGCCTTTGGGCCAAAACCAGCATATCTTTGTGCCTGGGCTCCCGTGTTAGTCACGAAAACCCAGTTCAGTGGCTATCATCAGTCTGGCTTTAGCTGAATATCTTTCTGAGCCTTTATTCGATGCCTGTGGACCTCCCGACATTATAAAAAAGTTACTGGCTGCTGCAGCCATATGTAAGTACACGCCCAGTCCTATATTTGACTAAACAACTTTGACAATCTAAATCTGACAAGGCCTGCCAGCAAATTGCGAAGCAGGGTTGACCGCAGGTCCCCTGGTGTCCGAATAGCTCATTCAGTGCGCCCTTCTACTACAGTTGCACTCCATGTGTCATTTTCAACCAGTGAATTGAGACTTTCACACTAAGTATCAGTTCCACTCTATCTTCGTGAGTATTTGAAACACGATACTATTCACGTTAGCATTCCATAAACTCTGAACCACAAATTCAACTTTTGATGTTTCTTTATAATATGGTATGTTTTTGATATGTCAAAGAAAAAAATTCTTGATCTTTTCTCAGGAGAGATATCTTTATTTTTGACCTGGTGTTACAAATGTTCTTGTGGAGATCAAGTTGTTATCAGCTCCACCAAGGGTTATATCCCCCTGCAGTTTTGGCTTAACATGCTAAATTTCAAAATCCAAAATAAAAAAAACTTTGGCTTTAATATATTTAACTGTCTGAAATGTATGATATTCAGTGAATACTTTTCAGATGCTATGTTCTTATTCAGTTATTTAATACATTCTTTAATAGTTAAAATAGAAAATTTGATTATTTCTCCATTAAACCTAATTTAGTAGGTAATTCTGTTGTGTACGTACAAATAAATGTAGCTGCTTCACTCCCCTTATGAGAGATCAAATTGAATGTTAGCCTTTCATGAAACCAGGGCATATTCTTATAAATCACAAAGCCATTTGAAGAAGTTGAGTTGCTTTAATTCAATAGGTTAGTTGAAGTTCATGGAAGCAAAAATCCTGTTTGGTAGTATGTTGGGATTGCTGTTTTGTCAAATAAATATACAATCATACTGACATCAGCAAAACGAACAATAACTGACTACCTGAGGAAGAACATATTCAAAACCGATCTTAACTCTTGACATAAGCCATAAAAGCAATGTTCCAGCATTGAAAACTACATTGAAACTAATTGGTTACGCAGTGTCCGGATTCGAACTTTCCTTGTGCTCTCATCTCATTAACATACGTCTTACAGTTGTTTTTGTACAGTTCATTAGTTTCATCCAAACAACCAGGTATTAATTAATAACAGTAATTTAAACTTAAATCTTTTCAGCTGTTGGTGCAATCAGTGACTCTAACATGATAGCCAAGTATTGTCTATCAAATAAATCAGATACAGATCTTTCATATAAAATAAGTCCGCCCTCCTATACTGTATGCTTGGGCTACAAGAAAGCAGTAAGACAACCTTGCTTTCTCCATAGTTGTAGTTGCCAGAGTATAAATGTGTTTTTTTAATAATTCGTTTATTTTTCTAGAGCATTTACTCAGTTTTGCATAACAGTATATTATAACAAAGCTTATTAAAGTAATCTCTATTACACTTAATGACGGAAGTCAATCTCATTAAAATCAGATCTTAACACAAAGATCTGAGGATATCCCATTAGGGGTCACGTCAGAACGACTTTTCATCCGACCAATCAGAGCGTCGCTTACCAAATCATGAAAGTGACAGTTGAAATGTGATTTCTAATTCTGCAACCTAGAAAACCTTAACACAGGGTATTCTGAACGATAGTTACGGGCTTAACGACTGAATCTATACAATCTGGACCATCTATTAGCCATTCCAGAATTTTCTTTTGTTCAGGTTTCAAATTTTTAATCGAGAATTTTTCAAAATATGTTTCGAAGCGTAGTTGCCAATTTGAGATTAGTGCCTTTGCGCAAGGTCGGTCTGACGTGACCTGTAATGGGGTGTTCTCATGTCTTTGTTTAGCGGTAGTGAGAACTAAGATCTGATTTTAATGAGATTGTGACGGAAGTATAGTTTGTTAACATATAAAATTCAGTGAGCTTCTGAATCAGTTGGAATGTTTATAACCCAAACGAAGATTTAATCTTCATATTGTTACCAGTTTTTGTGTTTTGAGCAATATCCAAATTTCCATGACTCGCCAGATGGAGCTCACTTTGTTACATTCCCAAAATATATATATAAGTATAAAGTTATTAAGGTAGCATCTCAAACAATATTAGTTATGTGAAATTAGATTGGAAGTGTACAAAAATTGTAATACCTTTGAGTAAAAAGTAAAGGACATTTGTTTGTTAACCTACATATCTTTTTTCCTGATTTAATTATCCAGGATACATAAAAAAAACATAATCTAACAACATAATAAGGCAATATTGAACATTCTCTTTAATATCAGCTGCACAAGTGTTATAGCAATCTAGATTACATGTATAAAATGGTGGCTTTATTGCTATTCTGTAATAACTCTATAACCATCTTGTTTTCAAACTGTTTACAATAAAATTATTGTCTCTATACTGGGAAAAAGCCCTTCAGTTTGTATTTGATAATTGTAGGATTTATTTTGTTTAGGATACAAGAAATAGACCATCCACTTCTTGGAACTTTCAAATTTGCAATTTCAACTCTGATGCAGATAAAGGGGAGATAATTCTTACCATGCTGAGTTTATGTACATGGTGACGTGAATAGACTGATATACGATATTAAGCCAGTCACAGACCAGCTTGTTGGCTACAGTGTCATCTTACAGTTTCATAAATCGCAAGGCTTCAGTCTCATCATCCAAGCCTGTATCACACGGTGACAATGATACCTGCATCAGTCATACATACAGTGAAAAACACAGTCATCGATAGTCGAACACAGTCATACATACAATGAAAAACACAGTCATAGATAGTCAAACAGTAACATGTAATCAAACTAAGGGGGTCATAGATATAGTCAAACACAATCACATGTAATCAAACTAAGGCAGTCATAGATACAGTCAGACACAGTCACATCTAATCAAACTAAGGCAGTCATAGATACAGTCAGACACAGTCACATCTAATCAAACTAAGGCAGTCATAGATACAGTCAGACACAGTCACATGTAATCAAACTTAGGCAGTCATATATACAGTCAGACACAGTCACATCTAATCAAACTAAGGGGGTCATAGATACAGTCAGACACAGTCACATCTAATCAAACTAAGGCAGTCATAGATACAGTCAGACACAGTCACATGTAATCAAACTTAGGCAGTCATATATACAGTCAGACACAGTCATATCTAATCAAACTAAGGCAGTCATAGATACAGTCAAACACAGTCACATGTAGTCAAACTAAGGCAGTCATAGATAGTCAAACACAGTCACATCTAATCAAACTAAGGCAGTCATCGATACAGTCAAACACAGTCACGTAGTCAAACCAAGGCAGTCATAGATAGTCAAACACAGTCACATGTAATCAAACTAAGGCAGTCATAGATACAGTCAAACACAGTCAAGTCATAGATAATCAAACACAGTCAAGTCATAGTCAAACACAGTCAAGTCATAGATGCAGTCAGGTCATAGACAATCTGTCATAAATCACACATGCAGCCATACAGCCCCAATCATGCAGTGAGAGTCAGTCATGTAGACACACAGCCATACCAAAATACAAACTTAATCATGTAATAAGTTATTTGTTCATACACACCTGATTACCATTGATGCATGGCTTGGGTGGGAGCTGAGGGCAATATTTATTTGAAAAAGATTAAAGCATTCATCCCAAATACAAGTAGTCAAAATCTTCTCAAAATTCAAGTCTTGTTATCTGAGTCAGAATTTTTATATTGATATTCTAGAGAAGACGAAGTTTTGTACCAGTTCAGTGAAATAACATCGGTGATAAATCAGTTTTAATTGTGAATAAATTACACTCTTATTTATGTATCTTTGACAAATTTAATGAAAATTGTGAAAATGTAACTTGTTTTCACCTTTTATATCTATAAATGCTATATTTTCTTATAACTCTATGGTTATTGAATGTGTGATGGTATGAGTGTATAGCTGCTACCCCTGCTTCATGGCACATTAGTGGTGTATATATATATGTATATATACTTGGCATATGATAAGTGTGCTTAAGGCACTACCCCGTATACAATGGTCATGTGGTATTAGAGTTGAATGCTTTTACTCATTGGTCAGTTTTTCTTCTATATATCTCATGTATCACAACTAAGCTGGGCCTGTTATTAATTATCATTTTTCTTCTTTCAGCATATTGTTAATTCTAGGATTTCTTCTATTCCAGATATCAAATAACGATTTGTTTTTTCTTAGGTACCAGAAATAACAGAACTTTTGCTTTGCTTTCAGTAAGAAAATGCAATGACTTGTTTGTCAGTGAAATTTCAAATGTGCTTCCATCTAGTTGTTTTTACAAAAAAATATATAAAATATGTGTCACCAAATGAATAAGAATTTTTTTTATATATAGCCACATACATTTATCTTGAAGTGATAGAGTGAAGTTTCACGAATCTTCCTTCATCAAATAAATGTTACCACAGTAACAATCTAACAGCAGCTATGTAACCAAGGTTACTTTCTCCATTGCCATGGTTACTAAAATTATCAATTTGAAGCACAGTTGAAGTTTTTTACTGTCTAGCAGTGAGTCTACAGCTGTCTTTTGTACACAATTCCTGCCCCTCCCTATCCCTACCCTACCCTCACCCCACCCCTTCCGGTTAGAGAGTATGTGAGTTGAGAGTGAATGAAAGCTTGACTCAGACCCTAACCGCCATGTTGTTGCTAACACCACCCTACAAAGTCTGTCTGTTTATGCGGAACAGGAGCCCTGACATACGCCGAGCTTGGTACGATGATCACCAAGTCGGGAGCGGAGTATGCCTACATCCTGGAAGCATCTCGCTCATCTATGCCCCCGTGGCTTGCTCCCGTGCCTGGCTTCCTGTTTGCCTGGGTGTCCATTCTCATCCTGAAACCTGCACTGTTTGGAGTTGTGGCCCTTAGCTTTGGCATCTACGTAGCGGAGCCATTCTACGATGGCTGCAGTCCACCTGGCTACCTAGTGAAGCTCATCTCCATCCTGTGTATGAGTGAGTATGTTTTGTATGCTTTGTTTGTTTTTTATTTTTGTTTAATGCCACACTTGGCAATATTCCAGGAATAGCTATATAGCGAGAGATTGTAAAAAATTGAATGTGGACCTGATAATTTTGTGATTGACATCATGAGCATCAATCTATGCAAATGTTCACATGGATCAACCAAGTCAGCGAGCCTGACCACCTGATCCTGTTTGTCACCTCTGCACAGTACACAGCACTTTCTGCAGTGTCAGAAATCCAGAAATGTTTCTAGGTTTGTCAGGACCATACCCATGCTCATAGGTGATAAAAGTCCTGCATCACTTCAGGCTTTCCTCCCACATCAAGCTGACATGCCGAGATATAACTGGAATACTGTTCAAACCGGTGTTAAACCCAACTGAGAACCGGTAAACGTCTGAGAACTGCATCACTTCAGGCTTTCCTCCCACATCAAGCTGACACGCCGTGATACAACAGGAATACTGTTCAAACCGGTGTTAAACCCAACTGAGAACCGGTAAACGTCTGAGACCTGCATCACTTCAGGCTTTCCTCCCACATTAAGCTGACACGCCGTGACACAACTGGAATACTGTTCAAACCGGTGTTAAACCCAACTGAGAACCGGTAAACATCTGAGAACTGCATCACTTCAGGCTTTCCTCCCACATTAAGCTGACACGCCGTGATATAACTGGAATACTGTTCAAACCGGTGTTAAACCCAACTTATTCACGCACTCATGTACTTCCAAGACTTGTTGAGTTGTATTATGATACTGGTATATCTGATTCTTTCAGTGGTAGTGTCCTTCATCAACTGCTACAGTGTGGAGTGGGCAACTAAGGTCCAGAATTTCTTTACATTCACCAAGCTGCTGGCTCTCGTGATGATCATAGTTGGAGGATTTTACAAAATGTCAAAAGGTTTGTCCCCCATTCTGTCGTGCTGTGTGCTGATGTGGCAGCTTTTTGGACATGGTGTTGTCAGCTGTTCTTACTTTCTTTCCACATTTCTGGTTTAAGGAGGATTTGATGGAAATTATATATGAAAGAAATAACCCTTATGCATCTTGATAAGGATACATGAATAGGAATGATAAGGATGGAATATTATTGCATTTTCAACTCACTTGAATGAAAGTCAAGTGAGCTTATGTCATGACCTGTTTGTCCGTTATCCGTTATCTGTTTCAAGTCATCTATCAGACGTCGCTTGTCATGATTCCTAAACATCTTCTCCGAAACTACTTAACCAATAAAGCTGAATATCCACATGATTATTCCCACGAATGATGACGCCCCATTGTCCAACTGGTTTGAATCTGGCCTACCACAGCAGCCATATTGAAAAATCCATTTATGGCTTTTACCGAGTTACTTTTCTTCAAAATGTAATGATATTTGTTATTTGTTTAGTTTCAACACACATGTCCAATTCTTTGCAATACTTTATCTTTTTACCTTGTTTTGAACATGCTCTTAATTCTCTCTAAGGAATATATTGCTCTGTAAACTTGACAACGTGATGGAGATGAACTTTGACATGATGAAATCATATTTTGATCAAATCATTAGATGTTAGTATAAGTTTTTAATCCTTAGTAGTAATGCCAATTTTTTTAGAATATCAATGCTGACAGCAACTTTTCCAAATGGCTGTCTTTCTTGATATTTTAAGCACTTGATTACATATCCAGGTGAGCTTCAGTGCCGTTGCACTACTTTTCATAACATACTCTTCAGAAAAAGCTTTAATCGTTTTTGTGGAACGGAGCAGCAATACAACTTGTCCATGCTGTTTGAAATTACATCAAATCCTCCTCATGTCTCTATTTCAAGTTTTGCTTGCTAACATTTTGATTATCCAAGTTTTGTTTCAACAGTCCTGCACATAAATCTCAATCTTCAAGTACTACCGTACATCACTGTGTATAAGGCGAGTTTTTCGTACCTAAAATGAGGGGGTTAAGAAGGGGGGTCGTCTTATACACGGAGTCGAAGATCTCACATATTTTTCCACTGGCGATGTCAACCGGCGTCCGATAGCCAGCCCAGCAATTGACAATAAAACTTCGCATTTCATCCTAAATAACTGTTCCAATAACTATTTCCATACATAAACATGATTTGTATCTCTTTTCCTTGAATAAAGTTTAATAATTTCTGCAAATAAAGTTGAATGGCCCTCGCCTCGATGCAGATTGTCAAATGCAGATTGGTAACTTTCCGGTGAACAACTTCTTTATTACAATTAAGAGCGACGTTTCGGTGCAGGTTCTAACACCGTTATCAAGCAAGTGATGAAGGTTGTGGAGATGGTTGATGGTTGAAATTGATGCGTCTCCATGAAGACAACGAATAACTGAAGTACGGATTCTAGTACTTTTGGGGGTTGAGTCCCATCCGTTCTAATCCAGGATGGGACTCAACCCAACCCACCCAACCCACCCAACCCAGAAAAAGTACTAAAATCTGTACCCTTCTAAGAAAGTATTATCCCAAATATAACATTTGTTACACAGAATAAAGTCACTGTGTGGCTGAAATATCACTGATCACAAATATTAAATCAATGACTACACAAATAATACAGCCCAGCTACATTTGTGAGCAGACATTAATACTTGGTTGTGTGAAGAGTACTGATGTATGTATAATTAGTACAACAAGAAATGGTCTTATTTCATACAGACAGAGTAGCAGGAAGCAAATTCAGTAATTAGTGGCAATAAGCTTGCAATTTATTATTGCGTGCTGAATTGTGTTTAATTGTTAACCTAACATGTTACACTTTGTCGTTATACTCTTCTACTCAAAAGAAGTTGAAAACCTGATGCTTTCATATTACTTAAGCCATTACAGATTAACTGTAGTAATATGAAAGAAATTTATATTGGATAGTTTCAACAGTTTCAAACTTCAAATACTTGTAGCTTCAAATGTTAACCCTGTAGGAGTGAATCTCTTACACAGCCTCCCCAGAGCAATGATAAAGTTTGCGAAGGACCCTTTTTCTCCCACAGGATGATGAGGGGCGGTCAGGTAGCCTAGTGGTTCAAGCGTTCGCTCGTCACGCCGAAGACCCGGGTTCGATTCCCGACATGGGTACAATGTGTGAAGCCCATTTCTGGTGTCCCCCGGCGTGATATTGCTGGAATATTGCTAAAAGCGGCGTAAAACCATACTCACTCACTCACTCCCACAGGATGCTTTGATTTACAAAATGATTATGATTATAGTATGAGTTCATGTGAATTAGACTTAATTCATTGTATAATGAATTGGACATGTTTGGACTTTTCACATTACAAAATGTATAGGTGGGGGGTAAAAATCAACATTTTTCACTTATTTTAATGGATTGCATATTAGCTGTGCATATAACTGACATTTCTGTTCTAATACATTCAAAGTTCAGAATGAAATCATTATCTGTAATAGGCTTGAGGCTTCTGAGCATGGTATGACATCAGTAAAATTCTTGGGAATCAAGGAAAACAAGCCCCATGTCACCAACCGGGGACTCCAATGCTCATGATTTAACCGAGTCTTTTACCCAGAGTCCCCTGGCCTTGACAATACATGTAGTTAGGTAACTACCTTTATCAGTAGCCTGATAATTACAACGATCTGAGTTCAATTTTTTCACATTTTCTTTGTTTGTTTTTCATTTACAGAAGTAGATTTATGCAAAGTGTGCATACCGTTTTTTATCCCCCCAAAATATTTATGATCCTTAACATGTATTTGTTCAGTTTATATACTACTCAAAAGAAGTTAAGGATCACCCGATTCTTTCATATTACCACAGGTAATCTCTCATTTCAGGGCAGATTAACAATAGTAATATAGTAATATGAAAGAATTGATGATCCTTAACTTCTTTTGAGTAGTATATATTGCACTATTTTTATGTGCATGCACTAGTAGGCAAAATGATATCAATGTTGTGCATGGGTTGACAGTTATTCATCACTGACTTTGTTGCAGTGACAGCTGCATGGGAGATATGAGGTATTTCATCATCATTATCTAATCATATAATATCTTTTTTTTCCCCAAGATAATAAGTCTTTGTATTTCACAGTGATATGCCAAATTTAACATAGCACAGCACATGGCAACAAACCGAGGACAACAAACATACTTTGTAAACTTACTGCCTTGAGATTAATGATTTTATAGTTTGCTATTACTTAGTGGCCGTGTGTCTGGAGAACTGTGGCCTGGGTGCACGATGCAGGTGTTGTTCATGACGATGAAGCTGGTGGACATTGTTGTCATCATGGTGGGAGGGGTGTACATTCTGTCACAGACAGGTTGGTTAGGGCCTTCATGCATGGAAACCTGATGCACTTTTTAATACGACCCACGCTGACGACTAACAACAAGGACTGAACTCATGTCTGTGTATCAGAATCTACAGATTCTCTGTTCAATTGACAAGAGCCATGTTTCAGTACAGAGACTATATATGTATATATGTTGTAAGAGGCGAAAGAGCTTTGGTGTGTGGTCACACTTAGTGACAACACCTATCTCCCGTACACCCTGACCATGTCCCCCTCCCAATCCAACCCTATCCCCCTCCCAGTCCAACCCTGTCCCCCCTCACAGTCCAACCCTATCTCCCTCACAATAATTCCCCCCCCCGACCCCACCCACTGTTCAACCCTTTACCCCTCATAATCCAACCCTGCCCCCCTCTATAGTTCAACCCTATCTCCCTCACAGCCTGAGTGCACAGATAAATCAGGATCATATATCAACCAATAATATGAATACACAAGTCTGTGGCTAGTAAACTCTATGTAGGTCTCGTAGGTCAGACCGTATCTAAAATCTACTAATAATGAATAATGACATATTCAAGTTAGAAGACATTTCTGTTGACATCACCCACTTGTGATGATTGTATGTATACTGAAGCCTTGGTTTCCATGAAAACACTTTTGATGTTTGTTTTCAGGAAACACAGAGTTTCTGTCGGAGGGCTTTGAGGACACAGTCAAGTCTCCATCACTTATAGCGCTGGCGTTTTATGATGGCCTCTGGGCCTATGATGGATGGTGAGTGTCTGTGGTCACACATGGCTATACAGAGGTGGTGTGGAGGAAAGAGCTTGTCTTGTTCTATGCAGGGATCATGTTCTAACACTGCCTGCCTCTTCATATGAGAACCATGTGGGAAGTCGGGCCTAGAATTGGTTCAAAGTAACCTTGTGTATGAGGCAACTTAAATGGATTGTGTGGTCAGGCTTGGTGACGTGGTTGTTTGTGTGTCATATATCAACCAAGCTGGTGTTGCTCTTACTATCGACCACTGGTTTGTGTGGACCTGACTCGATATACGTACAGGTTGCCATTATATAGCTGGAATATTGCTGACTGGCATAATAACATTCACTCATTAGAGCTTAAGATATGAGCTTAATGTAAGTCTTCTTTCTTAATTTCTTCTCTCATTTGAAACAAGTTTATTCCAGGTTTATTGTTCTCAATTATTTGTAAAAATTATTACAATATTAACATATATATATAAGAAGTTTAATAATCTTGCCCAAATTTCAAACACCTTTGGGCCTTTAAGCTTTGAACAAAAAAATTGGAAAATACTAAAGGTCATCGAGTGAACAAGCACCTGTAAACTGCCAGGTTATTATCCTACAGTAAAATATTTATATAGGCAGGGATGCTCAGTGTTCCTAGAATTATGTGCTTGGTCTTAGGTGTGGTGTTTATTGTTTCAGGAACAACTTGAATTACATCACGGAGGAACTTATCGACCCTAATGTGTAAGTAGACAGCACACTTGAAACAATTTGTCTCCAGTCATGTTCCATTCCCATGAAGATTCCTTTTTAAAATAGGTCCCAGTAACCTATGCTTGTCATAAGAGGTGACTAAATATTTAATTGTGTGTCGTCATGCCCTGATGGTGTGGGACATGCTCATAATAACCCATGATGGTTTGCCTGGTCCAGACTTGATGATTTGCTGGCCTCGGTGATATAGCCGGAATATTGCTGGCTGTGGCAGAAAACAACAAAGAAACAAAAGAGATGTTCCAAGTCTCATGAAATAACATATCGTCAGTTCACCAGCTTTTTCATTTTGTAATAGGCATGACTCAAGCTGGTTCTATGTATTTCAGAAACCTGCCACGCTCTATCATCATCGGAATCCCCCTGGTGACGATTTGCTACCTGCTGACCAATGTGGCGTACCTCAGCATCATGTCCAAGGAGGAGCTGTTGGCCTCAGATGCTGTAGCAGCGGTATGTGGACCTCCTCCATTTGTCCTCCATCTTCTCATCTTCTTCTCATCATCTTCTCCTTTATCTTCTTCATCATCTCATCATATTCTCCTTCATCTTCTCATCATTTTCTTCTCTTCATCTTCTCATCATCTCCTCCTTCATCCTCTCCTTCATCCTCTCTTCATCTTCTCAGCATCTCCTCTTCATCTTCTCAGCATCTCCTCTTCATCTTCTCATCATCTTCTCCTTCATCTTCGCATAGTCTCCTCTTCCATCTTCTAGTTCATCTTCTCAGCATCTTCTTGTCATCTTCATCACTCGCAGGGTTCGAATCCTGGCTCACAGGGATTGTGTTTCTGGTTGTGTCTGCACCATATCATGCTTGTGGGTTAACCAAGGTGGTAACCATCTTAAGACCTGCACCACTTCGAGTCTGAAGCTGACATACCATGATACAACTGAAATACTGTCCAAAGTGGCATTAAAACCAAACGCACTCACTCCTGGTTGTGGCTTAATCTGCTGATCAAGCTTTTGAATCCCGAGATTTTCACCCTGATGATGTTTATACTCATACATAAACACGAAATTTAGAAGTGTTACTGAGCCTTCTGCAAAAGTTGAGGATAGCATTGTTTGTTTGTTTCAGACGTGGGGAGGCCGAGTGCTGGGCCCGGCCGCAGTACTGATACCTATATTTGTTGCGTGTTCCACATTCGGGGCAGCCAATGGGTCCTGCTTCACAGGAGGAAGGTCAGACTGTTTCCTGGTCATTTCATATTTCAGTGGGGCAGTCGGGTAGCCTAGTGGTTAAAGCGTCCACTTGTCATGCCGAAGACCCGGGTTCGATTCCCGACATGGGTACAATGTTTGATGCCCATTTCTCGTGTCCCCCGGCGTGATATTGCTGGAATATTGCTAAAAGCGGCGAAAAACCATACTCACTCACTCATATTTCAGTGGAAGTAGTTGCTTCTGGCAAATGATTTCAATGGGTGACAGGGCTAGAGAAATAAAACTGATATTGAAATTGATATATTTTGTATCATCGATTTCCAATGGTTTCTTGTACAAATGAGTCACAGATCGTCAAATACAAGGGAACACATGCACATTTGTATGAGGTAATTTTCTGCAGTATTTCATTCAGATGATTTTATCTGTAACAGTAGCTAGCAGGACATGATATTACTGGTATTATCATTTTTATGAGGCACATTCATGTTAACTCAGGAGTTTGGTCTGTTTCTGTATTTCCTTCAATCAGTATATAATCCCAGGGATTTATCTAGTGATATTCGACACCAAGTCTCCAGCAATTGTCATCAACATGTCCAAATGGGAATCTTAAAATTTCTTTCTTTTAAATGTAGTTGAAGTTATAACTAAAAGTACTCCCGGAAATGAAAAAAAAATGTTTTGCTGGATTTAATAATCGACACAAAGCATTACATAGATGTAAATACAAAACAACAAAACAACTTGAAAAGTACTAGTCTGGATTTGCTAGTTTTATCTCAGTGCTCAGTACAAAATGTACTTTACAGGAGGTAATTTGTAGGCACTTTCAACATTCAAAAATAAAACTAAGTCCAAATTGACATGGCAGAAACAGGCTATAGGCATTATGCAAATTAGCCTTGGAAAAAAACTATCAAAACAACAATAAAAATAACAGCTATGTTTATGTACATAATAATAATAACATGTAAGTTGTTGTTTGAGAAGGGTATATGTTACTTTTACGGTCTGATATTTTGACGATGATTCAATATCCCACAATGCCACTCACAAATCACTAACCACTGACAAATCACATGCACGTGGGTTTCAAGCACCTGTTTTCACCTGTCGTCAAGGTGTCATAGGTCATGGACATTCACCTTGATCTACAAACACCTGGTTATGCTCAGTTTCACAATAGTCTGTTTTGTTCATATTTTTACACACTTTTACGTGTAAAAAGACATAAAAACCCTTGATACGCTGTATTTGTGCCAAGGCCCAATTAGTACTAACTGAGTTGTTTGAATATTTATATATTTTGTATATTAACTGCATTTATTTAAAATCTGAGATCGAAAAAACAGGTTTTTTTCATTTCCGTGAGTACTTTAATGTGAAGGCTTTGTTAAGGTGTCTTGTATTCCAATGATAACAGGACCAAGAACAGGAATAGGCTTTATTTCACCTTAAGGTATTGAAAGCAGTGTTACAGTGTAATGTTTAAATACCTTTGAAGTAAGAACTGAAACAAAAACCCTATTTTGAACAAAATAACAATATTTTTTCTCAGTTTGCCTGCCATAAACATTTAATTAAGTTTGGAAACCTAGATAAATCCCTGTTTCACAGCCGAATTCTGTGACTATCCTGGCTGGTTCTGATAGAAACGCAATAAAATTTATAGGAAATGACTGTGGTCCTCTGTTATTGTGACAAATTGAACAGTCCCTGTGTTATTGTCATGTCAGCTCCTGCCCTGAGCTTGCCTAACTTCAGTATTCTACCAATAGTGAACAAACAATGCCAGCAGAAAACCTGGACATACATGCTATTCCTTTCACAGGTCTTTTTAAGATTCTTTGAAATATAATTATGAACAATATTTCATTAAGTGTTAAAAAAGACAATAAACAGTCTATTGTTGTTTTCAGGGAAATTCACATTGACTTCATTCTTATTCAGAAAGGCTGGGTTTCTATTAGGCTTTCTTGTATGTGTGTAAGAGGGGACTAGATGTCGAGCAGATTGGCGGTCCCTGCAAGTTTGAGTCACGTATTCAAACACCATGTTGTTTTGTCAGCTTTCTCATAGTGTATGTGTCTAACAGTTGGGGATTTCCCTAATTACACAGTGATCTTAACATTTAGAATTAGACATGGGCAGCAGATCATGCAGCATAGTCCCCCTTTAAGAACAGCTAGGAGAAGAGCAGTTGATAAGAGCTATTTACTGGAAATGATGTATGAGAACATGTATGTTAGTGCTGGGACAGGTAACTCAGAGTACACGGGTCAGGTGGATCCTGAATAGGACCCGGGTACCCACAGGACCCGTGGTTAGTCACATGATATATTGTTTAAGGACAGAAATTATCTAAAACACTGTGGTTACACTATATAAGTCGCTAATGTTCCCATTTCTTTCTGACAATGCACCAATTCCTTCTGACTAAAGATAAAACTTCATGCAGTAAACTTCAGTGTATGCATGACCAGATTGTTTTACACATATATCTAAATACATTTTGTCAGGGCTACGGTCAAACTTTTCCAAATCGGACAGTTTGTACCTATCTCTAGATATCTACAGTGGGTACCCGGGTAGGGTCGGGTAATAGGGAGGTGGGTACCCGGGTTGTAAATGTGGACTCATCCCAGCCCTAATGTATGTCACCAATTTCATGAATTGAATGTAGATTATGAAGAAAAGATGGGACAGAGTTCCCTCCCCTACACCTCAGCTCTGGAACAAAACGGTGCAGATTGTTGTGACTATCAGAGCTTTGCTTCCAACTATACTGAACAAAAAGATTTAGGGATCATGGATGATTTGGGGCATATTGTATTGGAGTGAAGACACACAATGGAGTGAGCACACAATTTCATAAAAAATATCTCCAATAATATTCATGACCCCTAACCATTTTGTTCAGAATACATGTATTATTATATATAAACGGGTACTTTATATTTCTGTTCTGTTGTCAGTTTCCATAAAATTATATAGAACCGGGCTCCGTCTGTCTGTCACGTTTCGTTTCCGGAGCATAACTCATAACTCATAATATTTTTTCATCAAACTTTGCAGGTCTCAGGTACATGCTGAACTGGTGCCTTTTGCTATTTAGAAATTTTAGAATTATTTATTCTTTACCTTTCCATGGCAACAAGATGGACTTAGGTTCCAAACTCATCTTTTTTTTTACAATTTCCATGACAAGTTCCACCTCGGTTAAAAAAGGTTAGGGTTTGTTTAGATTAGACTTAGGTTCTGTGAGGGTAGGGTTCGTTTCCGGAGCATAACTCATAAACCATTCAATATTTTTTCATCAAACTTTGCAGGTCTGTCAGGTACATGCTGAACTGGTGCCTTTTGCTATTTAGAAATTTTAGAAATTTTTATTTTTTACGTTTCCATGGCAACAAGATGGACTAAGGTCTGTGAGGGTAGGGTTCGTTCCCGGAACATAACTCATAAACCATTCAATATTTTTTCATCACACTTTGCAGGTCTGTCAGGTACATGCTGAACTGGTGCCTTTTGCTATTGAGAAATTTTAGAAATGTTTATTTTTTAAGTTTCCATGGCAACAAGATGGACTTAGGTTCTGTGAGGGTAGGGTTCGTTTCCGGAGCATAACACATAAACCGTTCAATATTTTTTCATCAAACTTTGCAGGTCTGTCAGGTACATGCTGAACTGGTGCCTTTTGCTATTTAGAAATTTTAGAAATGTTTATTTTTTACGTTTCCATGGCAACAAGATGGACTTAGGTTCCAAACTCATTTTTTTTTTACAATTTCCATGACAAGTTCCACCTCGGTTAAAAAAGGTTAGGGTTTGTTTAGATTTAATTATGTCATAAATTCTGCAACAGGGGCGGGGATATAGCCACGTTAGTGGCAAACTCTTGTTGAATATCAGTCAATATTGTTACATTTGTGTTATTTCAAGTTATGAATGTATCAGGATATGTGATATCTTCATGTGAACATTTGTGGTGAAGATATGTAGCTTTCACTCTTTATCAGTTATCTCCCTTTAGTCTGCTTTGTGGCTTTCATTGCGCCATTAGTTTTCACAGTTCTGTTGTCAGTTTAGTGCATCAAGGTGCATAATGTACATGCTTTCCTAATGTGTGAGGGAGGGCAAGCTGCATAATGCTTGTTCTTGGATAGATTTTACATTTACTTGTGTTACTTACCAGAGGGGGGCGGTCGGGTAGCCTAGTGGTTAAAGTGTTAGCTCGTCATGCCGAAGACCCGGGTTCGATTGGGTACAGAGTGTGAAGCCTATCTCTGGTGTCACCCGCCGTGATATTGCTGGAATATTGCGAAGGCACCTTGAATCACTGTTCAGAGTTGCGTCCCGGTGGCATGCCAGAAACCTATGATTGTGGGTTCGAATCACTGTTTGTCCCGATTATGTTTCTAGGTTTGTCAGCACCATACCCGTGTTAGTGGGTTTCACATTCGATACCTGCATCACTTCGGGCTTTCCTCCCACATTTAGCTGACATGCTGTGATATAACTGGAATACTGTTTAAAGCGGTGTTAAACCCAATTCACTCACTCACTTACCAGACGTAAATCATGTACCCTATCCAATGACAGATAAAAGAACAGGTAGTACAGATATACAGAATGAAAATAGGTAGGGTGGATAGATGAAGGACAGGTAGATTAAACAAAGCCTGATTTCAAGTAAACACTGGTCAGGCAGTTGAAGCAGGTAGGACAGGTAGATACGTGAGGTCAGATAGATAGAAATCAGGTAGGACAATGATGTGTAGACAGAGGCGTGCTAACTGTGTATATGTTCATGTTGCAGGTTGGTGTACTCGGCTGCACGCGAGGGCCATCTACCAGAGATCCTCTCCTATGTACACATCAGACAGTATACACCTCTACCGTCACTAGTCTTTACTGTGAGTAGCCAGGCAGTGCACCCTTCCACTCCAATAGTCAAGGGTATCTCTCTGTTTCATGTACTTACTATTGTAATACTACATAATTTGTGAGTAACTATACGTGTTTTACCTGATTCTGTGTTTAGAAAGTAATATGATAATTCTTACAAATACTCTGTCTCTATTACATCATTGTGAGTAACTATACGTGTTTTACCTGATTCTGTGTTTAGAAAGTAATATGATAATTCTTACAAATACTCTGTCTCTATTACATCATTGTGAGTAACTATACGTGTTTTACCTGATTCTGTGTTTAGAAAGTAATATGATAATTCTTACAAATACTCTGTCTCTATTACATCATTGCCAGACCGAGGTAGAATAGGTCTTCAGCAACCCTTGCTTGCCGTAAAAGGTGACTAACGGGATCGGGTGGTCAGGCTTGCTGACTTGGTTGGTGCATATCATTGTATCCCCATTGCATAGATCAATGTTCATGATGTCAATCACTGGATTGTCTGGTCCAGACTCGATTATTTACAGACTGCCGTGATATTGCTTGAATATTGCTGAGTGAGACGTTAAACAACAAACAAAAAACATCATTGCCAGAAATCTTTTATTTCGGTTGTCATCACACCGTTGATATCTTCAGATTTTCAACATAGGTCCTCTTAACTGTCGCTATCCATAATAAGTTGTGCAAGTAATAGTATCTTGCTTCCCAAGCCTCATGTGCATATGTAAGGCAGGAAAACCTCACTTCTTTCCTGTGTGACGTGGATCTTTTCTCAAAATGTGAATTTCTGGATTGTCTGGTCCAGACTCGGTTGTTTACAGACAACCATCATACAGCTGGAATATTGCTGAGTGCTGCCTAAAACAACAAACAAATGAACGTAATTTATAAACAAATAGCCGTAATTGTGTGTGTGATTGTATTCCAGACTCTCATTGCTATATTGATGATCATTCCGGGTGACATCTTCAGCCTCATAGACTTCTTCAGCTTCACAGCCTGGCTGTTCTATGGAGCCACAATGGCGTCACTCATTATTCTCAGATTTACACAGAAAGACAGAGTCCGACCATATAAGGTAAGGCTCAAACAATAAACAATGAGTATGGGTATCTGATCCTTTACTGTCCGTGTGTAACTGTCATGTATCATTCTTCGGTTACCTGTCCAAGGTTTACATACCTGTCAAACTCATGCATTGATGTGTGATGCATACTTCATTAGACATTAGACCCTTACGATTACAAAAATAAATCACATTTATGCAAACTGTGTTTTTCCTGAATATCTTTTTGTCAAGCCCAGTGCAAGAAAATAGTGTAGTGACCTTTATATTTGACCATTTATTATAGAAAACAACCAATATCTTAATGGTTTTCGGGGCGGTGGTTAAGGCGTTCACTTGTCACACCGAAGACCTGGTTTCAATTCCCCATATGGGTAAAATGATTGAAGCCCATTTCTGGGGTAGAAAAGGTCTGCAGCAACCCATGCTTGCCGTAAATGGTGACTATTCTTGTCGTAAAAGGCAACTTACGGGATCGGGTGGTCAGACTCCCTGACTTGGTTGATGCATGTCATCGTATCCAAATTGTGTAGATCGATGCTCATAATGTCAATCACTTGATTGTCTGGTCCAGACTTGGTTATTTACAGACCACTATCATATAGCTGGAATATTGCTGAGTGGGGCTTTAAACAACAAACAAACAAATAAAAGTTTCAAAAACTTCTTTTCACCTATTACAAACACCGCTCCACCGACACTTCCCCCACCCCTCAACATCCTCAACATCCCTTAGCTGGTCTTTCATTATGCCATGTTGCTTTGTTGCAGGTTCCTATAATAGTCCCGATCATCACATTGTGCATCTCCGTGTATCTGGTGATAGCACCGATAGTACAGAATCCCAGGATAGAGTTCTTCTACGCCTTCATGTTCATCCTTGGAGGGCTTGTGTTCTATGTACCCTTTGTTCACTTCAAACTCAAAATCAGATGTTTAGGTGAGTATGTCATTTGGCTTTTGCAGTCTCGTACCTCGATTGTGAACAATTGTTCAATTATAAAATATGATTTAACATTGCAGGATTACAAAGTAGGATTCAGTATTTCATGATTAAAGTAGTACAGTGCTGTACATGCACTCAAAGCAAGTGGCAGTAAACACTCTCAATTTTTAAAATCTATTTAAAACTTGTGACAGTTGTTTAAGCCAGTTAGAAGTACAGTAAACTATGTTTATAACGAACATGCTTATAACGAAACTGACAGACATAACAAACTGGTATTTTTGGTCCCGGACAGTTGTTGTTTATATGCTGTATATATTCTAATCTTTGTCCCTTCATTATAACTGTCGTTTACTGTATATTACTATAAAATTCAGCAGCAGTCTTGTAGTGGGTATCTTGCTTGTTGTAAGACTTTTATTAGGAATATTGTAGCCTCAACAATATGTAGCGATGGTCAGTTCCAACTTGGCCATGCGCCTTGGTGGTCTAGTGGATAGAGCATCAGCCAGGAGATGGAAAGGTCAGTGGTTCGATCCCCGGCCGTGTCAAACCATTAGACATGAAAAGATGGTACTAGATGTTTCCCTTTCTGGCACTCGGCATTAACAGGATAAAACAAGGACTTTGAGTCATTATGCTGTGTCTAAGTGATGTATCCATGTTATGCTGTGGCATGGTATCTCAGTGGGCTATCCCTATAAAACCCGGCATTAGTCCGGGCTTGTACAAACAGCCACACACATGTGCAGATTGGTATCCTCCCAAAACGTAGACCTGCCAAAACGCAGACCCGTTAAAACAACACTCGTTATGGCTGGTTGCATTAGTATTTAGTACCCTGTACCCTTAAGTAAAATGGTATCACCCGTGGGAACCGTGCAGATGTGTCTCTTCGGTTTGCCCTTATCCTGTGATCATTTCAAATCCCAGACTTCTCCCTGATTGTGATCAGTGGCTTGTATGCTCCATACCCATGCTAAAGAAATACACAATGTGGTGGCACGTTGTCCTGTGCCCAGCGCACAGGTCACAAATCAGGTCTTTGTATGTGTGACTGCAGTTCGGCAGCTTGGCTCCTGAGAGTTTGTTGGGCTTCGGCCCTGACCCACACTGAAGCACTTGTAACACATGTGGCGTCTCCTTGGGCCAGTGACTTTGTTCAAAATGTGCCTCTGTTCACCCAGCAGTAAATGGGTAGCCAGTAGGATGACATGGCAGTGATGGTTGTTAACCTTGTAGCACCTAACAGGCAGCTTGGGTAGTATGATCCCCAGGGAGCTGAGAATTAGTCTTGAATGCACATTGATCCAGTGACCAGGGTAATAATAGTGCTTTGAGCCTGCCCCTGAGTGATGTGGAAATATGTACAATATGAATAGCCTATTATCATTATATTATTATTATTATTATTATGATATAATTGAAACATACAGTTCACAGCATCTTTAGACCAAATCGGTCACTTCATACTGGGAGTGTGGAGTATAATAGGGCCCCAATAACCATGCCTGATGTAAGATTCAACTGCACTGGATTCGGGTGGTCACTGTACACTGACATTTATTCCGGACTCTTTGTTTCAGACCGAGTGACAACATTTCTTCAAATGGTGATGGAGGTTGCTCCGAGCAAGTACGAACCAGCGGAATAACAGATGTCCTTTGTGTATACTGACATGTTGTACTTCCTGTATATATCTGTACATTGTAATAGACTTGTGACTACTAGCAGCACACTTCTGACAGAGTGTGACTTAGCAGTTCCAGATTCCTGATGTAACTGCTTTATGAATCTTGAATCTTCTCCATCTGTAATTCATTGTTAGTGTCCAGAAGGAAACTACAGCATTATGATAGCTTTGGAATTTGGAATGTCCATGTTTGTCCTTGTCCTGTTCTTAGGGGAGATTGTACCCTCATCTTTACCAATAGGACCTCATCCTACACTGAGAAGGCACCATAGGGTTCAACCCAGTGTTGTTGTATGAAGCTTGTACATCATAGTTTTAATTATGGAAGTTTTAGAAATGGGGTGTAATATGGTAGCTTATGCCAAAGAGTTAACCTTTATTAAAGATGGATCAGATGTGCCATATTGCTGTAGTAGTGCATTTGTATGTTGTTGGCACTGATAGGGGAATAATGCGCTCAGTAAAAGTCTTTAGGAGTAGTCCATGCTGGAGAGTGAAGCACCAAGCACTGGCTGTGCAGGGTTGTTTGTGCCACGTGAAGAGTTGCACGCTGGTTGTTGGGAGTTGCTGGCGCCAATGGAGAAGTTGGCAGCAATGGAAGATTGAAGAGATGGGCCATAGGTGCATGTTGTATGGAGTCATTTCTGCCACTGGTGGTGTGGATCCTTGGAGCAAGGTGTATGGACTTGCACCCTGGGTCAAAGTTGTATGGAGTCATTTCTGCTGCTGGTGGTGTTGCATGCTCGTGCAAGCTGTATGGAGTTGCACCCTGGGTCAAGTTGTACGGAGTTATTTCTGCCACTGATGGTGGTGCACGCTGGTGCAAGCTGTACAGACTTCTCGCAAATGGTTAGGTGTGCCCGAGGTGCAAGCTGTATGGAACTGCTGGTGCCAAAGGTTAAGTTGCAGCTTTGGTGCAAGTTGCATTGAGTTGTTGGTGCTGACTTTGGACATTTTTCCTCTATGCAATTTGCATGGAGTTGTTGGCGCCAATGGTTGACACGTGCCCTGTGCGCATGTTGTAGTTGAGCTTTTCATTGAAACATCTTCCAGTACAGAGAGCAGTTCTAATATTTTGATCAGTGAAGTATTTTTATGAATATATTTTTCCTTTTTATCTGTAATAAAATGTGAAGTTGAACAAATCAAATGCTATATATTTCTTCCTGAGAGATAAGTCATACACAATGTATTATTCCAAACTGTCAAACTGTCTTAATGTCAGGGTCGTCACTGTGAAATGGCCAGTAGATTTCTACCATTCAGGTTCATGGATCTATAACCATGATAACCCTGTGTTTATTGTCGTTATCCCTTGTCAGACTGATCAGTCTCTGTCCTCTCTCTTGAACATTTATCGATGCATATCAATATTCTTCTCAATGATATGATACATATGATACACTTACCTAATAATTCTGTATCAATATGTATTGCTTATTAATCATCATAACATCGGATGGTCTTCATATTGGTACTACTTGCAGGGAAACTTTTGATATTGAATCAGATAGGCCCCATGAACCTTTTCCTGCAACTCTACAGTAATCACCAGTTTAGCTTTATCATATCAAGTCTAATATGCAGTCTGATCATGCATGTACATTGTCTTAAATTTGATTTCATATTGAAGAATAATTCGGTCTTGTTTTACTATTAAATATGGATAAATTCATGCACTGTTGACTTGGGTTGTAAACTGGCAAAAAGATTGTACACAGGTATCTGTTTTGTAATAGGTATAGAGATATATTTGGAGCTGAAGTGTTTGACACTGATTGTACATGCAGATCCAATTGCAGCAATGTCAAAGTCTGCATGGTCAGTGGCTGCCATCTTGTTGTCATGGATACAGGGGAGATAACAACATGAGAGAAAAATCTGCTGTTTTGTCAATCAGTTTCAAAGCGAAACATCATCTGGGAATGGATTTCTGTGTAGATTTTAGTTGATACAAAGAATAATCTAACTTGTAATATTTATTTTACCCAGTATGAAAATATTGCCATACAAATCGTTTGAAAAGTGTATTGAAGTGTACTGGTATACCAGTATCACTGTGCAGTCCTACTGTTACCAAGCTAATGAATGGTATTGTGGCTTCAGGCATTGTTTCAGCTGTATAAATCCTGTGTTATGTTGATCTCATGGTAGATCTAGCTGGTGATGGTGCAGTTGCTGGGGTCATGATAAGCTGAGTGTCACATGGTTCCTCTGGATGGGGTTAAAATTAAAAAAATATGTACTGCAATACAACTGTATTCTTCAAATGTGTAATTTGATAGAAAATCTCTCAAAATGTGTTGATATGTGCAGCTGATAATTAAAGACATATTACAATCATTGTGAAATAATGTCCGAACTTGTGTATTCTTCTATGACTGTCTGCTTTGATAGAATATGTCGTAGTTTGAAGTGTATTACCATACTATCTATACCGAGATGTCCTTCACTCACTGGCCCAGATTGTCTATCCAACCACCAATTGGTCTGTCAGCTGATTTCAGACATGACTTCTGATTGGTCTGTCTGCAGATTTAAGACATGGCCTCAGACTGGTCTGTCAGCAGGTTAAGGACATGGTCTCGGATTGGTCTGTCAACAGATTTAAGACATGACCTCTGATTGGTCTGTCAACAGATTTAAGACATGGCCTCTGATTGGTCTGTCAGCTGATTTGAGACATGGCCTCTTATTGGTCTATCAGCGGATATTTATACAAGACTGCAGATATCTCTATCAACAGATTTGCCAACTCAACACATCTTGTCTCAGTCTGTGCCGAACTAAATTGAGACTCCTAGCCAAAACTTGGCTCTTAGCATCAATTTCAGAAGAATTTAGTGTGGTACTAAATAGAATATTACTAGACTCAGGCTTCGGACTAGTGGCCAAAGTCACAGACTGTTGTCTTGTTACTCCTACTCAGGTTACGGCCACACACGAACTGCTGTTTCAGCACCAAGCACTACAGTGGTCGGTGGCTAACCCCCAGCTTCAGCCAAAGAAGGTACCAGTACACATTGTCTGTGCTGCCATGTTATGGAAGTTGTTAATTAATAATCAATTATAGAGAGTATATTGAGGAACACATGCATGTGGTGGGAAGTGTTGGTAGGGGCATGATGTCTGTGCAGGTGATCGTATACCTATTGGTACAGTTGTAACGACTTGTGTATGTACAGTAATGATGGTGCAGGAGTTCTGTCCCTTGTGGGACATGGATGTTGCAGCAGGGTGATGAATGTACAGAGAGTCTTATGGTGGGGTGGTGAATGTACAGAAAGTCTTATAGTGGGATGGTGGGTGTACAGACAGTCATATACTGGGGTGGTAAATGTAGAGACTGCCTTACAGTGGGGTGGTGAATATACAGACTGCCTTATAGTGGGGTGGTGAATGTACAGTCTTATACTGGGGTTATGAATGTACAGAGAGTCTTATACTGGGGAAGAGAATGTGCTGGCAGTCATATGGTGGGGTGGTGAATGTACAGACAGTCTTATAGTGGGGTGGTGAATGAGCAGACAGTCTTATAGTGGGGTGGTGAATGTACAGAAAGTCTTATAGTGGGATGGTGGGTGTACAGACAGTCATATACTGGGGTGGTAAATGTACAGACTGCCTTACAGTGGGGTGGTGAATATACAGACTGCCTTATAGTGGGGTGGTGAATGTACAGTCTTATACTGGGGTTATGAATGTACAGAGAGTCTTATACTGGGGCAGAGAATGTGCTGGCAGTCATATGGTGGGGTGGTGAATGTACAGACAGTCTTATAGTGGGGTGGTGAATGTACAAACAGTCTTATAGCGAGATTGTGAATCTACAGACAGTCTTATAGTGGGGTGGTTAATATACAGACAGTCTTATTGTGGGGTGGTGAATGTACAGAGGGGCTCAGAGAAAAAAAGTGACAATGCAATTTATTTATTTATTGAATGTGTATATAAAATATCATGCCATAATTACTGTGATTCAGTTGTGTGATATTTCATAATTTTGTCAGACATTGATTTAGTAGAAACTATAAATGTAAATTTGTGTAACCTTGGTTTATCTGTGGTCCTCTGAAGAAGACTAATTGTGAATGTATTAGAATGGAACTTTATTACATAGAAGCAGGTTATGGTTTTCCTGCTGGTGTCGGTGGAAAGAGTTGTGTTCAAATTGTGTCTCGTGGGAAGCCAACATTAGATAGCCAACCAATATCTTGCCAGAAATATCGCATGTAATAATGTGCTCAAGTAACACATTTCATACAAACCTTAATGTTTCTTTACAGCATTGTCTATGAAGAAGCAGCTTACACACCATCATGTTTGAACACAACACCCTTATCACATCACAGTCCAGCCCTATCCCCTAACATTTCTACCCTATCCCCACCACAGTCCAACCCTATCTCCCTAACAGTCCAACCCTATCTCCCTCACAGTAAAACCTTATCACCCTCACATCCCAACTCTATCCCCCTCACTGTCCAACCCTATCCCCTAACATTTCTACCCTATCCCCATCGCAGTCCAACCCTATCTCCCTCACAGTAAACCCTATCGCCCTCACATCCCAACTCTATCCCTCTCACAGTCCAACCCTATCCCCTAACATTGCTACCCTATCCCCATCACAGTCCAACCCTATCTCCCTCACAGTCCAACCCTATCTCCCTCACAGTCCAACCCTATCTCCCTCACAGTCCAACCCTATCTCCCTCACAGTCCAACCCTATCCCCTAAGCCCAACCCTATCCCCTCACATCCCAACCCTATCCCCTCACATCCCAACTTTATCACCCTCACATCCCAACACTATCCCCTACACAGTCCAACCCTATCCCCCACACAGTCCAACCCTATCCCCCCACACAGTCCAACCCTATCCCCCACACAGTCCAACTCTATCACCTCACAGTCCAACCCTAGCACCTCACAGTCCAACCCTATCCCCCACACATCCCAATCCTAGCACCCTCACATCCCAACTTTATCACCCTCACAGCCCAACCCTATCCCCTCACAGCCCAACCCTATCCCCCCCACACAGTCCAACCCTATCCCCCACACATCCCAACTTTATCACCCTCACAGCCCAACCCTATCCCCTCACAGCCCAACCCTATCCCCCCCACACAGCCCAACCCTATCCCCCACACATCCCAACTTTATCACCCTCACATCCCAACTTTATCACCCTCACATCCCAACCTTAGCACCCTCACATCCCAACCCTAGCACCCTCACAGCTCAATCCTGCCTACCCCATTGGTATGAATAGGTACGTAGCAAGCTAAGAGGTGACAATAGCGAATGGGTGGTCACTGGTTGATTGTGTGTCATTGTCCCCTGCCATTCAGAATTATGTACTTCATAGATGAGAACGATGATCAGCTTTGCCTTATTTTCTCAATACATTTATTTCTGTCATGGTAGTTTATTGACCTCTGCCCTTTGTCCCTGACGTATAACAAGTGAAACAGAATAAGTTTGTAGCAATTTCTGCAAATTTCATTGATGGACAAATATGCTTACTTGATTTGTCATGTACATATGTACATATCTAATGGGAGACTGCTTGTCTGATCACATGGACACAGCAGTGATAGGTAGTGAATGTCAAGGCCCACAGATCGATACAGGATGGGTACTAAACCAATGACGTAATTGGTCTATAAATTACATGTTGCTTATTGTAGATGATGTACTCTGTTGCTATGGCTGAAGAGGTATTAGCCACGACAGATAAGTACCCCAAGACCGTATCTATGTATTACAATGTACACTAACCCAAATCGGACAGCACAAATGTACTGTTCTGGAACTAGGAGTCTGTATTCCACAGTGGATAAAAATGATTCCCTTTCATCGTTGGATTTAGACGGGATATACCGTACCCAAGTAAAATCAAGCATGAAATGCCTACAGGACGTCAAGGCTTAAAGAGAGAAAGATTGATAATCGGTATAATCGTCAATGGAAAGAAATAATAACAATTATCAATATGAAAATTGTGTCATTGATAATATCTTTGTGATGAAATAAAGTTTAGATTTATCATAACAGACTTGGTATGGTCAATAATGTCAATTGCCGAAAACGGAAAGTAAATCTTTTGATATACATGTATCTCACATGTCCACAAAATAATCCTGCACAAATGTGCCTCCACTCCCAAGTGGAATGAAAGATGTTGAATTCTTTGGGAATTGTTTTGGCGTATTTGCTCAAAGTTACTTCTCTGATATTTATCAATAATTGATCAATATGTAGTTAATGATTAGCGATCTCGATGATCTGTGTCGATAGCAAGCTCTACATGATATATTCCAGTTTTGGTTAGGGTACATTTCAGTACAAAGGAAGTACCTGGTACTGGGAGTACCCTATGCTACAATAACCCCATGGGCGGATACAGAGGAGGGGTGCGCACCCCCCCCCCCTTTTTATTTCGAAAAAAATCTTTATTTCTGTATAAATTACCACCAAAGACAATAAATAGATCTTAATTGTGCACCCCCCCTTTTCAAAAAAGCTGTATCCGCCCATGAACCCCCTCCGCATTCCTATGTCCAGGTATCCGCTGCACTGACAGATATATGTCTCCTCCCTACATTACACAGACAGCTGTAGCGATATGTAAATAGGTTGTTCATTTACTTGCTGGGTGTAATCATTGTGGTACCAAGTTAACCGAATATGCAATGTGATTTTACGATGACCGGGCAGTGATACCCGAGTGTCTTGTACAGCTGTAGATAGGTAGCAGGTATGTGTGGAGTCTTGCCATGTTATTGGTTGTTTTGCTTCAGTTGTGATGGTGTTGTGCTTGTGGTTGTCATTGAACCAGATATATTATTTTGCTGACTCAGGCATTTGATTGAACTCCAGCTCCTGAGTCTTTCAGTGCCATTAGGGTAATTTTGTATTCACTTTTGTAGGAATGTGACTGCTTCTTTATAAACTACTCAACAAATATAAAGTACAAAATAGTCATCTATAGTCAAAGGTGTGTCCTTAGCAAATGTTGAGTAGTGTATGTAAGCCTTTTTTAAAGATAGGGGACAGGACTTCTGTTTTGGAAATATTCATCATGGTTTATAGTTCCAGTAACTTTGCAAAAGAGATCTGAATATTTGAACTGTTGGAATTGTTATTGGGGGCACGTGTGGTCTAGTCGTCGAGGCGCCGCGATTCACTTTGCAGAGTTGCGTCCTAGGGGCGTGTCAGAAATCTATGATTGTGGGTTCAAATCCTGGTTTGCCCCGATTATGTTTCTAGGTTTGTCAGCACCATACCCATGCTCATGGGTTTCACCGAAGTGGTAAACGTCTGAGACCTGCATCACTTCGAGCTTTCTACCCACATTAAGCTGACACTCCGTGATATAACTGGAATAATGTTAAAAGCGGCGTTAAACCCAACTGACTCACTCTCTAGAATTGTTATTATCCTCTTTTTTTTATTTCCTGATCAAGTAATAAAGTGTTCAGAATGAAGATATTTGGCTATGGGTATTGCTTTTTGTAATTATGCTGTATGAACTTGATATGAAATTTAGATATTTTCTGGAACATTTATGATAATACTGTTTCTTGAAAACAGCATGTTTTACCAGTTATGGAAACATGGGTTTAGTGCTCATATATTTTGAGTGTCAATATAACTAAGATACTTTAAGTATGAGGTGTTTGCATTTATAGACATCCAGACCAAAGATAATAACTTATTTTTCTAATAAAACTATTTGTGAGGACTTTTATCTTGTTTATGGACACAATCAGTCACTAGTCATCAATCAGATGAAGAAAGTAGCATCTTGGTCTCAGACTTGTTCAGTCACAACAGGACTTCTGATGTCGGCTGCAGTGTCATGTTCTCAGACTCGTCCACTCGCATCAGGACTTCTGATGTCGGCTGTAGTGTCATCTTCTCAGACTCGTCCACTCACAGCAGGACTTCTGATGAAGGCTGCAGTGTCATGTTCTCAGACTCGTCCACTCACAGCAGGACTTCTGATGTCGGCTGTAGTGTCATGTTCTCAGACTTGTCATGTTCTCAGACTTGTCCACTCACAACAGGACTTCTGATGAAGGCTGCAGTGTCATGTTCTCAGACTCGTCCACTCGCATCAGGACTTCTGATGAAGGCTGTAGTGTCATGTTCTCAGACTCGTCCACTCACAGCAGGACTTCTGATGTCGGCTGTAGTGTCATGTTCTTAGACTCGTCAAGTCGCAACAGGACTTCTGATATTGGCTGTAGTGTCATGTTCTCAGACTCGTCCACTCACAACAGGACTTCTGATGACATATGGTTGGAAGAGGAAAGCGTCAGATATACCTCCTGAACGATTGACATGACACAATGTCGGTCTCTTGGAAACACTACCCTGTGGTGTTCATAAAAACTTCACAAAATTTCTGTATTGATGAGGAAATTTACTTCAGTGTCTTCTGAGAAGATGGTCTTAAGGCCTCTGTTCACACACCAGACTCCTAAAAGTTCATCATAAAAATCATTCAGATTGGTATAATGCCTTCGTTTGGGCAAGGTGGGTTGTGATTCTTCAGGTGTAAATATTGAACTGAGACACTAGCATAAGCTGATGATATGAATCAGATGGCATTAATATTGTCGAGATAGCATTTGAATTTTTAAAAGAAATTAATCAATTATAAGGTTCTGGACAATAAATAAATTAAAATATTCAGACTGCAAAAAATCAGTTTTAGAGAAAAGAAATTAAACATTTGTAGGTTTACATATTGAAGGGGGAAATCTCTGGTTCAAACATTTATTTGTAATGGTTATAAAATTCCATAATCTCATAAACTACTCGAGTCGTCAGTTTTCAACAAATATCTAAGGTCCCTTACCTAAAATGGTCAGTCTCTATAATGTCTTTTCCTCAGTGGAATACCTCCCACAGGAATATATTTTACATATCAGATGATTTGTTTCTTCAGTTGTTATTGTTCATGACATCCTTGTGGGCATTTTACGAAACAGTAGTCCAGCTTCATGCCTATGTTTACTGCCTGTTTAATCATGCATTTATGGGTGCAGGTCATGTGTTTTGTTTCTGGCCTTTGTCAAACACTGAATCATGAGACTGCCAACCCCCTTTTGGTATGCTGCATTTGGAGGTCTATTTAGAGGGTATTCGCAACTCAGTATGGAAATGTTCTATAGGTTTTCGTCTATTATCAACATTCTGCCTTTGTAGAGTCAATTCTTACATACTTTTTCTTAACTCGTGTTAATTAGTATTTGGGATTCAGAGGTGAGGAAATTGGACTCAGAGGGGGGTTGGCATCCTCTGTCTTGTTTTACATACTTTAGTTTCTTTAGGTGAGAGCTGACTTACCATAGAACTAGAGTGTTTGAAGAACCTGTTTGTATCTATGTATGTACATGTATCATGAAATACTCCTTTCTGTTGGTATGATGAGTACACTTCTAGGCTACTGGTACAAGTAGCCAAGGCCACACTGTGTTTTGAGGTTTGTGCATCCACAGCTGACCACAAAAGAGATTGTTTCGTTTAGTTTAGTTTTCTCATCACTGGTTTAGGTTGATTATAAGAGGAAACTACACAAGGCAACAAAACAGCTGTTGATCAAGATAAAAATTTAATTTTACAAATGCGTAGTAGAGAGTCCATCTGCTCTAATAGTGAGAACCAATACAGAAATGTATGCTTGTTATTGTAATTTGTAGAGATAGTAAAAAGCCTGCATTTAATGTGGCATTAATGGTTTACCCTCTTTACTGACATGTCAAAAATAAATACATTTACAAATATATCTATATTTTGACCTTCCCTATATATTAGAAAGAATTTCTGTAAACTGAAAAATAACACCAGTGTGAAATTGTGGCCAAGTAATGTTTGAAACATTTTTAGATTTGTGTCAAATAATTTATTTACTAAATCCAAACTCTATTTTCATATTCTTTTGCACCATTACAATGACTCAGCATCATTTTGCAAACATTTCATGAACAAGGTCTCACAGATATAGATACTTGATAACCAAGCTGTCCGAACATTACAGCTTGCAAAAACTATTGAGTCAGGTCTACTGTAAGTATTCAGAATCAGTTCAGATGAAGATGCATATCCTCTTCAGAGAGCCATTAGCTGTGCTTGGTCTCATGGACAGAACAGGATACATTTGCTCTTAATACATGTACCCGGTTTAGTTTGTTTTTTCTGAAAGAAACCTTTGTGATAAGATTTTACAGATAAATATTAGTTTGCTATATATTTATTTATGTATATTGTTTTTGTTTTGTGGTCTATTAACTAGTCCCTCAGAGCAGCCCAGTCGGAGCCACCTGTTTGGCTGAGGCATTACAAATGGCTGTATTTATTCTGTCTGTATGCTCGTCAAACAAGTGCTCCCTCCATGTGTACAGCATATTATACTGGCAATAAAATTCAATAGGAATTTTCATGTCTTGTTGAGTTCAGTTGTGGTTTTTGTGCAAAGACTAATACTTCTGATTGTACTTCTGACTGGTAAAACATGTAAATTGAGTATTTGTAACTTGTGTGACTATCATGACTAATACATTTGATGATCTGCATGTTCTTGTTGTGTTGGTATCATTCCACAGGGACATTGAGTCTCTCTGCTAGATATTTTTGGAGACATTGCACAGTTTCTCCGCAGGTTTCCTCTGAAGCCAAATTAGATTCTTGGATACACACCCTAGAGTCTCTCTGCTAGTTTCTTCCAGACAAACTCTTGGGTCTTTCTGACAGTTTCTTGAGGTGTCCCAGTCTGGGCTAGTGTCTTGGGGAGACACCCTAGATGATCTCCACTAGATTCTTGGGGAGACACCCTAGATTATCTCCACTAGTTTCTTGGGAGATACCCTAGATTATCTCCCCTAGTTTCTTGGGAGATACCCTAGATTATCTCCCCTAGTTTCTTGGGAGATACCCTAGATTATCTCCCCTAGTTTCTTGGGAGATACCCTAGATTATCTCCACTAGTTTCTTAAGGAGATACCCTAGATTATCTCCACTAGTTTCTTAGGAGATACCCTAGATTATCTCCACTAGTTTCTTGGGAGATACCCTAGATTATCTCCCCTAGTTTCTTGGGAGATACCCTAGATTATCTCCACTAGTTTCTTAAGGAGACACCCTAGATTATCTCCTCTAGTTTCTTAAGGAGATACCCTAGATTATCTCCCCTAGTTTCTTGGGAGATACCCTAGATTATCTCCACTAGTTTCTTAAGGAGACACCCTAGATTATCTCCACTAGTTTCTTTGGGAGACACCCTAGATTATCTCCACTAGTTTCTTGGGGAGACATCCTAGATTATCTCCACTAGTTTCTTAAGGAGACACCCTAGATCATCTCCACTAGTTTCTTAAGGAGACACCCTAGATCATCTCCACTAGTTTCTTGGTAGACAGATCACATCTTCCTTCTAATCAGGGGTGGGTAGGTCAGTAACCATCTAAATCAGTCTTCCAAAAGTTTTGTCTTTAGCTAAGATCACAGTCCATTTTTGAACATTTAGTAACTTAAAAATTTAGTTTGCCTTATGGTCCATATTATATAAGTAATACAAATGAATTTCATTCTCAAAGAATATGTCTTCAAAACAATTACAAGAATATTTTGTAACTGATAAAAATCATTTTATTAAGGTCGATTTGCATTCAAAGGATTTCAACAGAATTGTGTTTCTTTTTCTAAGCATGGAAAAGGTTGGTTGATCTATTTGGCAAGACCTTGTGGCCTTAGTGGCTAAAGTGCATCAAGCCACCTCGATCTGTTCTCTGTCTCCTTGGGTATACATGTAAATTCAACAGATTACCAGTAACACAACACAGGTAGTCTCAACTAACAGGTCTAACCATGTGTGGTAGATATTGGGTGCCAAATAATTAACATTAGTTGTCATGGTAACACGCTGCTTAAAGTCAGTGTTATTACAGCCATGGTTGTTACATGCCACACGTTCCACACTCACCCGGACAAAATGCTGCAGCTTTTCTTGTAGGGCTCGGGATGAAAATGTAAACAATACATATCTAGCATGCTAAGAAGTTTAAGTTAACATGCTGAAGGAGATAAGATAAATGGACGATAGGTGATTGAAAGTTCTGTTAATTTCTTACTTTTATTTATTACCTTTTTGACCTGAAATGTTGTTTTCAGTAAATCTGAAAATGTCTGTGACCTTCACCTTTAGGGATTGTTTCACAGATTTGCCGAAACAAATAGAATTTGTAGGATGGCAGACGACACATTGAAGACATATTCAAACATGACAGAAGTCATATGATTTAGGTTGTAAGAAGTTTTGATAAGGAAGTTAATGGTATTCTCGTCGATATGGTAATCATTCTGTTGTGAAGTGGTACATGGATGGCCCAGTCAGTCTAAGTTGACACAATTCACTGTGCAGAGTTGCGTCCCTTAGCGTGACAGAAACCTATGATGATCGGTTCAAATCCAAGGTTTGCCCTGATTCTGTGTCTAGGTTAGTCAGCACTATACCCATGCTCATGGGTTTCACCAGTGGTAAAGTCCTGCATCGCTTCATGCTTTTCTCCCGCATATCTGTACCTGAAATACCGGTACTGTTCAAACGGTGTTCAACCCATCCAGCTACTCTACTATTGCGAAGCATGGAAGGTTTGATGCAGTAGTTGTCCAGGGGCAATTGAAGGTGGTCTGGTGTGGGATGAGTGAGTGAGTGAGTTTGGTTTAACGCCGCTTTTAACAGTATTCCAGTTATATCGCAGCATGTCAGCTTAATGTGGGAGGAAAGCTCGAAGTGATGCTGGTCTTAGACGTTTACCACTTCAGTGAAACCCACGAGCATGGTGCTGACAAACCTAGAAACATAATCGGGGCGAACCGTGATTCGAACCCACAATCATAACTTTCTGGCGTGCCTAAGGGATGCAACTCTGCACAGCGAATCGCGGCGCCTTAGACAACTAGGCCACCCGTGCCCCTGGTGTGGGATGAAACAGATCTGGCTGTTGACTAAGATGTTAGTTCTATTGAAATAGGGACTAGATGCATGTTACAAATGTTAGACAAGATTCGATGAACTCACTGTAGCCACAGCTGATTGTCAGTAATAAACTATTTTCCATACCAGTGAACAGCCGAGTTGCTTGTTCGTGTCACCTGAGTGGAGCCTAGTGGTCGTGGAAAAGATTTGTTTGTTTGTTGTTTAATGCTGCACTCAGAAATAGTCCAGCTTTTTGACGGCTGGACCCCGTCTGGACCAGACAATCCATTGATTGACATCATGAGCATCAATCTACTCAATTGGGATACAATGACATGCATCAGATCGCCTCTTATGACAAGCATGTGTTGGTGAAGACCTAATCTAACCCGGGGGTATTCAAAGGAATCCTATTGTTGCTGGGAGAATATTTCGAATAATGTCACTTGGCTATGGAGATGCCATATTTTTGTAAATAATCAGTGCTTGGTGGGTACATACAGCAAAAATACTTGTACTAAAAAAAAACAACTTTTCAGGTTAATATCACATGAGTATATGGCACATGCATTTTATTAAATATCTTCTTAATGACGATCATGTTCAATTATTACCAGTATTACAAAGCTTTTACAATCATCCCATTATATACATGGTTGTTTCAGTAACCTGCTGCCATTGCACATTGAGTGCTACAGAAATCACTTTTCTTGTTCACTCACATGTTTCAAACCTAAGACGAATCAAACATTTTGCCTTAAGTTATCAGAAAGTACAAAGAGAAAAAGAAATCAAGACAATACAAAATATGAAAGGTAATAAGTTTGTGTGTTTCGATGTAGTGATCAGCACATCCAGTTTCTTTAGGACTCGAACTAAAACAATGAATCATAAACCTTATTATCACAATCCTTCCTTAACTTCTTTGGTTTCACAGTGTAATCACAGTCTGGCTGTCATTCCGCCAGTCACAACCACGGACTCGCCTGTCAAGTAACTCGAGTCATCAGATGCCAAAAAGGCCACGATTCCCGAGCAGTCTTCTGTCTCACCGATTCTGAAAGACAAACATAATTCTTGTGAATACCCTACCTCTATTACATCATTGCCATAAATTCCTGTTTATGCTGAGAGCCACACTACAAATTTAAATAAATTTTCAACAGACGTCCTCTTCACTGCCAACATATCTAACAGTTGTGAGGGAAACCCTATCCCTCGTCAGAGACGCCACCGCGCACGCGCGAGGTGGGAATCACCTCACTTCTTTCCTGTGTGTACAGATGACAACAAGGAAACTTTTTTGTTGCATACATCTGTACACGTGATTGCTGTTCCACACTTACAATCCACACTAGATCATCACAAGCTTCACTAAAGACAAGCAGTGAGTGGTCCTTCAAGCAGAGAACAGGGGTATAAGAAGGCTGAAGGCTCTTGTAAGTAATTAGTTAGAGAACGGGTTGTGGGATGACGCCCATCTGTTCAGTTTGTGGGCAACATCAAATCTCTGGTGACCCCCACCCTAGGTGCCTATCATGCAAGAAAAGCAATTGCATGCAAAACTCAAGGTGCAGTTATGGTGAACCTTTGTCCAAGGAGAAGTCTGAGAAACTTTCTAAGGCATGGCTCAATGACCCTGATTATAAAAAGAACACTTGAGCGTCAGCAAAATATTCATCTGCTTCTTGTAAAAAAGTGATTAAGTCCGTTGTGACACCTAAAGATAATCACGTGGATGACAAGCGAGTGTCGGGTGGGGACGCCATCTCGCCTTCTGAGGAGAAGAGATCTCATCGCACATCCCACTCTGCCAATATAGTTAAGGAAGCGATGTACCTTTCAGGTTTTAATGTAACCAGTCACGTACATCCAAAAGCGGCTGGTAAGGTGGATAATCTAGGCTTGGAAGAAGCAACCGATCTCCACTCTATGCCATGTTTCCCCTTTAACTTAAATGAGTTCACGGAAAAAATAACCAATTCCATGTCTGTAATGATTGACAAACGTATGCAATCAATGTCTCATGAAATCTCATATCTAAAAGAATCTGTCACACAACACAAGATTCAAAAGAGATCTAAGGCTGAATATGACAGGGCATCCTCACACAGCAGACACGCACAGTCAAGCTGAACCAGATTACTACGAGGACAGCAGGAGAGTCATAAAAAGAGATCGAGAATCATTCAATCTCTTAGATCCCCTCCCTACCACGCACATCATAGGGTAGATCGTGAATCACGGACATCACATCGCAGTGTGCACAGAAATACACACAAGTCACCTTCTAGCCACTATGATAGAAGAACTGACAACAAAACTCGTGCAAATCAAGATAGAATTCCCAAGTGTGCTCCATCCACTACAGTCCAGTTATACGGGCTGAGAAAGCGCAGTGGATGTTACGTCACAATCATACAGTTATAGAACATGTGATTCCCGCTCCGCTAGCTATAGATCAGATGACTGGGATATATTCTACCCCCAGCCATATCTCCTACCTCCAGCGCAGCCTGAGCAGGGGGTGCGGCTCTATTGCTAACACTGGTTCTTCATGCAATGGGGACTCTACTACCAGGGATAGTTACAAGCCAAATAATTATTCCATTAAAGATATCATTGCAGAACTTTGTAATCTGATGCCGGCCTTTAAACCAGATAACAAAGACAAAACGGTGTGTGTGTGTGAAAATTTCAGAATACCTCATGAACTCAGGGTAAGTTGACCTTTGTACTTAGTTTGCTATTGGATACTAGAAAAGTCAAGTGGCAACACTGAAATCATAGATCTAAAGGATACAAGTGATATACGGTTTCTTCATGATAATCTAGGATGTATGATGTACTACCATGGGAGACCTCACGTCCGGACTAACATCAAAATATCACTATCCAAAAGGGCATAATAGAAACTATGTCATGAGGTGATATGAAATCATAGAAGACATATATCGCAAACGAGGTCAGTGTATGACCTTGATGTCATCACCGGAAGTGACATCATAATATGTCTAAGCATCACATTTGTGGCTAAATATATGTATATTATGTTCATAATATGACGTTTTGTCTATGTCTAGCCTTGAAGTTAGGTCATTAGACATATCCTGTTTGGTCCCTTTGTATTCCCACTTCACAAAAGCCAAATATCTAAGAGATGCTAGATACCAGATCCCACCGGTCCCTCTGGTGTATACTGGCTATGGTGTACTGGAGGTAGGGTATTCACAAGAATTTTCTAACAATAGTTATCATTGTGTATAATTCTAAGAATACTACCTCAATTACATCAGGAATTAATCCCTCCCACCTCCCCAAATATCTGCATCTAGTTGATGAGGGTCATGGGTTGAAAGAAGTGAGGTGATTCCCGCCTTGCGCTGCGCTGTGGCGTCTCTGACGAGGGATAGGGTTTCCCTCACAACTGTTAGATATGTTGGCAGTGAAGAGGACGTCTGTTGAAAATATATTTAAATTTTTAGTGTGGTTATCAGCATAAACAGGAATTTATGGCTATGATGTAATAGAGGTAGTATTCTTAGAATTATACACAATGATAACTATTGTTAGATTTTAAGGCACCACAACCTCAGAGTCGAGCTGTCCGGCCCCCCGTCACCAGAACCGATTCTCCGGTCATATAGCTAGCGTCGTCCGACACCAGGAACGATACAATCCCAGAACAATCCTCTGGTACACCAATTCTGAAGAAAATTAAAACAATCGGACAGGTCTACCTCATGACAATCAGTGTTCCCAGTGGTGACTCATGAGTGAGAGGTTAGCTATTTCAAGCAATGCCAGAAAAGTAAGGTGAAATGGGGTTTAACATCCTGTCACATTCAAGATTATTGCACTTATATAGCAACGTGGTGTGGCTGCTTGCACTCGTCCAGTTTTATATTGCTTGCCCACTAAGATACCATGCCTCAGTTTAACATGGATATCAAGCTTGGACACATTCTACTGAGTCAGACAGTCCTTCTCTTATCCCCTGCATGACAAGTGCCAGGCAGGGTAATAACAAGTACCATCTTTTAACGTCTTCTGGTATGGCGTAGCCAGGGATCGACCCACCAACCTTCATCTCTCCACATGGACGCTCTATACACACAGGCAGTCCGCTACACGTAAACAAGAAGCACTCACTGAGGATTCTGGGAAAGAAATTTCTTCTCGTAACAAAAAGTATTGACAGCCCACCATGAAACAGCTGATGACTGCTGTAAACAACATTCACTCAGTTTGACACTGTGAGAGGATTGCCTTGTAGCTGCATGTCATGAGACTTACCGTCGGAGTGGGATTCCTTCCAGCGCTTTGTCAAGGGCAGCATCACTCTTCCATAACTGAAGGTAATGAAACACAATCAAAACAGTCAACATTGAACCTTTTACTGCCCTAATGAACAGATCACCTAGACAGGAGATATAGCAGACCTGGCAACTCACTAAGCATTTAACCCTTTACTGCCCCAATGAACAGATGACCTAGACAGGAGATGTTGACGACCTGGCAACTCACTAAGCATTGAACCCTTTACTGCCCCAATGAACAGATCACCTAGACAGGAGATGTTGACGACCTAGCAACTCACTAAGCATTTAACCCCTTACTCCTCACATGAACAGATCACCTAGACAGGAGATGTTGATGACCTGGCAACTCACTAAGCATTGAACCCCTTACTCCTCACACGAACAGATGACCTAGACAGGAGATGTTGACGACCTGTCAACTCACTAAGCATTGAACCCCTTACTCCTCACACGAACAGATGACCTAGACAGGAGATGTTGACGACCTGTCAACTCACTAAGCATTGAACCCCTTACTCCTCACACGAACAGATGACCTAGACAGGAGATGTTGACGACCTGACAACTCACTAAGCATTGAACCCCTTACTCCTCACATGAACAGATGACCTAGACAGGAGATGTTGACGACCTGTCAACTCACTAAGCATTGAACCCCTTACTCCTCACATGAACAGATGACCTAGACAGGAGATGTTGACGACCTGTCAACTCACTAAGCATTGAACCCCTTACTGCCCCAATGAACAGATGACCTAGACAGGAAATGTTGACGACCTGTCAACTCACTAAGCAATGAACCCCTTACTCCTCACATGAACAGATGACCTAGACAGGAGATGTGGACAACCCGGCAACTCACTAAGCATTGAACCCCTTACTCCTCACATGAACAGATCACCTAGACAGGAGATGTTGACGACCCTGGCAACTCACTAAGCATTGAACCCCTTACTCCTCACATGAACAGATCACCTAGACAGGAGATGTTGACGACCTGACAACTCACTAAGCATTGAACCCCTTACTCCTCACATGAACAGATGACCTAGACAGGAGATGTTGACGACCTGTCAACTCACTAAGCAATGAACCCCTTACTCCTCACATGAACAGATGACCTAGACAGGAGATGTTGACGACCTGTCAACTCACTAAGCAATGAACCCCTTACTCCTCACATGAACAGATGACCTAGACAGGAGATGTTGACGACCTGTCAACTCACTAAGCATTGAACCCCTTACTGCCCCAATGAACAGATGACCTAGACAGGAAATGTTGACGACCTGTCAACTCACTAAGCATTGAACCCCTTACTCCTCACACGAACAGATGACCTAGACAGGAGATGTTGACGACCTGACAACTCACTAAGCATTGAACCCCTTACTCCTCACATGAACAGATGACCTAGACAGGAGATGTTGACGACCTGTCAACTCACTAAGCATTGAACCCCTTACTGCCCCAATGAACAGATGACCTAGACAGGAGATGTTGACGACCTGACAACTCACTAAGCATTGAACCCCTTACTCCTCACATGAACAGATGACCTAGACAGGAGATGTTGACGACCTGGCAACTCACTAAGCATTGAACCCCTTACTGCCCCAATGAACAGATGACCTAGACAGGAGATGTGGACGACCTGACAACTCACTAAGCATTGAACCCCTTACTCCTCACATGAACAGATGACCTAGACAGGAGATGTTGACGACCTGGCAACTCACTAAGCATTGAACCCCTTACTCCTCACATGAACAGATGACCTAGACAGGAGATGTGGACAACCCGGCAACTCACTAAGCATTGAACCCCTTACTGCTCACATGAACAGATGACCTAGGCAGGAGATGTTGACGACCTGGCAACTCACTAAGCATTGAACCCCTTACTCCTCACATGAACAGATCACCCTAGACAGGAGATGTTGACGACCTGTCAACTCACTAAGCATTGAACCCCTTACTGCCCCAATGAACAGATGACCTAGACAGGAGATGTTGACGACCTGGCAACTCACTAAGCATTGAACCCCTTACTCCTCACATGAACAGATGACCTAGACAGGAGATGTTGACGACCTGGCAACTCACTAAGCATTGAACCCCTTACTCCTCACATGAACAGATCACCTAGACAGGAGATGTTGACGACCTGGCAACTCACTAAGCATTGAACCCCTTACTCCTCACACGAACAGATGACCTAGACAGGAGATGTTGACGACCTGGCAACTCACTAAGCATTGAACCCCTTACTCCTCACACGAACAGATGACCTAGACAGGAGATGTTGACGACCTGACAACTCACTAAGCATTGAACCCCTTACTCCTCACACGAACAGATGACCTAGACAGGAGATGTTGACGACCTGGCAACTCACTAAGCATTGAACCCCTTACTCCTCACATGAACAGATGACCTAGACAGGAGATGTTGACGACCTGTCAACTCACTAAGCATTGAACCCCTTACTCCTCACATGAACAGATCACCTAGACAGGAGATGTTGACGACCTGACAACTCACTAAGCATTGAACCCCTTACTCCTCACATGAACAGATGACCTAGACAGGAGATGTTGACGACCTGTCAACTCACTAAGCATTGAACCCCTTACTGCCCCAATGAACAGATGACCTAGACAGGAGATGTTGACGACCTGGCAACTCACTAAGCATTGAACCCCTTACTCCTCACACGAACAGATGACCTAGACAGGAGATGTTGACGACCTGGCAACTCACTAAGCATTGAACCCCTTACTCCTCACACGAACAGATGACCTAGACAGGAGATGTTGACGACCTGACAACTCACTAAGCATTGAACCCCTTACTCCTCACACGAACAGATGACCTAGACAGGAGATGTTGACGACCTGACAACTCACTAAGCATTGAACCCCTTACTCCTCACATGAACAGATGACCTAGACAGGAGATGTTGACGACCTGGCAACTCACTAAGCATTGAACCCCTTACTCCTCACATGAACAGATCACCTAGACAGGAGATGTTGACGACCTGACAACTCACTAAGCATTGAACCCCTTACTCCTCACATGAACAGATGACCTAGACAGGAGATGTTGACGACCTGTCAACTCACTAAGCATTGAACCCCTTACTGCCCCAATGAACAGATGACCTAGACAGGAGATGTTGACGACCTGACAACTCACTAAGCATTGAACCCCTTACTCCTCACATGAACAGATGACCTAGACAGGAGATGTTGACGACCTGGCAACTCACTAAGCATTGAACCCCTTACTGCCCCAATGAACAGATGACCTAGACAGGAGATGTGGACGACCTGACAACTCACTAAGCATTGAACCCCTTACTCCTCACATGAACAGATGACCTAGACAGGAGATGTTGACGACCTGGCAACTCACTAAGCATTGAACCCCTTACTCCTCACAATAACAGATGACCTAGACAGGAGATGTGGACAACCCGGCAACTCACTAAGCATTGAACCCCTTACTGCTCACATGAACAGATGACCTAGGCAGGAGATGTTGACGACCTGGCAACTCACTAAGCATTGAACCCCTTACTCCTCACATGAACAGATCACCCTAGACAGGAGATGTTGACGACCTGTCAACTCACTAAGCATTGAACCCCTTACTGCCCCAATGAACAGATGACCTAGACAGGAGATGTTGACGACCTGGCAACTCACTAAGCATTGAACCCCTTACTCCTCACATGAACAGATGACCTAGACAGGAGATGTTGACGACCTGGCAACTCACTAAGCATTGAACCCCTTACTGCCCCAATGAACAGATGACCTAGACAGGAGATGTGGACAACCCGGCAACTCACTAAGCATTGAACCCCTTACTCCTCACATGAACAGATGACCTAGACAGGAGATGTTGACGACCTGTCAACTCACTAAGCATTGAACCCCTTACTCCTCACATGAACAGATCACCTAGACAGGAGATGTTGACGACCTGTCAACTCACTAAGCATTGAACCCCTTACTCCTCACATGAACAGATGACCTAGACAGGAGATGTTGACGACCTGGCAACTCACTAAGCATTGAACCCCTTACTCCTCACACGAACAGATGACCTAGACAGGAGATGTTGACGACCTGACAACTCACTAAGCATTGAACCCCTTACTCCTCACATGAACAGATGACCTAGACAGGAGATGTTGACGACCTGACAACTCACTAAGCATTGAACCCCTTACTCCTCACACGAACAGATGACCTAGACAGGAGATGTTGACGACCTGGCAACTCACTAAGCATTGAACCCCTTACTCCTCACATGAACAGATCACCTAGACAGGAGATGTTGACGACCTGACAACTCACTAAGCATTGAACCCCTTACTGCTCACATGAACAGATGACCTAGACAGGAGATGTTGACGACCTGTCAACTCACTAAGCATTGAACCCCTTACTCCTCACATGAACAGATCATCTAGACAGGAGATGTTGACGACCTGTCAACTCACTAAGCATTGAACCCCTTACTCCTCACATGAACAGATCACCTAGACAGTAGATGTTGACGACCTGGCAACTCACTAAGCACTGAACCCCTTACTCCTCACATGAACAGATCACCTAGACAGGAGATGTTGACGACCTGGCAACTCACTAAGCATTGAACTCTTTACTCCTCACATGAACAGATGACCTAGACAGGAGATGTTGACGACCTGACAACTCACTAAGCATTGAACCCCTTACTCCTCACATGAACAGATGACCTAGACAGGAGAAATAGCAGAGCTGGCAACTCACAGCTTCACTGAACTTGGTCTTGATGAGTCCTGGGCACACCACGTTTATTCGGATGTTGTCAGCAGCTAGTTCGGGGACCATTGCCTTGCTGAGACCCAGCAGTGACGTCTTACTGACGGAGTAGGCTCCCAGCAGCTGTAGACACATGATGTCATGACTCACGATAAGTAGTGCTCCATACACCACAGGCACTGTTCACAAAAAGTAGTGCTCCATACACCACAGGCACTTTTCACAATAAGAAGTGTCCATACACCACAGGCGCTTTTCACAAAAAGTAGTGCTCCACACACCACAGGCACTTTTCACAATAAGTAGCATGAGTAGTGCTCCATACACCACAGGCACTTTTCACAAAAAGTAGTGCTCCACACACCACAGGCACTTTTCACAATAAGTAGTGCTCCACACACCACAGGCACTTTTCACAATAAGTAGTGCTCCACACACCACAGGCACTTTTCACAACAAGTAGTGCTCCACACACCACAGGCACTTTTCATAATAAGTAGTGTGCTCCACACACCACAGGCACTTTTCACAATAAGTAGTGTTCCACACACCACAGGCACTTTTCACAAAAAGTAGTGCTCCACACACCACAGGCACTTTTCACAATAAGAAGTGCCCATACACCACAGGCACTTTTCACAATAAGTAGTCGCCCATTCACCACAGGCACTTTTCACAATAAGTAGTGCTCCACACACCACAGGTGCTTTTCACAATAAGTAGTGCTCCACACACCACAGGCACTTTTCACAATAAGTAGCATGAGTAGTGCTCCATACACCACAGGCACTTTTCACAATAAGTAGTGCTCCACACACCACAGGCACTTTTCACAATAAGTAGTGCTCCACACACCACAGGCACTTTTCACAATAAGTAGTGCTCCATACACCACAGGCACTTTTCACAATAAGTAGTGCTCCATACACCACAGGCACATTTCACAATAAGTAGTGCTCCATACACCACAGGCACTTTTCACAATAAGTAGTGCTCCATACACCACAGGCACTTTTCACAATAAGTAGTGCTCCATACACCACAGGCACTGTTCACAATAAGTAGTGCACTATATATTACTGAGGCTACAAAGGGTGTTAAATACATGCTACTCACACTAAAAGGTGTTAAATACATGCTACTCACACTAAGGGTGTTATATAGGGGGTAATCACACATTAAAGGGTGTTTATACAGGGGATACTCACATTAATGGGTGTTATATAGGGGATACTCACATTAAAGGGTGTTATATAGGGGATACTCACATTAAAGGGTGTTATATAGGGTACTCACATTAAAGGGTGTTATATAGGGGATAATCACATTAAAGGGTGTTTATACAGGGGACACTCACATTAAAGGGTGTTTATACAGGGTGATACTCACAATAAAGGGTGTTATATAGGGGATACTCACATTAAAGGGTGTTATATAGGGATACTCACATTAAAGGGTGTTATAAAGGGGATACTCACAATAAAGGGTGTTATATAGGGGATACTCACATTAAAGGGTGTTATGTAGGGATACTCACATTAATAGGTGTTATATAGGGGATACTCACATTAAAGGGTGTTTATACAGGGGATACTCACATTAAAGGGTGTTTATACAGGGGATACTCACATTAATGGGTGTTATATAGGGGATACTCACATTAAAAGGTGTTATAAAGGGGATACTCACATTAAAGGGTGTTATAAAGGGGATACTCACATCAAAGGGTGTTATAAAGGGGTACTCACATTGAAGGGCACATATCCAGCAACAGAGCTGATGAGTACAATGGATCCCTTGCTGGAACAAAGCAACGTTAGACTCTGGAAACAAGCTCCATCAGTATAGCGCATCCTGAACTAAAAGTGTCAGCTAGCACCAACCTGGTTTATGCTTTAGCCAGGTTTACACTGATTACCCCATCTGAGCACATCACGTTGTTAGGGTCTTCAAGATATTTCCACATAGGTTTTGAAGTGATTCTTTACAACATAAACTATTGGCAGGCATAAATCTTACCCTTTCTCTTTAATATATGGCAAAGCCTCTTTGCACAGAAAAAATGTTGACTTGACATTAACTTCAAATATCTGAAAGGAAACAAACACACGCATTCAAGATTCAGATTGATTACTATTCAATACTAAAGGTTTTACTTTTAACACTTATAGCTAGATGTATCATGTATCATGAGTGAGTGAGTGAGTGAGTGAGTGAGTGAGTGAGTGAGTGAGTGAGTGAGTGAGTGAGTGAGTGAGTGAGTGAGTGAGTGAGTGAGTGAGTGAGTGAGTGAGTGAGTGAGTACCAGAATCTCTACTTTACTAAGAAAGTGTTATCCTGAATATAACATTGTTACATTTAACCACTTTCTAACTGGCATTGTGTGTTCAATATGTAAGTAATCTTTATAAGTGCCCCTGTAAAAGGCCAAACATTCTCATACAGTGATATTTTCTTGTGTAAATGACACATATTGTACAGAAAACATGCGTGTCGAAGGGGTAAATAACTGCCAAGTAACTATTATCGACACAAGGACACATCTGACCAGTATGGACACTCACCTTGTCCCACGCTTCAGGGGTTGTCTGAAAGAACAACAGACAGTCGTAGGTCAATTAATACTTATACAAATACCATATGCTGAGATAAAAAAGTCCTCAAGTTCAAGAACTGAATGTAACAAGATTAAGAGTGAGTGAGTGAGTGAGTACGGTTTTACGCCGCTTTTAGCAATATTCCAGCAATATCACGGCAGGTGACACCAGAAATGGGCTTCACACATTGTACCCATGTCGGGAATCGAACCCAGGTCTTCGGCGTGACGAGCGAACGCTTTAACCACTAGGCTTCCCGACCGCCCCTAACAAGATTAAGAAGAGGATGGGATGCAAGGGGGGTGATGGTTTAATTACATACAAGCTGTGGTACCCGTGAAAATCCAGGGTAGGATAGGTCTTCAGCACCCCATTCTTGTCGTAAAAGGCAACTATGCTTGTTGTCAGAGGAGACTAATGAGGTGGTCAGGCTCGCTGACTTGGTTGATGCATGTCATCATATTCCAGTTGCATGGATCGATGCTCATGATGTCAATCACTGGATTGTCTGGTCAAGATTTGATTATTCACAGACCGCCATCAAAAAGCTGGAATATTGCTGAGTGCGGCGTTAAACAACAAACAAACAAAACATACAAGCATTGGGGCGTCTGGAAGGGAGACAAACACAGAGAGTAAGTGAGCGAGTGTTGTTCAACACCACAGGCAGCAGTATTCCAGCTTTATCAAGGCAGCCAGTAAACGATGGAATCGGGACGTGGCAAATAATGCTAGGATATTATACTCTCAAACCAGTTGGTCTTACAACCAACATTACTCCAGAGTATAAGTCAATGACAAGAAACGAGTGTATTGAGTGCAGGACAACTAAGCTATTAATAGACATGGGAAGGACCTCTCACAGCCTGTGAGGAAAAGACAACAAACGTCACAGCAATCATGCTTATGTTACTGTTCTGTTTACTATCCATTCTGCCATAATGAGTAAGCCACGTATGTTGTAATCATACTTATTTCTACAATTTTAATGCCGGTCCAAACAGCAAACAGCAAGTGAAGATGATAGTCCAAGTAATATTCAATCTCATTAAAATCAGACCTTAGTTCTCGGTACCGCTAAACAATGATCTGAGGACATCCCATTAGGGGTCACGTCAGAATGACCTTTCATCCAACCAATCAGTGCGTCACTTACCAGATTATGAAAGTGACAGTTGGAATGTGATTTCAAATCATGCAATCTCGAAAACTTTAACATGGGGTATTCCGAACGATAGTTACGGGTTTAACGACTGAATCCTTACAATCTAGACCATCTATTAGCCATTCCAGAATGTTTTTATGTTCAGGTTTCAAATTTGTAATCGAGAATATGTCAAAATATGTCTCGAAGCGTAATCGCCAATTTGAAATTTGTGCCGTAAAGCACGAGAAAGCTGCCTTCTGATTGGTCATTCCATTGGTCGGTCAAAGTTCGTGCAAGGTCGGTCTGACGTGACCCGTAATGGGATGTCCTCAGATCTTTGTTTAGCGGTAGCGAGAACTAAGATCTGATTTTAATGAGATTGAGTAATATTTTGCAAGACAAACATCAGTAATATCCAGTAAACTGAAATATTGTTTACTAAAGATTTCTACTTACCTCCATGATAGGCCCGAATATTGGGTTGATGGCTGCATTGGAGACTAATATGTCGATCCCGCCGAACGTCTTCACAGTCTGTGGTGAGATGAAGGGAAACACACCTGTCACAGCTGGTCAGGTAGGAGGGAAATGGTCTATGGTGACCAACCATTTCCTATTCAGTCATTTGTACAGAAATTGATGAAAAAATAAAACGGCCTCAGGTTTTAAAACAACATCTTCCAGAGGCAAGGGCATTAACTGACTATAAGGGTCAGTAACTAGGCTTGATCGTAGCACAACCAGTGGCTATTATGAGTTATGTCTCTTCTATGTCCCTCCTATTGACCAATCAGTCACTCATATCACTTGCATTTGCTTCAAAGAAAATGGTGGTGCCCAGTCAAGGCAATCAGATCAAATTATCAAGATATTGTAATTGGTCTAACCCTGCGAAGTGCATCAAATCACTTGAGCACCTTGATTTAAAACATGAAAAGATTTACAAAATATCTTTCGACACACAGTTGGCATTACACATGTTTTGCAAATCCTGCAGTGGACCAAAATCTGCATGTTGAAATCCATGTTGATTATGAACCAGATGTCTAGTTCGCTACACAATTTTGATTGGACTATACAAAGACTCGTTAGTCCTGCTAAAATGTAACTCCCGAATTCAAACCTAGTTTGGCAAGGGTGGAAACTGGAGTTTTATCATCAGTTAACTCCCTTGTCTTGGGAAGATGTTAAAACAAAAACTGATTACTGTATCTTGCATGGTTCCAGCTTCCAGAAAGATACATTGTACATGTTGAAACCGTGACAGAAAAAAATATTCGGAAGACTTGGCCATGTGTGCCCCCTAAACTTGTAGCAAAGATATGACGATGAATCACCATCCTAAACCTACCTCCTGAATCAGCTTGGCTCGGTCTGCGGGCTTCCCAACGTGACATGTGACCCCGGCTACGTTGAGGTTCTCAGACTGGAGTTGCTTTACCGCTGCATCCACATTGGCTTGTTTCCGGCTACTCACCATCACCCTGGCACCATCTTGACCGAGTCTACGAGCCACGGCAAAACCAATGCTGCAACACATATTTACATTTTTTATTTTTGTTTGTTTAATGCCTCACTCAGCAATATTTCAGCTGTATGACGACAGTCTGTAAATAATCGAGTCTGGACCAGACAATCCAGTGATTGACATCATGAGCATCAATCCTCGCAATTGGGATATGATGACATGCATCAAACAAGTCTGCGAGCCTGACCACCCAATCCTGTTTGTCGCCTATATTAACAATGTACTGATCTTTTAGATTGATGAACTCTTGTCTACAGTCTCATTTAGGAAATAAACAACAAGTGGGAGTTGTTTATCGTACAATAAAACACTGAAGGGAGAATAAACCATGAGTTGCGCAGCAGTGTTTTATTGTGTGGTAAACAACAACGATGAATCGTTCATTTCTAATATGAGATTTCAACAGAATGTGATGGCTGGAATATTGCCGATGTGACGTAAAGCATTAACTCACTCACTCACTCAACAGAATGTGCGGCCTCATAATGGATGTTCATAATATGTACAAGCTTTAAAAAGATTTACCCGTATTTTAATAATGATGACTCCCTCAATAGAATTCGACCTTGGCAGGCCAGACAAGTCCATTTTATGCACAGGTGGGTATTTCCCACATATTCTCACAATCCTCACGTCAGTTTACCTGCGCCTTTTCTCCCAAAACCGATTGTCATATCTCTCTCACTTTTGGTTGCAATCATTCGGGCAATCATGTTTATCTGCATTGCCCAGCTAAATCTATTGGGAATAACTCACTACACACTTCCCTCTCAAACATAACGTCGTCCAATTTACATCATCAAGTTGTGAGCGCATGTTCGAATCTCCAGAAATGACATCATGATAGAACAATGTTTTATCATGAAATAAACCATGCTTCGTTCTTCATTGTTCTTTGCAATTGATCGCGTAGCTGTCTTATATATTGCAATAACCATCATTCTTTGTCAACCCTTTTCAATTTTTTTCCATAATCTAGTTCTGAAAAGGTTAAGAGAATAATAGTATATGAAAAATGTATTGACTAGAATCAGTGCAAATAACAATAAGGGAAATAGACTTGAGATGTTCTACTTGATATATTTCATATTTCGGTCAGAGCAGACTTCGATCACAACATTGAGAGACAACATGGATTTTTAAAATGAAATGCAATTTCAATTTTTTTAATGATTAAATTATGACTTTGACTGACTGTCTACTCGTCATACCCTTCTGTAGAAGCTGTCACGATGGCAACCTTGCCCGCTAGTTTCCCACTGCCTGTCGAGCTTGCCATTCTCATCAATATACGAGGGGCCACGGAGATAGGACGGAACACACGGGACCACATCAATCTTAATTAAACTTCACGTTGTGATGCTGAAAATAAATAACATTAACCATAAATGCATTTTAAAGAGAGTTCCTTTTATCAATACTTAATAAATTGTTTATGAATAGTACTACTGGAATCATACTAGTTTCAGGGAGCTGCTGCGGTTGTTTGTTTGTTTGTTTGTTTGTTTGTTTATACACTCAGCAATATTACAGCTATATGACGGCGGTCTGTAAATAATCGTGTCTGGACCAGACAATCAAGTGATTGACATTATAAGCATCAATCCAGGTAACTGGGATATGATGAAGGGAAGCTAATATTCTCGTTTATATGACTCTGGTTCATAAGAATGTTATTTCTGATTATGCTTGAGTTTTCAAATATGCCTCCAGTTAAGATGCTATAAAGGCGTGCTGTTTTGCATGGCAGTCAGTAACAAGTCAATAAGTCAGCTATATCACGATGACGTGTAAATGTTGTTTGTTGTTTTGTTGTTTAACGCAGCACTCAGCAATATTCCAGCTATATGACTGCAGTCTGTAAATAATTGAGTCTGGACCAGAAAATCCAGTGATTGATATCATGAGCATCGATCCATGCAATTGGGATCGATGACATGCCTCAGCCAAGTCAGCGAGCCTGACCACCCGATCAAGTTAGTTGCCTCTTACAAGCATTGTAGTCTTTTACGGCATGCATGGGTTGCTGAAGACCTATCCTACCCCGGCTCATCACATGTAAATAATAAATCTTGGCCAGACAAACCAGTGGTTGCCATCATGAGCACAGCCCCATGCCACCTGTGTACAATGACAAGAAGTCAACTATGTCATAGAGTCTGAAATTCAATCCATTTATGTCGACTCATTCTACAAGCATATAGGTTATGTGGACTGAATCTAACCCGGAAAACCTACATGGTACAGCCATAAAAAGGATATAATATAGTTTGTCATCTGTTACACTATGTTCTACAGTATTACACATCCAAGTGAATTAAACACTGGACAGTTGATTGACAAGTCAAACATTGGATACTGTGACCACCATTTATACGTGTGTCCTAGAACACATTTACCTACGCATGGCATACAGTCCTATTGATGTACGTATATGCTCCCTCAACTATATGAATATAAACCTCTGTTAGATATGCATTCCAAAGTCACATGTTGATAAAAGATGACAATCGTCCGCACACTGACTTTTTTCTAAACTATTATTTCAAACCTCTAAGACAGCATCGTGCGTCCTGACCCTGGACCGTTACAGTTGGACTTTGATCACAACATGACACTCGGTCAAGTTCAACCCTCGCAGAATTAGATCTACCTGCACTAGATAGTTTTTCTTTAGTATTTGAGTTAAAAAATGCTCTGTTTCTAAGTGACAACCATATGCAATACATGCAATCGATTTATTGGATCATACGTTTACAAAATAGCTTCTTCATGTGTATTGCTAACAGTGAAAGTTACTAACTGAAATTCAGAACTAATGTTGAAGCTTGATCACCAAAGACTCCGCTGCAGTGTATTAACTTGACTGCATTGGTTCATCAGTATTCGGATCTGAGTCCTCTGCACGGAGCATACATAAATCCACACAGCGACATTTCAACATCATCTACATTGCTTTTAAACGTCTGAGTGTGATGTAGAGCCCAGCGGTTGTTTACGGTTCGAGCGGCAAGCTTAGTAAGCTGGGTCCCGTCTGTTCATATCACAATCATACTATTTTAGATAGACAGGAGCCCAGTTAGAGTCATAAGCTGATTCCCGTGATGTGAAGAGAGGGAGCCCAGCTGAAAGTGTACCTGTAACACGTATTTCTATTGGTTGAATATAAATAGATTTACATCATAGCTAGACTTAGGAACTTACGGGTTACTTTATTGGTTCTTCTCCATGCGGTCAATCACAACACACGGGAAATGCATGTCGGTACAGGTTAAGCCATGCTTTTAAAGCTCTTCACTTTCCGCGAAGTCTTCAAAACAATAACAAGCAGGGTAGGGGTAGGACGCACTGTCACAACAATGCGGACTGTTTCACAGAAAGAATTACCGGGATCTGAGAACGACAAACCGAGTGGGTTCACGTAAACATGTTTTTTTTAATAAGGAATAATGTTTTATCGGGTTATTGTGTCCTGAAATCGATAAGCTCTTTGTCAATATACCGGCAGGATGCTGACAAGACAATAAAATGTTTGCTGACGGGCCAGAATCTTTATGGAACTAACAAGAAACCGTTCCTAATTTATGGCTCGGGGTGTTGAAGAGGATTTCAAGTATCAAATTTCATCACACACCTGCACACACCAAATATTGTATACATTGTACTTGCATTTTAGTAAATTTGTTGTCTTTTCAAAATGGGGACTTATGATTTTATATTCTATGTTTATAGATGGCATCACGAGACAGCATTCACGGGAAGACGTGCCACCAAAATCGAAATACACAGTATGTACGCAGTGTGTTTTGCGAAATACGTCAAAGGTTACTCAACATTTAAAGTACCATATTCCACCTTTTAGAAACTGCAATACTTGCTGGCCACTAATTGATGCCGGTCTCATGCTTTGTCCGGAAAATAGTACCTGTGTCGTTTATACAATTTGGGGCCATCATTTGATGAAATTAATGATCCCTATGAAATTAACTTGCAGCATGAAATGATTACTCCCTTCACTAAATAGACCGCCTCCGTGGTCTAATGGTAGAGCGTCCGCCCGGAAAGCGGAAGGTCCGGGGTTCGATCCCCGGCCGCGTCATACCAAAAGACGTTAAAAGATGGTACTTGTTGTTACCCTGTCTGGCACTCGGCATTAAGGGGCTAAAACAAGGACTGGTCGGCTCGGAGTCCGTATACTGTGTCTGAGTGGGGTATTCATGTTAAACTGCGGCATGGTATCTCAGTGGGCTAGCACTATAAATCGGCATCAGTCCGGACTAGTACAAGCAGCCACACAAACACACACACGTACATGCACGTCGCTATTTTAGTGCAATAATCTTGGACGCAACGTTAAACCCCATTTCACCTCACCTCACCCTTCACTAAATAATGCCCGTTTCTTGCTAATGTACTGTGGAGTGTGGGATTCAGTAAGATGGTGAGTTGCCGCTGTGCCAGCAATAAACAGAGGTAAGGTGGTGTGACATGGGGTTTCAACTACTTTTAAGTTCTATCTATTAACGTCTTTTGGTATGACTCGGGGGAGGATCACACCCCAACCTTCTGCCCTCCAAGTGGACTACTACCACTATACCACGGAGGTGGTGCGAAATATCAGAATAAATGAAGGGCCTCTAAAAGATGCTGAGTCAATGGCTTGTGCAAAATTAATAGAGGAAATACGGTACCTATATTGTTTCGCTCTTAGACAGTCTCTACAAGTCATGCAGTGTTAGAAATGGCTGAAGTCAAAGTTTGTTATCATTTTGTTTTCATTTCATAGTTAATCGGAAACCCACACGAAAAAGTAAACTGTGGTTTGCTGTACAATGAGGTGACTGATATGCATGTACGTGCGTATTTAGCGATGCATGTGAAGGTCTAAGAACCACCTCAAACATTAGACAAATGTACAGTACCAAGCAGCTAATCAGCTTGACCACTGATTGGTGTAATGATCTCAAAACACACACTGTCATATTTGCATAGAGCTCTGATTTTAACCAAATTTCTTTGTTCTCTCAGATTTGCATAGAGCTCTGATTTTAACCAAATTTCTTTGTTCTCTCAGATGTGCATAGAGCTCTGATTTTAACCAAATTTCTTTGTTCTCTCAGATTTGCATAGAGCTCTGATTTTAACCAAATTTGTTTGTTCTCTCAGATTTGCATGGAGCTCTGATTTTAACCAAATTTCTTTGTTCTCTCAGATTTGCATGGAGCTCTGATTTTAACCAAATTTCTTTGTTCTCTCAGATTTGCATAGAGCTCTGATTTTAATCAAATTTCTTTGTTCTCTCAGATTTGCATGGAGCTCTGATTTTAACCAAATTTCTTTGTTCTCTCAGATGTGCATAGAGCTCTGATTTTAACCAAATTTCTTTGTTCTCTCAGATTTGCATAGAGCTCTGATTTTAACCAAATTTGTTTGTTCTCTCAGATTTGCATGGAGCTCTGATTTTAACCAAATTTGTTTGTTCTCTCAGATTTGCATGGAGCTCTGATTTTAACCAAATTTCTTTGTTCTCTCAGATTTGCATAGAGCTCTGATTTTAACCAAATTTCTTTGTTCTCTCAGATTTGCGTGGAGGGAAACATTGGAAGTGGAAAGACAACATTGCTTGATTATTACAAGGACTACAGCATGACTGAGGTAAGACGTCCACGGTCATACTGAGCTACTGGTATAACTCCTACCTAAGTTAGGAAGAATGGCAAACACGGACCTGATAGGTATAGTGAAGCGCTCAATCTCCTTTATCATGATGTGCATCTTTTACCACGATTTGACTGCTATCATGCAGAATTAGAAATTGGCACGAGCTCAGTAGTCCTTGCCAAACTCCTCAATAGTTAAGGTATCATATCGACAAGTAGAAATTTGCCATTATTATCATTATAAGGACTAGTGGACTAAAACTGTTAGTTTCTATCTCTGTCATTTTGATCATGATCCGTCAATGTTTCAAACTGCAAAGACGTTTTGTATTTTACTGATATTAATAACAGAACCAAGAAACATGATCAGATGATAAAGAGAAAAGTTCTTTAATTCTCAGATTTAAATTTTATACTTTTATCGGTGTATATATACCTCCAAATTTAAGAAGGGATGGTTTTAGGATAGAAGGATTAACTAAGACATTCTGATAATGAAATGCATCTTGCCATGGAATGCATGAAGCAATTGGAATGTAGGATGGACTTACCAATATTAAGGTACTGGGTAGAGCTGTAACTTCAAATCTGAAATGATTTTGTGGTCAGACTTTGATCAGAATAAATCGATTCATTTGGCCTACATGAAGATCTGGAGTAGAATTGGTCTTCAGCAATCCATGCTTGCCGTAACAGGTGACTATGCTTGTCGTAGGAGGCGACTAACGGGATCAAGTGGTCAGGGTCGCTGACTTGGTTGATGTATGTCATCGATCCCAATTGTGTGGATTGATGCTCATGATATTAATCACTGGATTGTCTGGTCCAGACTTGATTATTTACAGACCGCCATGATGTAGCTGGAATATTGCTGAGTGCGGCGTTAAACAACAACAAACCAACCAACAAACATTTTGATCATGGTAGTTATGGATTGTCATGATTGAACTGAAGTTATTGACCTGTTTTATTTTATTATCTTGTAGGTTTTTCAAGAACCTGTCCACAAATGGCGGGATATTAAAGGACATAATGCACTGGTTAGTTTATAACATTGTAACAATGTTCAGAATAGTGGTGTAACATGTTTATTCCTGCAAGACAATGGGCATTGTCCATGCTGTTATGTTCCTATTAATCATTGCAATGAAGTGTTAAAATATTTGGTATCAACGTTTATAGAACTATGAAAATAACAGTGTTGCACAGGAAAATGTTATAAGAGACAATGACTAAAAGAAGACTACTTTTCTTTTATGGTACGACACAACTTTTTAGAACATTCTACGACTGCCATACTTCACCATTCTGTAACAGGGGGTAGGGGTAGCCTTGTGGTTAAAGAATTCACTCATCACGCCAAAGCCCCGGGTTCGATTCTCCGCATGGGTACAATGTGTGAAGCCCATTTCTGGTGTCCTCCGCCATGATATTGCTGGAATATTGCTAAAATCAGTGTAAAACCATACTCACTCACTCACTCACAACTCGCTCGCTCACTCAGACTGCCATGCCTGTATCGGAGTGGTGGATATAGACCGGGGTAGAATAGGTCTTCAGCAACCCATGCTTGCTTATCGTAAGAGGCGACTAACAGGATCGGGTTATCAGACTCGCTGACTTGGTTGATGCATGTCATTGATCCCAATTGCGTGGATCAATGCTCATGATGTCAATCACTGGATTGTCTGGTACAGACTAGGTTATTTACAGACCGCCATCATACAGCTGGAATATTGCTGAGTGTGGCGTAAACAACAGACAGACAGACTGGTAGATGCATGCATGACCACTGTGTGTATTGTGTTCCAGAGTCTGATGTACAAGGACCCGGCACGGTGGGGGTTAACGTTCCAGACCTATGTCCAGCTGATCATGCTGGGCATCCACATGGAAGCCCAAGAGAAGCCCATTAAGATGATGGAGAGGTCAATATTCAGCGCCAAATACTGCTTTGTGGACAACTTGCACAACAGGTATGTGGCTCAGTGACGGAGTGAGATGGCACAACGCCTCTTCCCAAGGCAAGGACTTTAACTAACTGTAATATTTTTAATCAAGGTGCTCAAGTGATTTGATGCTCTTTGCGGGGTATTACTATAACGATCTTGATTATTGATCAGATCGTCAAGATAGGGTGCCGCCAATTTGTCTGAATCAAATACAAGCGATATGAGCGATAGAATTTTGTTGGTCAAACGGAGAGACATAGAAGGGACATAACTCGTAATAGCCAATGGTGGTGCTACGATCAAGCCTGGAACTTCCAGCCTAGTTCGGCAAGGGTGGAAACTGGATTTTATAGTCAGTTAACGCCTTTGCGTCAGGAAGATTGGTTTAACGCTGCTATGAACAGTGTTCTAGTTGGCTCAATCAGCTTGGCAATCCGTGCTATGTTGGTGTTGAATGAAGGTGTTAAACCAATGTTTCCATTTTATTCATTTGTATTTTTGTTGTAGTGGGAAAATGCCGGACATTGAACATATTGTGCTGACGGAATGGTTTGATTTCATTGTGAAATCTCAGGACTTTAAAGTAGATCTCATTGGTAGGTAATTGTAATTGCACATTTGATAGAATCAGTATTCTTGCTGTCATGTGTAAAATGTGTGTAATACTCTCTATACTGTACTTTACATACTTAGTGGGGAACAGAGGGCAAGGATGGCTCAGTCGTCTAAGGCACCGCGATTCGCTGTGCAGTGTGGCATCCCTTGGGCACGCCAGAAACCTATGATTGTGGGTTCGAATCCCGGTTTGCCCCGATTATGTTTCTAGGTTTGTCAGCACCATACCCGTGCTCGTTGGTTTCACCGAAGTGGTAAATGTCTGAGACCTTCATCACTTCATCACTAACTGGAATACTGTTAAAAGCGGCGTTAAACCCAACACACTTACACTCACTCAGTGGGGAAGTTGTTTAAAAAGGGGATTTGTTGCACATTGTTGCTTGTTGAACAAAACAAATAAATTGATTGGGTGATCAGACTCAGTAGCTTGGTCAATTGCATTTTCTTGTGTCCTCTTGGTGTGGATCGTTTGCTCATAGTGTCATCAATGGTCTGTCTGGTCCAGACTCGATTATTTAAAAAACGCTGTGACCCGTGAAGATCCGGGGTAGAATAGGTCTTAAGCAACCCATGCTTGCCGTAAAAGGCAACTTCGTTTGTTCTAAGTGGCGACTAACGGGATCGGGTGGTCAGGCTAGCTGACTTTGTTGATGCATGTCATCCCAATTGCGTTGATCGATGCCCATGATGTCAATCAGTGGATTGTCTGGTCCAGACTCGATTATTTACAGACCACCGTCCTATAGCTGGAATATTGTCGAGTGAGACGTTAAACAACTAACAAATAACAAAACAAACTGCTGTCTTATAGCTGGAACATTCTATGTGTTCCAGTGTACCTGCAGACCAAGCCGGAGACGGTATATGAGAGAATACAACGTAGACAAAGACAGGAAGAGAAGAATATCCCCCTGGTATGTAGAACACTGTCTCGATCTGGTACTGTCTGCCATCTTGTATAGCTTCATGTACAACACTTCCAGTGGAGATACAGAGTACAATTTCTGGAAGCAGTACTTAAACTGTTACAATGTTGTAAACACGTCACACAACCATTGATTGAGCAGTAATCTTGTTACACTGTTGTACACAATCATTATGTCTCCCCCAGAATGGAGGGAGACATATTGTTTTTGGCACGGTTCCCGTCGGTGTCGGCGTCGGCGTCGGCGTTCCCACCGTTTCCGGACCATAACTCAGAAACCGTTTAATATTTTTTCGCGAAACTTTGTATACACATTAACCCAGCACTGAAGTGGTGCCTTTTGCTATTTAGAGATTTTTGACATTTTTATTTCTTCTCGTTTCCATGGAGATAACTTGATCATAGACTCTGAATGGGGGTAAGCTTGGTTTCCAGGTCCTTAACTCGGAAACCGTTTAATATTTTTTCGCGAAACTTTGTATACACATTAACCCAGCACTGAAGTGGTGCCTTTTGCTATTTAGAGATTTTTGACATTTTTATTTTTTCTCGTTTCCATGGAGATAAGTTGAACATAGACTCTGAATGGGGGTAAGCTTTGTTTCCGGACCATAACTCAGAAACCGTTTAATATTTTTTCGCGAAACTTTGTATACACATTAACCCAGCACTGAAGTGGTGCCTTTTGCTATTTAGAGATTTTTGACATTTTTATTTTTTCTCGTTTCCATGGAGATAACTTGAACATAGACTCTGAATGGGGGTAAGCTTGGTTTCCGGACCATAACTCAGAAACCGTTTAATATTTTTTCGCGAAACTTTGTATACACATTAACCCAGCACTGAAGTGGTGCCTTTTGCTATTTAGAGATTTTTGACATTTTTATTTTTTCTCGTTTCCATGGAGATAACTTGAACATAGACTCTGAATGGGGGTAAGCTTGGTTTCCGGACCATAACTCAGAAACCGTTTAATATTTTTTCGCGAAACTTTGTATACACATTAACCCAGCACTGAAGTGGTGCCTTTTGCTATTTAGAGATTTTTGACATTTTTATTTCTTCTTGTTTCCATGGAGATAACTTGAACATAGACTCTGAATGGGGGTAAGCTTGGTTTCCGGACCATAACTCGGAAACCGTTTAATATTTTTTCGCGAAACTTTGTATACACATTAACCCAGCACTGAAGTGGTGCCTTTTGCTATTTAGAGATTTTTGACATTTTTATTTCTTCTCATTTCCATGGAGATAAGTTGAACATAGACTCTGAATGGGGGTAAGCTTGGTTTCCGGACCATAACTTGGAAACCGTTTAATATTTTTTCGCGAAACTTTGTATACACATTAACCCAGCACTGAAGTGGTGCCTTTTGCTATTTAGAGATTTTTGACATTTTTATTTCTTCTCATTTCCATGGAGATAAGTTGAACATAGACTCTGAATGGGGGTAAGCTTGGTTTCCGGACCATAACTCGGAAACCGTTTAATATTTTTTCGCGAAACTTTGTATACACATTAACCCAGCACTGAAGTGGTGCCTTTTGCTATTTAGAGATTTTTGACATTTTTATTTTTTCTCGTTTCCATGGAGATAAGTTAAACATAGACTCTGAATGGGGGTAAGCTTGGTTTCCGGACCATAACTCGGAAACCGTTTAATATTTTTTCGCGAAATTTTGTATACACATTAACCCAGCACTGAAGTGGTCCCCATTAGTTGTTTGAAATTTCTAGGAGTTCTATTTTTGTCTCTGTTATTTAGTAATGGAGGGTGGGAATGAAGAGATGGGGTTTAACGTGAAGTAAACGAATGAATGGGGGTTAGGGGAGTACGAGTTACGAGTAAAAACACTTTCTAGTTGATTCTATTTGTGAGCAGACCCAAGAAGAATCTGGGGTAGAATAGGTCTTCAACAGCCCATGCTTGCAGTAAAAGGCGACTATGCTTGTCGTAAAAGGCGACTAACAGGATCGGGTGGTCAGACTCGCTGACTTGGTTGATGCATGTCATCGATCCAAATTGCATGGATTGATGCTCAGGATATTAATAACTGGATTGTCTGGTTCAGACTCAATTTTTTACAGACCGCCGTCAAATAGCTGGAATATTGCTGAGTGCGGCGTAAAACATCAAACCAACCAACCATTTGTGAGCAGACAGACTTGTGGAGGTTGTTTTTTGTGTTGCACGTAAAGACACTGCTGTTGTTACCTTATTGTAAGGAGACGCTAACATTGTTGTACACAGGAATACCTAGAAGCTCTACACAAGCAGCACGAGGACTGGCTCATTCACAAGAAGTACCCCTGCCCTGCTGATGTTCTGGTATGTCATCGTATCCCAATTTCAATTTCATGATATTAATCACTGGATTGTCTGGTCCAGACTCAATTATTTACAGACCGCCGTCATACAGCAGAAATATTGCTGAATGCGGCGTTAAACAACAAACCAACCTTACAGTGATCATTGTTTATTGAATGCAACTTGAATGTTAGCTTGTTCAAGATGAGTGAGTGAGTGAGTGAGTATGATTTTACGCCGCTTTTAGCAATATTCCAGCAATATCAAGGCGGGGGACACCAGAAATGGGCTTCACAGATCGTACCCATTTCGGGAGTCGAACCCGGGTCTTCGGCGTGACGAGCCAACGCCTTAACCACTCGGCTACCCAACCGCTCCTTTGTTCAAGATGAAGACTTGTTATACATATGAGTCCAAGTGTAAGACAACATGATAAACTGTAGTTTCGACTTATTGACTCATATCTGATATTGGTAAATTTTGCAGGTTTTGGACGGGAACCCCGATGCGAACGGCATGGTGAAGATATATGAGGAGAACAGATCACAAATCCTTAAGCACCCCTAGCAAGAGGTCAATTTTCACAATCTCAGTGGAGAGACGCTGATGTATGACAGTGTAGAGGCGACAGTCATCTGGACCCGGTTGTATCAAACTTTAATGATGCATTAACGTGTCATTAAACCTTCATTAACTAATGTATCATTAAATCCAGTTGTACTAACGTTTTAATGACGTCGTGGTGTCATTAGCGCGTCATTAACTTAATGAAGGTTCTGGGGCATCATTAGCGTGTCATTAAAAACAAACATGGCAGCGAACATATTGTTTGAACACTTAGGAGGCACAAGGAAAGACCGTGTTTTCAGAAAACGAGCTCAACACCTCGAATCCATGAGCGATGAAGAAGTAAGGGCCCGCAACCGTTTTGGGAAGGCAAGCATTAGATATATCTGCGATCTTGTGAGAGATGAATTACAGCCCAAATCTGCAAGATCGCACGCACTAAGTGTTGAACTACAGGTAAATGTTTGATAATTAACACGTCGTCACTAGAAACTCAGCTAGTTTGAAATAAACATATAATTATAGCGCCAAATTTATAGCGGGCAAATTTATGGCGGCAATCTTTACAATGAATGAAAAGCACTTCTACGTGGGTCAGCTCACTGGTCTGTGTTGGTAAAGTCATATGTGCAAGCCTAATGATACCAACCTTGTAAATATATTTCACAATTGAAAGTAATGTAAATTCATGGATCCCTTTCACTTCACTCCAGAAAGATACGTTTTCAACTTGGCGTTGTCAGCCATGATCAATTTCATAAGGGGGAGTTACTCTAATGACTTAAACTAAATGTGTCGTGCACACTGAAGAGAACAGTTTTGCGTGTTCGATTCCGGCCAAAAGAACATTTTAATTAATTAAAGCATGCACATCTTATATCAATAATTAACACTTTACTTAGTGAGACATAATGAAAACGCAGCCAAAGTTTATTACCTGGCCGTCCGAGAGGGATATAGGCGACATTAGAAAGGAATTCTACAATATATCTCGATTTCCTGGAGTCATCGGATGTATCGATGGGACACATGTACGGATACAGGCTCAGACAGCGAACCTGCCTTTGTCAATAGGAAAGGCTACCATTCGATCAACGTTCAAGCAGTGTGTGACAGCCAAGGTGTGTTAAATAATTTTTTATAATAAATCAAATGTCACTGTTAAACCTGTGCATGGAGCATACACGTCCTCCCTTCAAAGTCATAAGGACAATATGTTTACGACCCTGACACCATTCACGTTGTTAAACGAAATAGCTATCAGACAAATCTTTATAGTATGATATGATTTCAGCATTTGTTGTTTAACGCCGCGATCAGCAATGTTTCAGCTATATTGCAGTGGCTGCATCATGAACCAAGTTCGATGGTAATATTGACTTATATTAATATTGACCACATTTGTCTCGTTCTGTAGGTAAATTTTCTTTCTTTCGTGGGTGACGGTGCTACACAACTTACTGTTAAGTATGGAGATGTGTTTCTCCACCAACTCGGCAATAAGCTGAATTTCGGAGCTGTCGAAATTCTTGTTTCTATTCCTAGGTTTAGGTGGATACGATGCCATTTTGACAGACAACCGGAAGTAACGCGTACGTGTTTACGTCAAGGAATTGTGGGAAATATTTAGGGGAAACACCGAATTTAATGACAGGTTAATGAAGACACTTACATTAAGGCGTCATTAGATAATGATATGCTAATAAACGTTTGATACAACCGATTTTAATGATGCCATTAACTAATGGTGCATTAAGCATTTAATGTATCATTAGGGTTTAATGTAGCCATTAGTTAATGAGGCTTTGATACAACCGGGTCCTGTACATAAGCCTAGTGTATGTGCTTAAGTGTGGGGCTCATTGTGTGAGTGGGGGCACGGGTGGCCCAGTCGTCCCAAGGTGCCACGATTCGCGTCCCTTGGGCATGCCAGAAACCAATGATTGTGGGTTCGAAGTCCCGGTTCGCCCCGATTGTGTTGCATCATACCCGTGCGCGTGGGTTTCCCCAAAGTGGTAAATGTCTTAGACATGCACCAAATGTAGTAACATAAAAACGTCTACCTCGGATGAATTCTAAATCCAAGGACCTTCCACAGTCAACGATTATGGTTGTTTGTGAGTAAGACAGGAAAATATGCACATCAGGGATTAGGCCCCCGACAGTCTTCCAGGATGTTATTTTTCTGCTGATTCTAGGTTTGTTGTTTTGCTCTGTAGATGAGATTGATTTCATGGTAGGACAGTGACTTCTACATGGGCTGTTGGTGCGTGGGCAGAGTTTCCAGGTCTGACACTGCCTGGATAACAGTGATCCTACAGAGACATGTTTGTGCAATCATTATTAGTAGTGGGGGGCATGGGCATGGGCATGGGTGGCCTGACATACCACTGTTTCCATATTAAGAATGGAAGACAAGGGGTGCTAGTCAATACCATCATGTTAAACTTAATAGGAAATGTGTCCATGTACTAAATGGTCTATAGTAGAAGACCTCACAAGACCCACTTCATTATGTCATATCATGACTTAAATGTATCTGGGGGCATGGGTGGCCCAGTCGTCTAAAGTGCCACGATTCGCTGTGCAGAGTTGCGTCCCCTGGGCACGCCAGAAACCTATGATTGTGGGTTCGAATCCCGGTTCGCCCCGGTTATGTTTCTAGGTTTGTCAGCACCATACCCGTGCTCGTGGGTTTCACCGAACTGGTAAACGTCTGAGACCTGCATCATCTCGGGCTTTCCTCCCACATTCAGCTGACACGCCGTGATATAACTGGAATACTGTTAAAGGCGGCGTTAAACCCAACTCACTCACTTACTCACTCACTCACATTATTAGTAGTGGGACGATACACCTATGCATTATGATTTGTTACTTCTTGATACAAGTATCGATCACAATCACACAGTAAAAAGTATTGATTCTTACCTTAACTGTATTCTTCAATAAATGTTACGCCCAAACACTAATTACTAGTGAAAATGAGTAGTGAAAATGGCCAATGTTGTTGACAAAAAGATCAGTCTCTTGCTGAACTTGTGCCTTTTGATGATTTGATATATTAAAAAACACTGAACAGTATTATTTTTTCTTCACTGAACTGAAGGTCTCCAAAAGCAATGAACCAAAAGTGGGGTAAAGTAGCCAAATTCCATTTCTTATTGCACCAAACCAGGGGGATATGTCATCTCCTAATGACTCCTGTTCCTTTAAGCCAATGCTTTATAAAACAATCAGCAGTTAGTTTCAGTTACTTCTACCATTCTACTATGGTCAAAGGGAGATAATTCTCATAACGCAATTCAGGGCTACCAGCCTTTTGCTGCCATCGCCATCAGCCATATCAAGGTAGTAATCATCTCATATCAGACAAGTGGTTTATTTCAAATAACTAGATTTCAGGAGATAGCAACTTGACTTGAGGTTTGGACTAAATCTCTGACTACCTGTGGCTTTGTCCATCCTTGGTGCCAACCCTTAGCTGCATGCTTCTTGTCAGTTGTTTGGTTGACCTAGACTCACATTTATTCCCAGAAATACAATTGTCTTACATAAAAATATATATCGATAAAATATAAAGGAAAATCCAAATGGAGCCAGAAGACGCAATAGGTTCAACCCAGTTGTTTGTGGAGATCATGTTATTGTATGCAAGCTGGTGTTTTGTGAAGCTTTTTGCATGAATTGAATATGTCTCATTTACATGTTTTAATGTATTTTATTGTTTTATTTTGTTGCATGTCCTATATGCATTCTTGTAGATTTTTTGTATCTGTTCTTTTACTTCTTTGAATGGCATTTGGAAGTGATGCACAAAAGGAAGAGAATTAATGAGTCATCTTCTTTATCATGAAGACAAGTTTCAGAGTATATAATGACTGTGTTAGGCGAATAAATGCTACAGTGATTAAGTGAGTATGGTTTTTACGCCGCTTTTAGCAATATTCCGGCAATATCACGGCGGGGAACACCAGAAATGGGCTTCACACATTGTACCCATGTCGGGAATCGAACCCGGGTCTTCGGGGTGACGAGCGAACGCTTTAACCACCGAATAAATGCTATAAGCAGAGAACGTATATATGTGTACCTGTAAGAATAACACCAGTTAATAAGATATCAGTTGTGAAAACCTAACAAGGAAACCAATAGTTTATTGGTGCTGATAGGTGATTAGCAATGGACAAATAGAAGCCATAACAGTTAATTAGCGTTGATTTTGCTGGCGATGAACAACTGGAAGCCAGACTTAAGTTATCACTGATCATTTTTTCGCTGCTTACCATTTTCAGTTGCTGAAGTTTACAAAATATGTAACTTTTTAGCTTGAATGCCTGCCAGGAAATAAGGGGATAGATAAATGACAGATGTGTGGACCAGTGTGTTTGTCATGAACTGTATTGAGCTGTATGGGACCATGGGGGTGTACAAAGCATATTTACAGCGTAGCATGTTTATACAAATTATGTTTATACAAATTATGTGAATGGCAAACTTGATTGACTAGAGTGTTGAATGAATGCTGAATAAAGAGTATCGAAATAATTTGTTGACTTCTCTCTTGTTTCACAAGTAAACTGGTTCCACTGTTGGCACGCGACGCAAGCTTAGTGCGATTTAGCTGTCTTCTAGTTTAGGTTTTTAGGAACCCAGTCTATTTCACAATAATCAAGTCATTGTCTGTGAGTCTTCAGCAAAGCAGTTTGCATTTCTCCAAATTACACTCGGTACAACTGTCTAAGTTCAAGGCCGTAGTTAACTTTCTTTGACAGGGGAGGGGCAAATATTTGTACAAGTATCACTAGTCCCCAACTTGTATTTTCATGATTCTAATTAAAACTGTTTTCTATAAAAAAAAAATATCCACGGGAGGCAACTGTAATTTCTGTGGTTCAACATTGTGTTACCGCGTACGCACATGACAAGAAGAAGACCAGTCCACATTTTCAGGATACCGAGCTCTTCCCAGGGAATCCACGGAGGCGCGCACTGAAGGAGAGCTTAGCAGAAACTGGTATCGTTGTTTAGTTGCGCGATCACCCAGTTACTAAAACTCCTTGCAGCGTTTCACACATGAACTCTACAGAACGTACTTTACTATATCATATGACTGCAAATGAATTTGACACAAACTACACATATACATAAACTAATGTGTCCATCACAACATTTACAACAAAGTGCGTTAGAAACCGGTGTATTACGACTGAAGTGTCAGAGGTTATTGAGCAGAACTATAAATGGCCTTAGATACCCCTCACTATCAGAGTTGGGGATGTAGCTCAGTGGTAGAGCGTTCGCTTTGCATGTGAAAGGCCCCGGGTTCGATCCCCGGCATCTCCACCATACTTTTTTTCTTTTATACGCTTGTAATATTAAATACCACATACACTTCTTGTTCCACAACTAAATGTCTCTAAAATCTGACACAAAAAGGATACCACACTGCGTTCGCTTCCACACCTGGTCCACAGGGTGTGTGAAATATCCACAACAATATTATGGAGCCACTGTATTCTTTCTACTTTCGGAGAGTCAAAGAAATCATGTGATGCAGCTGCTTTGAATTTTTTACTCACCCGTACCGACAATTTAGAAGTCTCGACGCTGATTGACTGATTACAAAGTTAGAGTTCACGTGATAACTGATAAAAAAAAAACGCGAAAAATCATGTTCAAAACAGTAAAATATTTATATTTGGGACCTTTATTTCGAAACATAATTTTTCAGAACAAATCCAAAACATTTACTGTTACGTTTGGAAGCTACTGATACCCACAGAAGAGATGAGGCGTCCTGCGTTGTGACCCAAATACATTTAAATGTGTGGCACCGCCCAGTATATACACTCTCTAATAAAGAATAGGGAATGTTAAAAAATAACAGATAATGATAGAAAAAGGGTGAATAATTTTTTTTTTAAAACAGGACGAGGTGTAACATGACAATGTACAGAACGGTGTCTTGTAAGGGTGCAAAAACTAAGAAAGACAACGGGGTTTCTTGATGAATGAGTGAGTTGGGTTTAACGCCGCTATTAACAGTATTCCAGTTTTATCACGGCGTCTCAGCTTAATGTGGGAGGAAAGCCCGAAGTGATGCAGGTCTCAGACGTTTACAACGTCGGTGAAACCCACGAGCACGGGTATGGTGCTGACCAACATTGAAACATAATCGGGATGAACCGGGATTCGAACCCACAATCATAGGTTTCTGGCGTGCCCAAAGGACGCAACTCTGCACAGCGAATCGCGGCGCCTTATACGACTGGGCCACCCGTGTCCCCCTTGATCAATGATGGACCATGCTCATACTCTCGTCTATACCGCGTGGCATGGTCAGAATCAATCTTCCAATGACATTTTTGGAAGGTCTTGCCCACTCCTCTCAGTGCCAGGCCCAGTTCGGCTCAAGTAGCGGATAGCCTTTGACGTCGATATAAACATGACTTCCGATCATCGATCATCGATCATATCCCATGCTGGCGTGTTCCATGATTTGTTTGTTTTTTGTTTAACGCCGCACTCAGCAACATTATATTCCAGCTATATGACGGCGGTCTGTAAATGATCGCGTCTGGACCAGACAATCCAGTGACTGACGCCATGAGCATCGATCCACGCAATTGGGATACGATGACATGCATCAACCAAGTCAGCGAGCCTGACCACCCGATCCTGTTAGTCGCCTCTTACGACAAGCATAGTCGCCTTTTATGCGGTTAAGATCAGGTAACCATGCATTTCTAGATAACAATCGTGGGACACTTTTCCACTTGTTTGCTGTGGGACATCGTCCATGACAACAACAGAATGAGGGGCCATGTTGGGTATTGGTTTTTCCCTGCAACCGTTTTACAATATGTTCAAACTTCATTCGTCTGTTTGTTGTTTAAAACAGCACTCAGCAATATTCGAGCTCTTTGACGGCAGTCTGTAAATAATCGAGTCTGGATCAGACAATCGTAATTGACATCATGAACATCTATCCATGCACGCTATTGGGATATGATGACATGCATCAACCAAGGCAACGAGCCTGACCACCCGATCCTGTTGGGTTGGTGCAGAGCTGTTACCCGGATCTTCACGGGTTAGCAGGTGTGCAATTTGCATGACTCCTACTCAAAAAATGCGTATTTGTACACTCTCAACACGCCTGTGTTTACCAGTCTTTAGTGAGATGATGGTCGGCTGATGGGATCAAGGAACCTTGATGTCTCATAAATGGTCGGCCTGAATCGTACATTTTCTGATGGTTTTATTTTAGGTTGGAGGTAAGGGCGATGGTTTGGTGGCCGAGAGGGGATATCACTTCCTCGCCTTCAATTAAGGTCGCGGGGAAGCTGGAAAGCAATAGTACGAGGCGAGAAAACAATAGAGCGAGAAAGCAATAGAACGAGGCGAGAAAGCGATAGAACGATACAGAAAGTGATGGGACTGGTCCACTAGATCGGCTGGCTGCGGTGTTGGTGTATGTAATATGAGTGAGTGAGTGAGTATGGCTTTACGCCGCTTTTAGCAATATTCCAGCAATATCACGGCGGGGGACACCAGAAATGGGCTTCACACATTGTACCGCTGTCGGGAATCGAACCCGGGTCTTCGGCGTGACGAGCGAACGCTTTAACCACTAGGCTACCCGACAGCCCCTTATGTATGTGATATGAGATGGCGGATTGGAGTTTTATTTGGTGTTCTGTGGTGCGGAGGTTGAGGAGGTTGAGGAGTCTTGATGTTCCTCCGATGTATGTTTCACCACAGCAGCACCGAGTCTTACTGTGTCTGGCGGCAGGGGTTGGCTTTCTTGTGGCCTTGGTGATTGTCTTCAAAGTGCGTATTTATGCTGGCGTAGATGGTGTCTTGTTGGGTTGTGTGAATTTGTAAGAGTCCTATGTAATTTTAATTTTCTGATGCCGGGCTTGTCCTGAATGGCACTGTCTAGTGTCTGGGTGATATTTCAGAGTTGATGGTTCTGCTGACGAGTGTAGCTGGGTAACCGCAGTGAACACATGCTTGTTTGTTTTTTTAACGCCGCGCTCAGCAATATTCCTGCTGAATGTAAATAATAGAGTCTGGACCAGGAAATCATGAGAATCGATCTACGCAATTGGGATACCATGACATGCATCAACCAAGTCAGCGTGCCGGACCACCAGATACCGTTAGTCGCCTCTTACGACAAGCATAGACGCCTTTTACAGTGTCAATGAAAGAGCGTCTGCATGAAATGTAACTTCCCTCATTTCCATGAAGATATTTCCATGTGCAAATGTCAACATGCAGGTGGCTTAAAGGAATAAATCCTTCACTGTACATGCAAAGAAAACCGATGAAATACGGCATGCATGGGTTGCTGAAGACATATTCTCTACCCGCATCTTCACGGGTCGTGAACACATGTCTAGGAATGGATGATCTATAGTTCTTGGTGTTGACGAGATTTTCTCTGCGCTTTAGGTGAGGTGTCTGTGGTGGCAGTCTCGATCTGTTGGCGGTGGTTGTACTTGTATTCCTGCATTAGTCAATATGGGTGGGGATTCTCGTATACTTTGTTTTGAACTTCTTGTCTTTCTTGTGGGCAACGACGTCTTGGGAGTCATGTTCGCCGTTTAATTCAGACCCACGATATATGTTCTAGTAAGTGTGATTGAGTATGGTTTTACGCCGATTTTAGCAATATTCCAGCAAGATCACGGCGTAGGGCACCAGAAATGAGCTTCACACATTGTATCAAATCATTGAGGAATCAAACCGTGAAGACACCCCTTCTATCAAACCATCTAGAGTTCGATCCCCGGCTGCGTCATACCAAAAGACGTTAAAAGATTGTACTTGTTGTTACCCTGTCTGGCGATCGTCATTTAAGGGGCTACAACAAGGACTGGCCGGCTCGGAGTCAGTATACTGTGTCTGAGTGGGGTATTTATGTTAAACTGTGGCATAGTATCTCAGTGAGCTAGCACTATAAATCGGCATCAGTCAAGACTAGTACAAGCAGCCACAAAATAAATCTTGAAACCCCATTTCACCTCACCTCACCTCGCCCTTCTATCAAAGATGTGGAGGGCTTTCTTTTTCGTGTCAGCGTCAGTCAATGTTGAATTCGACTCTTCAAGGTTTTAAATAAGACAGAAAATGTTTCATAGATTGATAATTTATTTACACAATTTTCATATCAAACTCATGCTGACCTAAGAGAATTTTACAAGCACATAATTGGAAATTTATTCATACATGGACATACAGTAAATGACGTTTATAACGAACGCTCATAAGGAACTGACAGATATAAAAGGTGTTTTGATCCCCTCAATTTGCTGAATATATGCTTATAACAAACTACGGTTATAACGGACAAAAATTAGTAGTCTCTTTGAGTTCGTTATAACCGTAGTTTACTTGATATCAAGAACAGACAAAATTATGTCAACCTTCAAAGTATAGTTGTAGCTGTGAGTGAAGTGACACAAAAATTAACAGTCTTAAGTCTATATTTCAATGAAACAATTAACAAACGCAATATTTCTGAACAGTTACGTTTGACAGTGCCACCAGCTGATGTATAATGATGCAGACAGGTGGTATAAAACAACATTCATTCATTCATTATGATTTCCAGAACTTGCTATGTCATCATAATCCACTTCAGACGTGTCTCGACTCGACACTATGTTAAGTTTGTTTTAAGCTGCGACAACAATATTATGCTAAAGAGGTAGGTGTACAAGCAACTGCAACCTTAGCAATAGCACTGAGGAGACACAACCTTGCAGACAAATCTTTCATCCCAAACTGACTTCCACAGGAGAGATCGCTTGTGTCAGATTAAGGAGATCTCCTTGGAGGTAAGAAATTGCATCACAATGCTCTGCAGACTATTATGACATCACCGGTTACATGATGTCACAATCAAATGACATCACTAACCTCTATGCCCCTGTAGTATAGTAGCTGTACTTTTATCATCCAAAACTGGCTCCCACAGGAGATATCGCTTCAATGAAATTACATCACAATGCTTTGCAGACCATTGTGACGCCACTGGTTACCATGACGTCACAATCAAATGACATCACTAATAGCTTTGCTACTGAAGCTGTTAGCAGTACTTTTTTACACTAAAGACACTGCTAATTCCTGTCAAGAAATTGAAAAAGCTGGAAGAATGATGTTGGATGATAAATAAAATCTCACCCATGTGTCTTGATATCAAATATATCAACAAGTTTGATAAAAGTGGAAAAAATCCTCGGCAAGCCTCAAAATTTTTCCACTTTTATCAACTCATGTTGATATATTTGATATCAAAAGACACTTGGGTGAGATTCTCTATTTTATACCCGAGACACCTGTTATTACTGTTTACGAACAGGAAATTTGGAAGAATGATTTTGGATGATAAACATAACCTCAACCTTGCCTCTATTGATATCAAAATCAGCACTCGGCAAGGCTCGGGAGTTTAAACATTTATCAACTCGTTTTGAGATTTTCACATAGTGGGTAAAAGGTGACCCTGATCTGGGCTGCATAAGTATATTACATGCAAGCAGGTATTTCCTGTCTTCAAATGAATGGACAGTACAAGTCTGCAATGTTTCCACAAACATCAATATGCTTCAGATTCGCGGTAAACAAGTCTACTCATATCAGGGGTAAATTTAACAACAAATTTGTGTGTAGCAAGCAGGGCTTTCTCCCTTTGAAAGTTACTGGCCCTTCTCCATGCTGGCTAACAACTAAATGGTGGAGGCCGCGAAGTGGCTGAACATGAGTTTATTTAGAATTCTTACCTCAAAAACTTATTTTCCCGCAACCGGCGACTAAATCTGGGTTTCCATTTGCCTCATTTCATGGAGATTTATGAGCAAATAAAGAAGATGTTGAGCACAACATTACAAAAATGCATCCACTTGTCATTTCGCCGAGATGATCCAATTAAAAAAATTAAACATAGGGGTGGAATTTTGACTAGCCAGGTGAGTCATCTACTTTACATTTGAGCAAGCCCACTGAAATTTTAACTGGCCACAGGACAATGGGCCAGCAGTTATATTGCCCCCTGCTACTTAATATCAAACATGGTAATCTGTGAGTTGCAGTGTATGTGAAGTCACAGAAATATTCCAACCCAACCACAAATAACTTAACAATATATTAAAACAGATCTGTATGGAGTATGTTCACTGTATGGCTTTGGCCTGGTTCTGTATTTTGCCGGTCAGGGACTGCACATCGATGTTCCGGTCGATCTTCAAGTACTTCCCCTTCTTGATCTGCACCATTGTCAGCCACTCGGGAGCAATCTCCAGCAACAACTTGACATGGGCCTCAATTTCACCTACACAAAAGAAGAGGCAAGCTTTTTCATGAGTTGTGTCAGAGCTTGTGAAAGCTGACCCCATCACCGGGTACATCCATTAAGTCTACAGGGCCATGTTTCATAAAGTGAAGTCAGCACTAAGACTAATGCTTTCCTATGCTTTAACATAGGCTTATGGCAGTTGTAGTCAAACATGGTCCAGCACATGAGTGAGTGAGTGAGTGAGTTTGGTTTAACACCGCTTTTAACAGTATTCCAGTTATGTCGCAGCGTGTCAGCTTAATGTGGGAGTAGAGCCCGAAGAGATGCAGGTCTCAGACGTTTACCACTTCGGTGAAACCCACGAACATGGGTATGGTGCTGACAAACCTAGAAACATAATCAGGTAGAACCGGGATTCGCACCCACAATCATAGGTTTCTGGCGTGCCCAAGGGATGCAACTCTGCACAGGGACTGATGATTAAAAAAAAGTGCATTAACTAGATTCAGTGTAAAAACGAAGTCCTTTCAAATATTCCCCAACTCTGTAACCGTGTCAGTGTCCAACTCTGGATAACTTCGGAAACGATGGATAAGGTTACAGAAATATAGGGCCTGGGTATTTTTTGAATGAGTAAATCATCCAGCCCGGGCATCTGAAGTATTGTGAAATTAGAAATATTCTCAGTCACATTAAGAACCCTGATATATATGTAGAAGAATTTATCAACGATACTTTCACACATCAGTGTCAGCAAGGTAAGAAACCGAGACTGTGGACTTACCAATGGAGACAGATGATCGGAAGCTATCTGCCAACTTCTGGATCACTGTTTCTTGAGGAATAGAGGGCTTCTTCTCTGTCACAAAATAACTACAAGTGTGTTAAGGAAATAACACTTATTTGACATCATAGTCACTGGTGTTTCACATGTTTGTTGTTTAACGGCGCACTCAGCGATATTCCAGCTATATGACATCTGTAAATAATCAAGTCTGGACCAGACAATCCAGTGATTGACATCATGAGCATTGATCTATGCATTTGGGATACAATGACATGCATCAACCATGTCATCAAGTTTGATGCTGTTAGTCGCCTTCAATCTCATTAAAATCAGATCTTAATTCTCGATATACAAAGATCTGAGGACATCCCATTACGGGTCACATCAGACCGACCTTGCACGAACTTTGACCGACCAATGGAATGACCAATCAGAAGGCAGCTTTCTCGTGCTTTACGGCACGAATTTCGATTACAAATTTGAAACCTAAACAAAAGAACATTCTGGAATGGCTAATAGATGGTCTAGATTGTATGGATTCAGTCATTAAACCTGTAACTATCGCTCGGAATACCCCGTGTTAAAGTTTACAAGGTTGCATGATTAGAAATCACATTTAGACTGTCACTTTTATGATCTGGTAAGCGATGCTCTGATTGGTCGGATGACAGGACGTGACCCCCAACTAAGATCTGATTTTAATGAGATTGAGTCGCCTCTTACAACAGGCATGGCTTGTTGAAGACCAATTCTAACCCACATCTTCACAGGATCTTATCGGAATCCCCATGAGGAAATCATAGGGTGCACAAAGTAAGATGGGTGTTTGAGAACCAAAGGATACGCTCTAACAATTCGGATCATGTCTGGCAGACGATTCATCATTCTCTTTTTCTTGTCCTCGGCTGGATTCCTTGTCAGCGCCGCCTCCAACTTCATGGCCTCCTTGGCTCTGATCTGCACACAAGTTTACTGATGATACATCAAAGTTTACACATGTTTCAATAAAGTATATTGCTAACTACATACAAGTATTGGGATAACAACACCATCAAGCGTGGTTAACAACCTAGGATTGAACTATAACTTACCTAGGATTGAACTATAACTTATCAGAACCTTGTCCCAACAAGATATTTAATTCAAATTCCTGATCTAATGATCGATCTTGGGAGGTTTACTGGCAATTTAACTACACAACAAGTCAGTTGAATGCCAACAGAATGCAAAAGACTTTTTAGTCTGCAAGCCCTAACTTGGCTATTTTCAATAGAATTTAATACTGACTATGATTAGCTGAGCTTACTAGACCAAACAGAACTTCACTAGACTCAGGCTTTGGACTAGTTGCTAAAGTTGCAGACTGACAGTGTAAAATATTACATGCCCTATCAGTGGCTATTGGCATATTACTGGATTGTCTGGTCCAGACTCGATTATTTACAGACCGCCGTCATATAGCTGGAATATTGCTTAGTGCGATTTTAAACAACAAGCCAACCATCATTGACCATAGGAATAATAACACGAGACATCAGAAGACGACATATCCTCCTGGTCTAGTGCAATTCTCTACTTATACCTCACTTTTGGTTCACTGCCACTGGATACATTCAGATCAGTGAAGAGAACAAGTAATGCTGTTTAGCATATTTCAAAATCCCAAATCATCAGAACGCACTAGTTCCTATATATCTACACAGAAAGTTTCAACAAGAAATACTTAATGGTTACGAATTACAAAAAATGGACAGACATGATCATGGCTGTCTACCGCCTCCCGTTTTTCAAACTAGGGCGATAACAAACCTCATATCAAGGACTGACCCAAGAACACAAGACATGCTCTGGTTGAAATTACCCCCAAACATCCCTTGGTAACCCCAGATTATAGCAATGTACGTTTGTACCCACCCTCTCAAGCAGTGACGACGGAACACCCTTCATGGCCGGGGCAGCATTGGAGGTCGGGGCGTTCAATTCTTGTTTTATTTCAGTTTTCACTGACGATGGTGAGTTTTTGGCCACATCAGCAAGTGCTTGTTCCACCTAGGAAAAGACGACATTTTGTCATCACATCTAAACGACATAAATTGATAACCAATCACTGGTCAGGAAAGAGGTGAGGCGAGGTGGACAGGACAACAAGTAGTACCATCTTTTAACGTCTTTTGGTATGACACGTCTGGGGATCAAAGCCTGGACCTTCCGCTCCCTGGGGGATCTTCTACCACTAGACCACAGACATTAGAGGGGGTCTGGGGAAAGCCTGTCTTACTTGAGAAAACGGGAGAATATTGTAACAGGGAAACTAGGTTTGAGATTATTGGCAGAATTCGCCAATTTAATTCACAGCATTCATACCAACCTAAATGAACTCGAGGACAATGTTTCACACACGTTCATAATTACTTTCAAAAGAACACTAGAATTTTGTTAGCATCATCCTTTCTTAAGTCAAATATTCTGCTTGATAAAACTTGTATCAGTCAGATTCTCTAACCTTTGGAATGAGCTTCCCCCTGGTGTGCTCAAGGACGTCTCTTGCAGTCTGGTACTTGTTGACATTGGGAGGCTCTGGCAGGGGAGACAACTCAACCTCAGGTACCTCATCCACGTGGAATGTTGGGTGCCATCTTGTTATCTTACTCTCTGGTATGTTCAGGGGACGAGACAGATTGGCCAAGAATTCCTGCAGACATGGGGAATAGTTGTTCACGTATCAAATTTGCATGGCATTAAAGGTGGGAATTTTTTTTATTATCATAAAATACCACATGAGAGCATATTAACACTTCGTGCAAAAACTGTATAACATAGAGGTTCATAACATTACACCTGTGTAGGCAGGTTGTTGGGTTAAACTAAGACATGTCGCCTCTTTCTTTAGTGGGAATCAGTGAGATTCACTAATTTAAGATGTTACAATAGGCATTAACCTTTCGACCTGTGAAGATCCAGGTAGAAAATAGTTCTTCAGCAACAAATGTTTCCCATAAGGGGTGACTAACGTGATTGGGTGGTTAGTATCTCGGACATGGATGATGTATGACATAGTATCCCGATAACATACATCGATGCTCAGGATATCAATCACTGAATTGTCTGGTTCAGACTTGATTATTTACAGACCACAGTCATATAGATGAAATATTGCTGAGTGCGGTGTTAACAACATGGAGCGTGTGATGTTTAATGTCACATTCTGCAAATAATCAAGTAATATTGAGGCTGCTTGTTGACAGGGATGAGAATTGGGGGAGCGAGCACCCAGGACAGTGTTCCACTTACCGTATTCAACCTAATAAGCGCCCACGGCGATATTTGCTAATATATTGGCTAGTGAACAATCCCAATTAGCATCCCTTCCGATTGATCAATGTACACATGACTTATTTATTTGTGTATAATGCGCACTCGTGTGTTATATGCGACCTTAATTATGGGCAATTAAATTCTGGGTAAATATATCTGTCGTGTTTAATACACACAGACTTTTATTTTGTATCATTTCAGGCTGTCAGGATAAACCACAAAATTTACAATCTTTCAACTCTGGGTTTTTTCTCTCCACAATTTTATTCTAATAAGAGCCCCCTATTTCAAATTTGAGAGCGCCCTGGGCGCTTATTACGTGGAATACGGTATATCATAATGTCTGCTGTACCTGATGATGGTGTCTGACAATGGATATCAGGTTGTTGTGGAACGTCTGCTTCCTCTGCAGGAGCTGTGTAGCGTTGAAGTTCAGTTTTCCATCTTTGTTCCCCGACTTCAGACAGCCACCTGTGGAGCCATTCACAAAGGTTAACAGGCACTCAAATACACTAATGCAGGTCATACATTTAACATGAGGTGGATCCAGGATAAAGACGCTAATTTTTCATTTTCTTAATTTGGAAACCTTTATTCTCCAAGATCCATCCTTGTATTCATCATCCAAAACTGGCTCCCACTGTAGATATCACTTGGATGAGATCAAGCAATATCTACATTGTAGATAAAACTGGAATGAAATTGCATCACAATGCTTTGCAGACCATTGTGAGGTCATTGGTTACCATGATGTCACAATCAAATGACTTCACTAATGGCTCTGCTACTGAAGCTGTTAGCAGTACTTTTTACTTACTTACACTTTACACTTAAAGCCCCACCCTGACTATAAATAGCCCGCAAGGTGGCGGTGTTTCAGTTTCGAACAATGACTGACAATGTAAACACAACCGAGTGTCGGGAGACGTTTTTTGAAAACCATAAGGGAACCAGATCACCATTGACCGTCAAACTTAGTATCAACTTGAATGACAAACCATGGATACAACAAATGGCTCCATATCAAGACATAAGTCAATAGATTTTCTGTAGTTTTATCATAAAAAATCGAATCGATCGTGTTTGGCGTCTGCATCAATCACAGTGGGCGGAGCTTATTTACGGTTGCGCTATAAATAGCAAAGCACATGGTCGTGTGTACATGTGACACATTCAATGCATTTGTGGTCAAAGTGAATTGTGTTGCATATTTTTACGGCTGAACTTCAGTTTCGGTTAATGTAACAGTAATGATATTTAAATACGAAATTGACGACGCGATTCTTTCAGTTCAATCCGAAAATTACAGATATTTGTTTAGTTTTGGTCATTTGTATTCAACAGTTAGATTTGTGCCACACAATAATTAGTTAATATTTATAAAACCTAAATTATTACACCGATTTTTCAACTAGTGTTTAGGAAGGGGCCTAATTTGAAGCACCAGAAGTTGCGCCAATATTTCTCAGCTTGACTTCAATAGATGAATATGTCACGTGTATCAACATAACAATGCACATAAGCAACTGGTTAATAAGTAACGAAATATACCTGATGTTTTGACCTACTAAAGGCGTATCCAGATAATATTGTACTTACGATAAACGAAAACTCCAATACACATATTCCAAGACAACTTTAATTATGAATTTCCTTTTCTTTCACAGAATTTTCACATTTGATCATTAGATCCACACTTGTCCCATGTATTTTTTGTTCGGGGTATTTGGATACACTTCGCGCACAAGTTTTAAAATATAATCTGGGATCCCTTTCCCGTTTTGTCCACACCGATCCTTCATCTGCTGCAATGTTTATTTCCGTTTCTTCAAGTCCAAGTATCTACGATCTCTCCAAACACTTCGTTTATTTAGCTCAGTCCAGAAGCAATGTGTTCGAATCGACGAATTTCTGCAACATGGTGGCCGCATCATTCCCTAACTGCGATTGCCTGTGCCGTGTCACGCATGGTTGACAAAAGAAGTGTGAACATACATATTCGGCTTCATCTGGTTCCACAATGAAATCTAGCTGTGACACTGATTCACTAATCCCAAGAATCGGCACTGAATTTATCAAAGTTTCTGTTGCAATTGCAAGGGCGGGAAGAGAGGCGCCATCTTGTCGATTCGAGTTGTGAATCGGAATGATGTCATCTTGAATTGGAACTTTCTCCACAATTAAGTCACCAATGTCATAATCGAAATTACCTAAGGCTCCCTGATTATCTCGAACAATTCTTCGTCAAATTAGGCTTCACATGAAAATGTTTTGTTGCTCATATTGAAGACAAGCGAAATTGCAAAGTTCTTGACAGTTGTAAGCAGCAACTCGATGCGCTCATGGGGCGTGGTTGCTAGGAGATCGCGTGGTCAGAAAGGCGAAAATAAAAAGTTTTAGAAAGTAATAAAAGAAATACCCAGTGCAATCCAAAAGTACCATGTACAGGATATTTAAAAAAAAAATATTCACGAAAACAAATCTTTTCTAAAAATGCAAAATAATTTATTAATTTATCCCAAGGTCGTAACCCTGATCACGTGGTGGGTATTTGGAAGGAATCTTTGCGATGACGCCGTGAATGAGGCCGTGTGTATTACATTGTTGAAATCAACTGCCCAGGAATGTTGAAGCATTGACATTATGACAGATGTTCGTCATGGATGGAGAGAAAAAAGTATCTGAGAGAAACATTGTTGCTTTGAGCTTCGAGACAAAACATGTGTTAATGCCGAAGAAGCCAGCGACCTGAATGTAAGCTTGATGAATGTAATGTTGAAACCCATTTTCACGCACATGACAGAATTAATGTGAACAAATATTAATCTGAACACCGTTTTGAAGTCTGTCCGTATTTGAATATTTCTATCTCCATTCCGACGTGAAATAATATAATGTCTTCGTGTCTCAATTTCGCTGCCGCTGTGGAAAATTGCGCACCGATCTAATAAAAGAAATACTACTAGATCTACAATTGCACCGTCATAAAAGAACCAGGTCAACGTTATCTTTTTTCCGTTGTTTATTAAAAATTCGTTTCCGAAGCAAAGCGAATCGATCTACATCATAAATTAATTCATAGACTAGTTTCTAGTACCAAGTGTTGAACCTTTTTTAAAAATGTCATCAAATAACTTACACAATTATTGAAAGACATTTTTTTATAAGTCATATATTGTATTTCGTCCGCCCGGTATCTGATTGTTTAGTTGAGGCTTGAGGGGAGAAACACATACACAAAATATGGATGGCCTTATGCAAATGACACTTGGCATGCCAATCAACAGGGATCTGGGTCACTGGGACCCGCCAAGTTTCACGGATCGAGTTACTTCGGCATGAGGAGCTTCATCGGACAAGTAAGACTTTGCCAAAATACATAGATTGCTACTGGGCAATGAAAAAAACGACAAGAAACTACTTTGATCACTTGAAAATATTTTTGACCTTTTACCAGGTTTTTTTTACACGATCGTTGTCATCCAGATTCCAAATGAGGCAAGACGAACAACACAACGAAGAAAAACATTGTTGAAATCACCGATTGCCGTATATATTGTGAGAAATGCTATTTGTAAACTGCAGATATACCGTACACCACAGGATAGCGATTGGTGCCCCAACACATATTATGTTCTTCATTTACACTGCTCATATGCATCACGACAAACGTATTTCGTTCTAGTCCAGAGATCTAGAACTATAATTTGTGTGCTGGATAAATCGTGGACATTCCACGGTATCATTTTATGAAGATGTGAAGACGACATGGCAGGTATGTTTTGAAACCAAAGACGTACGCGTTTGTTGAAAAGTCTTGGAATCGTTTGGTAGATATTTATATTACCATTAAAACTTACGTCCTTGTTGTCAAACGACCCACGTGGGTGGGTGTTTACATGACGTCACCCGTTTACGCATTAAACCAATGAAATGTATGTGTTATCATGACGTCATATAGACCTGTCAAATCACTTTTATAAGCTCCGCCCACTAGAGTGCGGTAGTTACTACCGCAGATGGGGCTTTAAGACACTGCTTATTACTGTCTACAAACTGAAAAAGGTGGAAGAATGATATTGGATGATAAACAAAATCTCACCCTTGTGCCTTTTGATATAAACAATATCAACACTTGTTGATAAAAGTGGAAAAACTCCTCGGCAAGCCACAACACACTCGGGTGAGATTCTCTATTTGATTACTTGTCAACTTTTCATTGGTTCCTCACCTCTCCAGCAACACAGTATATTCCCTTGTGTGTTACACTGATAGACATAGACACGTAATTATGTAGAGTTCTCATGCAAAATCATGATGAAAACAGGCTTTTGGTCAACTCAAATTTGTCAAAATTAGTCTTGTCTTGTTCAAGAATACCAAAGATTAATTCTAAGCATATGAAAACTAATCGGTGTATGAACCCATTTCCATGCTGGACACTCACCAGGATTTCCGCTTAAGTTGGCCTCGACGGTCAGCTGATAGTCACTCATTTTCTTCCCATAGCATGGCACTCTTTCCTGGCGGTAGTGGTAGCCACTTGGGTAAACATGCTTTATCTGTTTGACGTTCCTCTGCTCGAAGTTCCTGCAACAGGTAGACAAAAGTGAGACACTGTCAAATCTAGTCATTTATCAGTGTCAAATAGACAGCCATATAACAGACCCCGTATATTCTACAGTCATCTATAACTACAGACACTGTCAAATCTAGTCATTTATCAGTGTCAAATAGACAGCCATATAACAGACCCCGTATATTCTACAGTCATCTATAACTACAGACACTGTCAAATCTAGTCATTTATCAGTGTCAAATAGACAGCCATATAACAGACCCTGTATATTCTACAGTCATCTATAACTACAGACACTGTCAGCTGCACGGCACTTGTAACAGAAGAGGTTCAGTAATTTATGCTTCTGTTCACACTAGAGCTGTTACGATTCACTAACATATTCGGTGAATAGAACCGTATCCATTTATGAATTGAATTTGTATTTGTGGCCACTAGAATCGAATATTTATGAATATGGGATCATGTGTATTTACATACCCAGTACCTAAAAATATCCATAAAAACATAGTTTATGATATGCATAGATTTCTTTCAAAGACAACACTCTGATAATATTTAATTTGACAGTATTGTGGTCACTGGTCAGTCACTTTTGAGCTGATACTAGTAGCCGGATAAGTGCAGTATATAAATGTTTAATACATTGATAATATACAAACCATGTCAAATAATTTATGTTCTCTATGTTTCACTCAATGTAACAAATAATACATCAACTGCTGACCTGTTATTGTATTCATGAATTAATATTTATATTCGTTACCCTATATTCATGATAAGAATCATATTTGCCTCAAAGTGTATTCTTTGCAGCCCTAGTTCACACAAAACTTGAGCAACTTAATTGAAGGTAATTTAAGGGTATGATTACACTTTTCAAGCCTAAAAGCAAGTGTGTTTTCAGGACAGATTTTTTAGAATTTACCGTATTCGACGTAATAAGCGCCCAGGGCGCTCTCAAAATTAGAAAAGGGGGGGCGCTTATTAGAATGAAATTTTGGTTAAAAAAAAAGAATTGAAAGATCGCAAAATTCATGGTTTGGCGAACGCAGAAAACGACCTGTGTCCGTATTTTATAAATACATATCTCGTACAAATAATACCATGTGCATTCTTGTACGTATTAACTTAAAAATGAGCATATTTGTGATAACGCAGCGCCACATTTTACGATGCTTAAAATAGATCATCGGCGCCATTGTTCGGAAGTACAGGAAGTACAGGAAGTACCGGTAATCAGCAGGTAAATTTGAAAAATATAATATCAACATGCGCTTTGTGTTTGTGATTTTCAAAAACAGATGTTAATGTTAGTGTTTGATTATGAATATCCTTTCACATGTTATTTGAAAATTAAAAGCTGTCTGACACCGCGAATGCACAATTTGACCGACTGTGTCAGCGACACCTCACCTGTGCCATCTCCGCTTGAATCACCTGGTCACATTTGGAAACAAGACACAAATGTGTATTTATTTCTTTCGTACATTAGTCGTTCACTTTCATTATCAATCAGGGGAAGATAGACATTTCATCTTTATCAGAACGGAACAGACATTTAAGTTGGTACTTGATAATCTCTGCAGAGACCTGATGACGTTCTCTTCACTAATTGGCTTAATGTGAAAATTCCCACGCCTGTCTATCCAATCAGCAAACACCTCAAAACTGAGGGCATTGAATACATTAACAGCTGATTGACAAGCCGAGATGTTTGATAAACAAAAAACAACAACACTGAACTCAGAAAACTGTATAACTTTATGAAACAACAATGATGCTGCTTTCAACTGCACACACAGAAGAAATACTGCCTTATCTTTGTTGTTTTACGCCGCACTCAGCAATGTTCCAGCAATATGACGGCGGTCTGTAAATAATCGAGTCTGGACCAGACAATCCAATGACATTCACGAGCATCGATCTACGCTACTGGGATATGATGACATGCATCTACCAAGTCAGCCATCCTGACAACACGATCCGGTTAGTCGCCTCCTACGACAAGCATATATATTTGGCTTTTACGACAAGCATTAAACATGATAAACGAGAAAACTTCTGAAACTGGAAATAACAAACACAGTCATTCTGGGATTATGAATTAATGTCCCATCAATCTGTCACTTGAATTCTTTTTTTAACTGCTCAAGGATAGAGGTTTCAGTGACATGGGGAATCTGGAGACTCGTACTCGTCTCCGCTTTCGACATCTTCGTGCGCATCCTCTGGGTCACTCCATTCATTTACGGCGTCCAACTCCATGCGTAGATTATCCTGCTTTTGTTGATTGGCTTCAAGCTCCCCAGGTGTCGGCTCATCAAATCCATCAAATGGGTCATCGGAGTCTGAGTCGTCTGCGAAGAGAATGGCATCTTCGGCCCCATCCAAGGAGTTGCTGATTCCACATTTAAGAAATGATTTCCGGACTGTGTCTGGAGACACAGAACTCCACGCCTGCTTGATCCATTTAAGGACCAAGGTTTTTTCTGGGGGCTTCCTGTTGTTTCCCTTCGTCAAAACAGGCTTGGCATTGAAGAGCCAGTCGTCGTACTGGTCTCTGTAGGCATCTTTGAATGGCTTGTTCCACGACACATCGCACGGTTGGATGCGGCTTGTGCACCCACCGGGGATTATAGCAAAATCGCTGTTGTAATCACGTGACAAGGATTTCTTTATGGCGGGGGTACGATGTGCTGAGAAAGAATCCCAGACAAGAAGCCTACGAGTTTGAGCATTTTGTCGCCAAATACGGTGCAACCAAAATTGCATTACAGCCTCGTTGGCCCAAGCTTTGGGTGTCATCATGACGACTACGCCAACAGGGACGTCTTTGATGGGACGAACACCTTTTAACAGGACAAGTGGGGGCATTTTAGTACCATCCGCATATGCAGCCAAACAAACAGTTAGTCTAGTTTTTTCATGTCCTGTGCTTGTCATGGTAATGGTTTTAGATCCTATTTCCTCCAAAGTTGAACTGCCAGGCATATCGACCCACACCGGGGTTTCATCCATGTTTGCGATTGCAGAGAGCGGGTAAGACTGACGCCTCCTCATGTATATGATGTAGCGAAGAAATGACATCTTGTCACTCAGTATAGCTTCACTTTTTTTACCAACATGTGTCGCTCTACGGAAACTGATTTTATTTCTCTTCATGAAAGATCTCAACCATCCGCAACTTGCTTTAAACGATTGGTTTCCACCATCCCTGTGCAAACGTAAGGCCTCTTGCTTTAATGCTTTCCCTGTAACACGTGTGCCTTTACTGCGACGATCTCTCATCCATGTTAGGACCTTATTTTCAATGTCAGGGAAATCTATTTTTCGCCCAGCCCCAGATCGACGTTTACGTTTGGCTTTGTCACCCACAGTTTGCAATTCTTGCTTCTGTTTTAGCCATTCTCGCACACGCTTTCTATCGACCCCAAAATGTTTTGCTGTCAATGTAATGTTAGACTTTTCAGCAAACTGTATCACTTTTAATTTGAATGAAATGTCATAAGAGCAAAGTCTCTTCCCTTTGTGTGATGACAGATCGTCATTCATGCTTGCAAAGTGACCGTTACACTTACCACGATTTTGCACCTAGTGACCTCGTAGTAAATGTGTAATGAAGCATGATTGGTTAATATAGTAATCATGTGACTAATATTTATTACCTGTCCTGCGCAGTCGTTACTATCAATAAAACAAGCATGGCCGATATTTACAAGTTTGACAGCTCGGTTAGAGGATTTCATGTTTATCGTGATATGTGGCAGCCCAATGAAGGAGAAGTATTATCAACCAAAAGAGAACCTGAAAACCCATCCGATAAATTTGCGGTGTGTGTTGTTAATGGTGCGTGTGTTTTGGGACATTTGCCCCGGGAACTGAGCAAGACACTTTCGCGTTTCATAAAGCATGGCGGTGTGATCACTTGTGTCATCACCGATCCAGAATATCAACATTCAGAAATCGCAGGAGGCCTCGAGATACTGTGTCAGCTACGCTGCTTAGGTTCACCAAGATTAGTTGCCCGACTGAAACAAGTTCTACAGTCAGAATAAGTAAGTTTTTGTGTACATTGGTCAATCGGAAGGGGGCGCTTATTGGGATGTTCACTTGCCAATATATTAGCAAACACCGCCATGGGCGCTTATTAGAGCAGGGCGCTTATTACGTCGAATACGGTAGTATATTTTATATCATAGTAAACGTTTACATCCAATTTTGCTACTAACATATGAAAGTTGACCATACACATGCTTAAATATCAACACATGTTATGGACTAATCATTTCTATATTGTCAGCATAGCAGAGGTAAAGTTACAAGAAAGCGAGTGAATGTTCCGTCATCGGCCAGGTCATACAGGGTGTGTGTTTGTTGTTTAATGCCTCACTCAGCAATATTCCAGCTATATGAAAGCGACCTGTAAATGATTTGAGTCTGGACCTGACAATCGATAGATCAATATGGCGAGGAACGATCCACCCCTTCATGGTACACTCACTCACAATGAACCGAGTCACTGACTCTGTCCACTGATCCATCATAACCAGCATAGGGTGCAGGGGGCTAGCTCCACACTGGGGTCACTTTCCACGCTTACATAGCTACATGCGTGCTTGCACTAGTCCGGACCGATGCCAATTTTATATTGCTAGCCCACAGAGATACCGTTTAACATGAAAACCCCACTCAGACACAGTATACTGACTCCCAGCCGACCAATCCTAGTTTTAGCCCCTTAATGCCGAGCGCCAGACAGGGTAACAACAAGCACCAGGCAGGGTAACAACAAGCATCAGGAAGGGTAACAACAAGCATCAGTTGCATGAGGCAATGGGGACCTATTTGGGAGATAATGAATAATTCACACCATGTTCATTACATACATGCTAAAACTACATACCTCTTCGTCATGGTCTGCACAGCCACTTTGAGTTTGGAGAAGGTGCAGATCTCAGAGCGGTTGTGCATCATACTGACAACAGTGTCCATGCCGCGGAACATCTCCATCAGCAGCTTGTACTTGTAGGGGAGGGTCAGGGTGGGGGGAGCGGGGTCAGCTAGCGTGTGATGACGCACATAAGCTGGGGCCTTGGATACACTAAAGAAAAATAACAAATAAGAAATTGACTTGGCCAGGTGCAGCAAGCATTTTGCACAGGGTTATGGGGTACCTGTGATACTAGAAGTCTGTGCACATGCTGGGGTATTTCAATAATAATGCCACGCTGTCTTTTTACTTTAATATTTTGTTTATTAATACATGTCAGTCACAAGAAAGAAGTAAATAACAAATGCAATGAGACCCCAAATAGAATTATATAGAAATTTGCAGCGTCATGTCAACAATTTGGCGTTTTGTAGCTTAATTTGCAATAAGATGACAATTAAATATGTTGGTTGGTTGGTTGTTTAACGCCGCACTCAGCAATATTCCAGCTATATGACGGCGGTCTGTAAATAATCGGGTCTGGACCAGACAATCCAGTGATTGATATCATAAGCATCGATCCACTCAATTGGGATCGATGACATGTATCAACCAAGTCAGCAAGCCTGACCACTCGATCCCGTTAGTCGCCTTTTACGACAAGCATAGTCGTCTTTTACGGCAAGCATGGGTTGCTGAAGATCTGTTCTACCCCGTAATCTTCACGGGTTCCATTAAATATGTAAAACCATGGTTACAGTAAGTGGAAGACAGAAGCTTAAATCCAGCCAGTGTTCAAACATTGCCCCTAGTCTATAACCAAAGTCTACTTCCTGTCAGATTCTACTTATTTCAGTAATAAGTTAAGGCCTGTACAGGTACATACTTTCCACAGATTTCTACAGAACAATGAACAGATTGCCTCACCTCTTCACTGGACTGCTCTTCACAGGGCTTTGCTGGACCACAGGCTGCTCCACTTCAATTTCAATGTTGTCAAACTTCTGGAGTTTAGGGAGCGGTTTCTTCAGCTGGTTTATTTTTCTGTTCATGTCCGACAACTGGGACTTCAGCTCCTCCATCTTGCCACATTTCTTCAGTCTGGCTCGGATCTCAGCTTTGATCTGCTTCTGTAATAGTGGTCAAATTTAATCATACATAACACACAACTCTCTTCATCTCAACAAATACCTCAGTGTCCAAAACCCTTAAGGTTGAAAGGAAACAGCGAGCCCCATGTATGGGTTTTGGTTCCCGAGGTGACGGAGTCTGTAGGTGCAGACTCTTGAGGTAATGATGCTTGTGACTCATGCACCAGGTTTAAATAAAAACATCAATTTATTTTATTTAAGAGTTTTTAATGCCACATTCGGCAATGTTCCAGCTGAATGACGATGGCAAGTATATAAATCAAGTCTGACCAGAAACCTAGGTATCGATACTATAAGAAACTATCTCTGTTTTCAGAGTATGTTGATATGCAAAGTCACCAGGTCCGACCAATGATCTATTTGGTTGCCTTTTCCGACCAGCATAGGTTGCCCGGGGCCTATTCTAACCCAGAATCTCAACAGATTAGTAAATAAACTCAAGTAAATCAGATTGAATCAAACACTAAGAGTTTACAAGATGAGGGGTAGGTCGTAGGGCTGCGCCAGTGTCACAAGTATCAGGTCAGAGGAGATTGTTAACAGCCATCACATAAGGTGACCGCTTTCCAACATGTACTGGACAAGTTTGTTTGTTTGTTTAACGCCGCACTCAGCAATATTCCAGCTATATGATAGCAATCTGTAAATAATCAAGTCTGGACCAGACCATCCAGTGATTGAAATCATGAGCGTCGATCCACGCAATTGGATGACATGCATCAAACAAGTCAGTGAGTCAGACCACCTGATCCTGTTAGTTGCCTCTTACGACAAGCATAGTCGCCTTTTGCTACTGGAAACGTCAACCCTTTGATGGTAGATTAGCGTAGTAATGTATCACAATGGGCATAAACATGACGGGTTTATCTAGGATTCCAAACTACAGTGTTCTTGGCATCCAAAACGGAAAAAAAACCTGATATTTTTTAAAAGTGGATTCTTTTTAACATTCTTACTTTCATAAAATCTGAAGAATTGTGAAAAGTGTAATACAATATGAGAATTTTTACTGTCATTTGCTGCAGACCTGGGGCTGAATATCTGCCTCTGAAAAGGTCTGAATAGGCTACGTATGAATGTATTTGGTACATACCTCTTTAGTCTTTGCATCCCCTTGGCCTGTCTGCATCAGCTTCTTGCACTTCTCTATGGCAGCCTTCACATTGGGAGACGTTGGGATGCTGGGGCTATTGGACTTTGTAGGAGTTTTCAAGGTATCTGGTGTCACAGGAAGTGGTGATATCATCTTCTCAGGCAACTTCATGGATGAAACAATTGAGTTCATATCCACTTCAGACTGAAACAATAAGTTCAAAAATAAACCCTTCCATTCATTTCCTTGTGCAATTATAGAGGAGACACATGCCAACAAATGAGAGATGTCATTTAGGATGTATAGACAGCAGGCCCTCCTATCTATTTGAATAAACATGTTGAGCATAGATTCCGCGTTGAAGGCATAAGTATTTATAATGTAAACGAATAAATACACTATCAGATTTGACGGCGGTCATTGGTGGAATATGTGCACAGCCTCTATGGGAAATTCAGTCAAATGCAGTGGACTAACTTCGGCAGTAGCTGATGGTAGTTAATTGACAAAACCTTTTCTGGAAAAACAGTGTGGGAGAAATGGCAGTGATTTAACAAATAAGCGACAAGAGAAGTTATGTCTTTTGGTTTGTCTGACTCGTAGTATTGATCTGCTGTCAGTTCCAATAGCGGCTGTTTGGTGATTCCAATGAAGCGTGTTACGATGATAGTTACTGCATTTATATCATGTGTATATCGCAACTGAAACTATTCCTTCGCATTTGGTAGCTATACACATGATATTGATTACATTAATTCTGATAATGCCTCTTTTTATTAAAATAGATAGGACTATGTGCATGAAGGGTGTGGGTTTCATGGTGTAGACTGAGGAACGAAGGAGAATGAGATATGACATTCTGTCCAATTAATTTATTAAACTGCTTTGTGGCTTTCCAAACAGTGTGATCGAGTGCCAAAATCTGCTGTATCACTATTAAAAACATCTCATTACTCAAACTTCAAAACAATCTTACCGTCTTTTCAACATTTGATTTCTGGCTCATCTGTAATCGTTTCCTTGCATGGCGTTTGGTAGGAGCAGCTGATTCTTCTTGAGTTTCTTTCTGTGGGGTATTTTCTTCAGTAATACACTCATTTTGAATTTCCTTGCGTGATCTGCGACTTGCCGTATCTGCACTAAGACGTAATTGTTTCGTTGGAGTACTGTCTGGGCCGTCGTGTTCATCCCAGGCGGAAGGGACTGCTTCTGAAGTTTCATCTTCTTGAAAATTAAAAGACAATGGCTCGGTGTTGTTTTTGTATTCATTGAACGTGGAGGAGAAAATATCAGATATTTTACGCTGACAAGAATCGTTTTCAACATTTTTGCCTTTCCTTGCGGATTGCCGTACAGGTTTTTGATTACTTTTCGCCGATGCAACAGATTTCACCCTCTTGCTTGTTTTTGTTTTCTGAGAGTTGGTTTTCGTGCACTCCTCTTTTGACTCTTCCGATTGTTCTGAAATCTGTACATTTCGATTAACTGCCTGTTTTAAACTTGAAATGTCATCATCTGTTGTGGTGAGTTCCACTTTTCGGCGTTTTGTGGCATTGCTGTGGCGTGACTTCTTTTTGCTTGGAAAAAATTCACTAACCCGAGTCTGCGCCATTTTGGATGATTTACTTTCCCGCGGTCCCTGTCACGTGACGTCTTTTCAGCACGAGCAATTAAACTTAGGTATAACACTATTTTCTTTTATAAAATCAAATGAAAATACATAGAGTGGTTATTTTGTTAAATAAAAAGTGATTTGGTAAATAATTTCAAGGTGCGTCCCACGTGATCTACAAAATGGCGGAGAGCCTGAATCCTTTCGAAGAAACTGATTATATTGAATCTGAGATACAAAACACTAGCACTGAAGAGCCTGTAATCTCTGAAGTGCATGTAACTCCAGAGTCAACAGAAGTGTCCTGGGATGCGATTGCCACTAAACTTTTAAAGGACAATTACATTTTGACAGCTCTCGAGTTACACACTGAGCTTGTGGAATCAGGAAGAGAGCTTCCTAGATTGAGAGACTACTTCTCAAATCCTGGCAACTTTGAAAGAACAAAAGAGGACACGCCCTCGCCGACATTACGTAAGCGCAGTTGACGTTTATTCAAGTGTGTCTGTTATGTCAGTAAATCCGTTTGAGATAATTGTCTCTCACAAGAGAACGGATAATTACGACTACAATTAGCATCCTAACTCACTCAGCCAAGGCAGTTAGTGTCTAATTAGACTTCGGATGAGTCGTGCCATTCCAGAAATAGATCTACGTCAATTGACGCTTTTGAGAGAATTGAGGGATGAAAATAACTATCTTCACTTTCTGAATATGTGTGTGCAAAATACCAGTCTTTCTAAAAAATAATAAATGAATTGGAAGTTCATTATGTCCAGTTCTGTGTCAGCTTTAGATGAATTAAGTTCCAGAAGTGTCAAGTAATATGCTTTCCTGTGGCGTTATTTTGAATATTTTAAAACTACTTTAAAGTAATGAACATTGCCATTTTTCCATTTATGTTGAATTAGTATCACAACAATAAAGTACAGTGTTGCTGTCAAAATCAAAATATTTGATTTAATAAGCTAGTCAGGGCTACAATTATTTTTCCTTTTTATTTCAAATAACATTTTGTTACCAATTGCTTTATCGTGTAGTATTATTGTTTCCTCATCAACAAAATCCAAAATTGAATAAAACTACATGTATTCAATATTTTATTCAATCTCATGGAGAAATTACAGTCCCATGTTTAGTTCTAACCTTATGTTGATTGAAGTGCTTCTTGACATCATGTTAACTTAGTGTCTATCAGTGGCAGAAATTAGCTATCATTTGATTTTCAAGTAGTACAAACTTTTTTTATTGCAATGCATGGCATATCCCTGAAAATTTGAAACTTGCGGATTCCTCTTAACATGCTTACTTCAGTGTAGGAAATCTGGAAGTCTTTTTGAAAGTATCACCTATTACGTCTAGTGTTTACCATTTTACCAGCTGTTGTATCATGTTATTGACTTAGGTATAGACACTAGGTATTGTACTATTGTCTTTCTAAAGTATGAATACAAGTACTGAATATTTGTATAACAATAAATTCTGAATGTTTCTGTTCTACACAAGATTTCTACAGTGCATCAGTGGTGATCTTTTGCACGTTGACCTGTGTCATATAAGATCATGAAAAGCCCAAACCAATAATTTTCAATCTGTATTCATGAAATGAACTTGAATTTAGTGTAAGGTGAATGTGAATAGTGTGTATAGAATTATTAAGAATATATCTGACCTATGTGATTTCACTTCACAATTTAAAAGTGTGTTTATGTTTTTACATTATCAATTTGAATTTTTTTAACATGCCTGATAACTACTGTTATTACAAGAGGTTTTAATGACACTCAAATGATCACATGATTTTCAACCATTCATAAATGAAGTTATTTGATTTGTACCTATTTGTTAGATCTGCTAATACCTTGGATACATTATAAGGAATTCATTTCACAGGGCTGGGGTAGACACCATGAATTAATTCAATTTGTCCACAGATTATTTTGGACCAGTAGTTCTGATTTTTGGAGAAAACAAATAGTCCTAACCAAATTTTCATTAATCTGTGGACAAGCAGACAAATGTCTGTGTCTAACTCAACTCTTCTAAACTCACAACTCATTTATTTCTCGGAACTACCCACAGACTACATCATCTTTTGATGTGATGTAAATATGATGAAACATAAGGAAACCATTAAATTTTGGATCAGATTAATGGGTATCATGACATCTTACTTATGAGCAATGAGACACCTTAAATCTCACCAAGCACCAGATACTGACAGTAGACAGGGCACATTATACAAATACCGTATTCAACGTAATAAGCGCCCAGGGCGCTCTCAAAATTAGAAATAGGGGGCTCTTATTAGAATATTATTTTGGTGAAAAAACAGAGTTGAAAGATAAATTTCGTGGTTTATGCTGACAGCCTGAAATGTTTATGTACGACAGATATATTTTTCCAGAATTTAATTGCCCATTATTAAGGATGCATATAACACACGAGTGCGTATTATACATGAATAAATAAGTCTTTTGTACATTGATCAATCGGAAGGGTGTTGATTGGGATTGTTCACTAGCCAATATATTAAGAAATATCGCCTATTAGAGCGGGGCTCTTATTATGTTGAATACGGTTGATAAAATATCTCAAACAGTACCATAATGTAGCATTATTTTTAATAAGTAATAAGTAGGTCTTGTGTACATTGTTCAATCAGAAGAGGTGCTAATTGGGATTGATCACTAGCCAATATATTAGCAAATAACAATTAGTGGGGCGCTTATTACGTCGAATACGGTACATGTATACTATTGTGTGTGTGATGTAATGGCTGTGTTATGTAACCATGTTCCGTGTGTTTCAGCTCGGACTTCAAGTGTACAGACCTTTGATTCCCTGGACTTTGCCCGCTACTCTGATGATGGGGAAAGACAAGTTGATGAGAGAGTGGCTGGTACGTTGATGTTGGAAGAATGTGATCAGGAAGAATGAAGAAACTGGTTAATCATCTCTTCCTAACATTGATCTCAGTAGATGAATAAATTTATATAAAACCTGATGAATGTAGGTTCATGCATTGCAATTTATGTACAGAGTTATGTGCCCTAGTTGTAACAGGATTTGCTGATCATGGGTTTGAATCATGCTCAGGTTTGCCCGGATTACGATTCCATCAACTACTGTAGTTGTGTATATATATTCATTATATATCTAAATTGAATAATTCTATAATAAATCATTTACTAATATTAATATTTTTTACCTGTTTTTAGTTTTAGAATTTGAATTGCGAAAGGCACAGGAGACAATAAAATCCCTACGAGCTACTCTTACAAGGGAAGCAGGTAAGTAGATGCTGCACTCACTAATATAACCTTTTACCTGAAGTCCATTTTTTTCTATGGGATATTCATTCAAGACAAATGATCTTGGGGCCATTCTATTTCATGCAATGTTTCTAGTTGTCAAAAGAAATAGTTTGGTTGTTAACAGGAACAAAACAAGATTTGTTGTCTAAATAATAATGCTGTTTCTTTTTGTTTCTTTGGCAGCTTCATAACTGACAAGGGATGATTTCTTGCACCATTTCCTCACAAGTTTTACACTTATCATCAGCATCAAATAGACTTTAATTCTTACCTTTGATGTTCTGAATTTTGGAAGAATGAAACGAACATTATCACTTTAAGTTTTTAGAATATGTCTTTGTTTTAGATGGGTACTGAATGTGTTGCCTTGTTTCAGAAAATGAGATTGTCTCCCCGGACACAGAGAAGCACCTTGCAGGTGGCATATGTGTGGAAGACAGCATCAAGCCTCTCGAACAGCGAGCACTCAACTTCCTCGTGAACGAGTACCTCCTGCTCAATGACAACAAAATCACATCGGTCACTTTCTCAGAAGAGAATGAGGAGCAAGTAAGTCAGGGTGATCTTGAGTGTTTTGTGTTCTAGGAACTGTAGCATGTGTGGTGTTCAGGGAACTGTAGCATGTGTGGTGCTCAGGAAACTGTAGCTAGTGTTCAGGAAACTGTAGCTAGTGTTCAGGAAACTGTAGCATGTGTGGTGCTCAGGAAACTGTAGCTAGTGTTCAGGAAACTGTAGCATGTGTAGTGTTCAGGAACGGTAGCATGTATGGTGTTCAGGAAACTGTAGCATGTGTGGTGTTCAGGGAACTGTAGCATGTGTGGTGCTCAGGAAACTGTAGCTTGTGTTCAGGAAACTGTAGCATGTGTGGTGTTCAGTTAAACTGTAGCATGTGTGGTGCTCAGGAAACTGTAGCTTGTGTGGTGTTCAGGGAACTGTAGCATGTGTGGTGTTCAGGGAACTGTAGCATGTGTGGTGTTCAGGAAACTGTAGCATGTGTGGTGTCTAGGCAACAGTAGCATGTGTGGTATTCAGGAAACTGTAGCTTGTGTTCAGGGAACTGTAGCATGTGTGGTGTTCAGGAAACTGTAGCATGTGTGGTGTTCAGGAAACTGTAGCTTGTGTTCAGGGAACTGTAGCTAGTGTTCAGGAACTGTAGCATGTGTGGTGTACAGGAAACTGTAGCTAGTGTTCAGGGAACTGTAGCTAGTGTTCAGGAACTGTAGCATGTGTGGTGTTCAGGAAACTGTAGCTTGTGTTCAGGGAACTGTAGCTTGTGTTCAGGGAACTGTAGCTAGTGTTCAGGGAACTGTAGCTTGTGTGGTGTTCAGGGAACTGTAGCTTGTGTTCAGGGAACTGTAGCTTGTGTTCAGGGAACTGTAGCTAGTGTTCAGGAACTGTAGCATGTGTGGTGTTCAGGAAACTGTAGCTTGTGTTCAGGGAACTGTAGCTAGTGTTCAGGGAACTGTAGCATGTGTGGTGTTCAGGAAACTGTAGCTTGTGTTCAGGGAACTGTAGCTTGTGTTCAGGGAACTGTAGCTAGTGTTCAGGGAACTGTAGCATGTGTGGTGTTCAGGAAACTGTAGCTAGTGTTCAGGAACTGTAGCATGTGTGGTGTTCAGGAAACTGTAGCATGTGTGGTGTCTAGGCAACAGTAGCATGTGTGGTATTCAGGAAACTGTAGCTTGTGTTCAGGGAACTGTAGCATGTGTGGTGTTCAGGAACTGTAGCATGTGTGGTGTTCAGGAAACTGTAGCTTGTGTTCAGGGAACTGTAGCATGTGTGGTGTTCAGTTAAATTGTAGCTAGTGTTCAGGAAACTGTAGCTTGTGTTCAGGAAACTGTAGCTAGTGTTCAGGAACTGTAGCATGTGTGGTGCTCAGGAAACTAGCTAGTTTTCAGGAAACTGTAGCATGTGTGGTGCTCAGGAAACTGTAGCTTGTAGCTTCGGAGAACTGTAGCATGTGTGGTGTTCATAAAACTGTAGCTTGTGTTCAGGGAACTAAAGCATGTGTGGTGTTTAGGAAACTGTAGCTAGTGTTCAGGAAACTGTAGCTAGTGTTCAGGGAAATGTAGCTAGTGTTCAGGAAACTGTAGCTAGTGTTCAGGGAAATGTAGCTTGTGTTCAGGGAACTGTAGCTAGTGATCAGGAAACTTGTAGCTTGTGTTCATGGAACTGTAGCTTGTGTTCAGGAAACTGTAGCATATGTGGTGTACAGAGAACAATCATACCACTGGTGTCAATACAGCTGCTAATGTGAATATGAATGTTCATGAACAATATATTAACGTTGGTGGAACAACATCCTGGTCCACATGCTCCACACACAATTATCTTCACCAACTACTGCCACATGGTGTAGCATGTTTGCTGTTACCAGATCATGCAATAACCTTAACCTCCCAGTCTTAGAAATAGTTTTGTAAGAACAGTGGAAACCTTATTTCACCAGTATTCCAAGTTTGTAGCTCGTCCTGCTTGAACGTTTACTATGTTTTCATGTTGTATCAGTTTTATTCAGTTCCAATTTGTAGCAAAATTGAAGCATTGAGAACTAGTTCAGAATTATTGTCCTCAAATGCTACTTACTGTCATTGTATTTTTACTCAGCAAAGTGTTGTGGTCTTGGACTAGTGTGAATTTCAAAGGCTGTCTTCCCCACAAATGTAAACCAGTTTTCCATGTGTGTATAAGGACTTCGAGGACTGGGATGATGTGGGCCTCAACATACCCCGGCCTCCAGATCTCCTGCACTTGTTCCGTGACTATGGCAACCATATCATGCCGACCAAGGAGACACAGGAAGTGGCTTGTGAGGCAGATCTGGAGGATGAAGATTTCCAGGAGCGACAGCAGGACTGGCAGCTCATCCGGGAACAGATGGTGAGCAGCGGATATTGGTGGGGGGACATCGCGGATTGTTGGGGGTGGGGACATCGAGTATTTTGAGGGGGACATTGGGGATTGTTAGTGGGGACATTGGGTATTGTTAGGATGACATTGGGGATTCTTGCGGTGGGGGGAGGGACATCAGGTATTTTGAGGGGGACATTTGGGATTGTTAGGGGGACATTGGGTATTGTTAGGATGACATTGGGGATTGTTAGGGGGACATCAGGGATTGTTAGGGGGGACATCAGATATTGTTAGGAGAACATTGGGGATTGTTAGGGGGAAATCAGAGATTGTTAGGGGGACATCAGAGATTGTTAGGAGAACATTGGGGATTGTTACGGGGACATCAGGGATTGTTAGGGGGGACATCGGGGATTGTTAGGAGGACATCAGAGATTGTTAGGGGGACATCAGGGATTGTTAGGGGGACATCAGAGATTGTTAGGGGGACATTGGGGATTGTTAGGGGGACATCAGAGATTGTTAGGGAGACATTGGGTATTGTTAGGGGGGACATCAGAGATTGTTAGGGGGACATCAGAGATTGTTAAGAGAACATTGGGGATTGTTAGGGGGGACATCAGGGATTGTTAGGGGGACATCAGAGATTGTTAGGGGGACATTGGGGATTGTTAGGGGGGACATCAGAAATTGTTAGGGGGACATCAGAGATTGTTAGGGGGACATTAGAGATTGTTAGGGGGACATTGGGGATTGTTAGGGGGACATTGGGTATTGTTAGGGGGACATTGGGGATTGTTAGGGGGGACATCAGAGATTGTTAGGGGACATTGGGGATTGTTAGGGGGACATCGGGTATTGTTAGGGGGACATTGGGGATTGTTAGGGGGACATTAGAGATTGTTAGGGGGACATTGGGGATTGTTAGGGGGACAATGGGTATTGTTAGGGGGACATTGGGGATTGTTAGGGGGGACATCAGAGATTGTTAGGGGGACATTGGGGATTGTTAGGGGGACATTAGAGATTGTTAGGGGGACATTGGGGATTGTTAGGGGGACATTGGGTATTGTTAGGGGGACATTGGGGATGGTTAGGGGGACATTGGGTATTGTTAGGGGGGACTTCAGAGATTGTTAGGGGGACATTGGGGATTGTTAGGGGGGACATCAGAGATTGTTAGGGGGACATTGGGGATTGTTAGGGGGGACATCAGAGATTGTTAGGGGGACATTGGGGATTGTTAGGGGGACATCAGAGATTGTTAGGGGGACATCAGAGATTGTTAGGGGGACATTGGGGATTGTTAGGGGGACATCGGGTATTGTTAGGGGGACATTGGGGATTGTTAGGGGGACATTAGAGATTGTTAGGGGGACATTGGGGATTGTTAGGGGGACATTGGGTATTGTTAGGGGGACATTGGGGATTGTTAGGAGGACATCAGAGATTGTTAGGGGGACATTGGGGATTGTTAGGGGGACATTAGAGATTGTTAGGGGGACATTGGGGATTGTTAGGGGGACATTGGGTATTGTTAGGGGGACATTGGGGATGGTTAGGGGGACATTGGGTATTGTTAGGGGGGACTTCAGAGATTGTTAGGGGGACATTGGGGATTGTTAGGGGGGACATCAGAGATTGTTAGGGGGACATTGGGGATTGTTAGGGGGGACATCATAAATTGTTAGGGGGGCATTGGGGATTGTTAGGGGGACATCGGGTATTGTTAGGGGGACATTGGGGATTGTTAGGGGGACATTAGAGATTGTTAGGGGGACATTGGGGATTGTTAGGGGGACATTGGGTATTGTTAGGGGGACATTGGGGATTGTTAGGGGGGACATCAGAGATTTTTAGGGGGACATTGGGGATTGTTAGGGGGACATCGGGTATTGTTAGGGGGACATTGGGGATTGTTAGGGGGACATTAGAGATTGTTAGGGGGACATTGGGGATTGTTAGGGGGACATTGGGTATTGTTAGGGGGACATTGGGGATGGTTAAGGGGACATTGGGTATTGTTAGGGGGGACTTCAGAGATTGTTAGGGGGACATCGGGGATTGTTAGGGGGACATTGGGGATTGTTAGGGAGACATTGGGGATTGTTAGGGGGACATCAGAGATTGTTAGGAGAACATTGGGGATTGTTAGGGGGACATCAGAGATTGTTAGGGGGACATCAGAGATTGTTAGGGGGACATTGGGGATTGTTAGGAGAACATCTGGGATTGCTAGGGGGACATCATGTATTGTTAGGGGGACATCAGAGATTGAGATTGTTAGGGGACATTGGAGATAGATTGTTAACATTTATCATGTTTATGCATCCCTGCATAACAAATCCCTGAAGAACACAGAAATGTATTGTGATGTATTGTGATGTTTTGTATGTCAATAATGTTTGTTTTGTTCAGGAGAGCAAGATCTGTGAGCTTGAGGACCAGGTCCAGATGATTGCACAAGAAAATGATGTTCTGTCCCAGCAAGTCAGTATCCTCAAGATGTAAGTTGCTCCAGCAGCCTCTGATGTCCCTCCACAGTCATGGACACAGATGGCAATTAACTGTGCAGAAATGATTCCCTTGGGCATGCCCGAAACCTATGATCATGGGTTTGAATCCCAGTTAACCCTGATCATGTTTCTTGGTTTGTCGGCACCATTCCTGTGCTTGTTGGTTTCACAAAGTGTTAAATGTCTGAAGACCTACATCACATCGGGCTTTCCTCTCGCACTAAGCTGACACGCCATGATATAACTTGAATACTGTTCGAAGTTGGGTTAAAACCAACTCACTCACTCACTCACTCACTCACTCACTCACTCACTCACTCACTCACTTCACAGTCAGTGTTTAACTTTCTCAAATATATTTTGATCTGAGTAATGATCTTTAGTTATGTGTCTGGTACGAAAAGATGCTTGGCTTGTCATTCATTCATTCATTCATTCATTCATTCATTCATTCATTCATTCATTCATTCATTCATTCATTCATTCATTCATTCATTCATTCATTCATTCATTCATTCATTCATTTGTTGTCAGGTCACCTCTGAAGAACACACAGTTGAATCACTCCACACCAGTAGGGCACAAGGTCGAGCCCACCAAGACCAGTCCATCGACACATAATAACCAGCCAATGAGTGACGGCCATGACGACTCTCAGCCAATCACAGATCCTAATGTGGAAGATGTGTCTGGCCAGTCGGACTCTATGAATCTCGATGCGTCTGCCATAACGCAAAACCATGTAGGAGAGGACACTGATGGAGATGTGCATTCAGGGGGAGATAACTGTGCTGCTTACAGTGATAGGGTGGATGGGGTTGGTCAGCAGTCAGAAGATGGAGATGCTTCCCTCACAGAGAATGTGATAGACAGGTGAGGGACACCTTCGTAATCTAACAGGGTTGTCACATTGGTTCTGCATATATGCAGGGATGGGAATTTCCTGTGGAGTTCTGTGGATTTCATTTCATCCGGGGTCACTTTTGTGATACATGAAGTTACAATATATGCTTGTTTGCTTGTTTGTTTGTTGTTTAACGCCACACTATCAGCAATATTCCAGCTATATGACGGCGGTCTGTAAATAATCGAGCCTGAACCAGACAATCCAGTGATTGATATCATGAGCATCGATCCACGCAATTGGGATCGATGACATGTATCAACCAAGTCAGCAAGCCTGACCACCCAATCCGGTTAGTCGCCTTTTACGACAAGCATAGTAACCTTTAACGGCAAGTATGGGTTGCTGAAGACCTATTTTACCCCAGAATCTTCACGGGTCACATGAAGTTAGGATATATGCATATAGTCCCCCAGAATCCTGGCTAATTTTCAGTATTTTTGAAAAAACAAACTACCTGGATGTGTACCCAGGTACCATTCTGAATCTTCTTGTTCCTATTTACCCGTGAATATCCGGGTTAGAATAGGTCTTCAGCAACCATGCTTGTCGTAAGAGGCGACTGTGCTTGTCGGAAGAGGCAACTATGCTTGCTGGAAGAGGCGACAAACAGGATCGGGTGGTCAGGCTCGCTGACTTGGTAGATGCATGTCATTGTATCCAATTGCATGGTTTGATGTTCATGATGTCAATCACTGGATTGTCTGGTCCAGACTCGATTGTTTACAGACCGCACTCATATAGCTGAAATATTGCTCAGTGCGGCATTAAACAACGAGCAAAGTGTTTTTCCTGTTCTACAAGGCCCAGATTTGCATCGACTAGACTTTCTAACCATTGTTACACATTGTGAAATGGCCATCTCCACTCATGCCATGCATACAGGCCAAACTAATACCATTCAATTACCACAACTGTAGAGTAGAGTCTCCTGCCGGTGTACCTTGAGTATGAGGTGGTTTACTCTCCCAGCCAAGATGGACCATCAGTGTCCAACATAACAAACATTTAATTTTGAAGTAGATTGTTGCAGCCAAGATTTAGCAGTGGTTATCTCTGACACATGTGTTTGTTTTCCAGGAAAATGTCCCCGGCATTTAGGAAGGCTTTGCAGGATCTGGCTTTCCATGTTTCCAGGGACAATAGGATTGTTGCTGAGGTACTAGGCCATGAAATTCATAGAAACTGTTTATCCAGAGTTCGTTGTAAACACTGTTCAAATTGTAATTGCACAGATAGAGTATATTTAGAGTGACTACAGGGCACACTTAGACATCCTAGTTGGCATGTTTATAAAATGCCCTGTTTTGTTATAGTTAAGCATGTTAAGGAATGACACCAGCTTGTGGGTCTTGGTCACAATCAGTCGTTTCGTAATAGGTGTCATCGACATTGTTTCGGTTGATTGACTTACACTTAATGATCAGGAAGAGACAAGGTATTAAATTATTACTGGGTATTCTTGTTGCGGATCTTTAATCCCAAGGGTACATATAAATAATTAGTGGTGGGACGATACACTGATGCATCAGGATGTTTTACTTCTTGAGACAAGTATCGATCGGGGAAGTCTGGTAGCCTAGTGGTTAAAACGTTCGCTCGTCACACTGAAGACCCGGGTTCGATTCCTGACATGGGTACACTGTGTGAAGCCCATTTCTCGTGTACCCTGCCGTGATATTGCTCGAATATTGTTAAAAGCGGTGTAAAACCATACTCACTCACTCACAAGCATCGATCACAGTCGCACACTAAGTAAAAATATTGATTCTTACCTTCACTGTTTGCTGTCATAACTGTTACACCGAACACTAATTAGTAGTGAAAGTTAGTAGTGAAAATGTAAATATTTTTATCCATTGCGCCATACTTGACACAGCCAACTGTGAATCGTCAGTGTGCCAGGTATTTGGCCATCCTGTCCATGAAAAAATGGCTTAGGGACCAGAGACAAAAGCACATACAAGTATCATGATACGTATCAGATATCACAGTTGGTGTATCATCATGGTCCCAGTATATATCTTTCAATCCTTGATATCTGTCTCCTTTAACATGTTTAAGTTGTTAGTTTCTTCATCCTATATCTCTGTTTCACAGATGTCTAAGATGAGTGAAGGGGAAGGAGTGGTATCCATGTTGGGCCGGTGTCTCCCCCATATTGTCCCCAACGTCCTCCTGGCCAAGAGAGAGGTGAGGCACTCATGTCCATACTTGGTTTTGTAATGACTTGACTGACATGGAGTTTGGGCAGTCACAGTGGATGCTGAGAGTTGATGACAGTTTGAATTGATGACACTTTAGTATGATACACAATCTCTTTGAAATCAGATCTTTTAGATACTGTAACTGACTACATCAAGATCTGAGACACCTCCATGCAAGGTCTCGTGAACCCAGTGAACTTTGACCACCCAGTTGAAAAGAAGGACAAATGGGTTCTTCAGCTTTCTGAAACTATTTAGCTTCATTTTTTCAATGCCTCGATTTGTATATTTTAATCTCTGCCACGGAAGACTGCCACAGAACACAGATATACCCTCCATTGTAACTCTTTTGGGTGTAGATGTCATGGGTCTCACGAACAAAAGGTACCGTATTCGACTTAATAAGCGCCCTGCTCTATTAAGCGCCCACGGCGATATTTGCTGATGTTTTCAACTTAACCTTCTAATCACCGGTACTTCCCGTTTCGAACAATGGGCATCTACGATGATTTTTGCTCATTGTTAATGTGGAGTTGCGTTGTCACAAATACGTAGATGTGTAAGTCAATACGTGCAAGCATGCACACGGTATTATTTGTAAGAGACATATACATTGTATATCTAAAGGGGTAAAATACTGAGGGGGATCATTTTCTGTGTTCAACAAACCGCAAAATTTACAATCTTTCAATTCTGTTTTTTTCCACCAAAATCATATTCTAATAAGCGCCCCCTATTTCTAATTTTGAGAACGCCCTGTGCGCTTATTATGCCAAATACGGTATATAAAATATCACCAACAGTACCATAATGTAGCATTATTTTTTCTCATTTGGATTTCTTCAATCATATATGTTTTCGAGATACAGAACTCTGCAGCTTCACTGAATGCCTCACTTACGCATTCTGACATTTTAGAAGTCCCCTAACAGGACCACCAATGAAGGTATCATCAGATCTTTACGCAGAGAGTTATAAGAGTCAAAGATCAGATTTAAAATGAGAGCGATGTGATATGATTCTAGATGGATCTATTTTCACTTTACAGATCAACCTGTTATTGAAAAATGCAACCTAATATTTAGGTCTACATGTTGATATCATATCGTCTGTGAACTTATTCCCACTGCGCATGTCCGAAGTGGGCTGCATGGTGTATCTTGTGTTTGTGGTAGAACACTTGCCGGCCAGCGTGACAGGTTGTCTTGTGTACGTTGGTACCAAGCTGAGAAGAATGGAGAAGCGAATTGTCTACTGTGGTTGGGGGTTTGTTTAGATTGGCATTAATTCTGCATAATACTTATTGTATTTGAAAAACATTAATTCACAACGCTACGGAGGAACTTCACTGAAGTCAGTCTTTTGTGCAGATGATGTTAATAGTTTGTGATGTCGTGAACAATGGATGATGCTATACCGTATTGTTCTCAGTAATCAAGCATTGTCATGTCATATCCAATCAGCATGAGAATGGCCAGATTCATATGTGCAAATATTAAAAAGTTGTTACCCTCTGTCATTCTACCTAGATTTAACATTGTTTTTCTGCCAGGGGCCCACACAAGTCGATCGTAGCTCTACGACTTTCATAAATCTATGATTAAGTATGGGAGTTACGATTGTCAAAGTGATTATTTTGTGGAGCGGGCTGAGGTCTGTTTGTAAGTGATGTGTACTTGTGTTGCAGGAATTGATCCCACTCATCCTGTGCACGGCCATGTTGCACTCGGACTCGAAGGAGAGAGACCGACTTCTCAACATTCTCTTTAACCTCATCAAGAAGCCAGATGATGAACAAAGGTTGGTTTGTAGAAGAGTTACACAATGTTTTCAATCATCTCATCTTACACTGTATGATAGTCAAGATAAATAAAAAAAATAGTCCACCATTACTTGACCTTACAAGGCCTTCTCCACATGCGTCATTTCTGAGGGCTGGAAGGTGTTGATATTTTAGGGAGGTTGACCCTCTGTGATACTTGCTTCTCTGACTTGACTGAAATAGGGATCAAAGGTCATAATGGCTTAGTATTAAGATGGATGGGTGACCACTAAAGAAGATGAACTCTGATATGTGACTTTGAGAGCCCTGGTACCACTGATAGGGCTTCTCACAATTGGTTTACCATCGAAATGTTCCCAGGGTACAAAACAATATATTGAGTTGTTCCCAGATTTTTGTTGCTGTATTGTTTTGTGCCCAGACCATATCTAAGTATACCCAGATTTTGGTTCTCGTTTGGCAGCATGAGATGTTTACGACATCAATCAACCCACTTTGTAGCATTAGGGGAGATAACTCTTTAGTCCAATGTTGGACTTAATCTCAAGTATCTAACAAAAACGTCTCAAGAAAACGTTGGTATACTATTTCAACATACAGAAAGTTCTTGGGGAAGTGTTGTGAGAGCAGGAAAGGTCACTTTGTTGACTGCCGTAAAATGAACAGGGACACATAGACTATCGTGACATTTCCAAAGTTGGAGTACACTTGGATATGGTCTTGTTACAATCAATATGGCGACAAAATCTGGGTACAACTCGATACAACGTTTTGTACCCAGGGTACATTTCGAAAGTAAACTGATTGGGAATTACCTGTAAGCCCTAGCACCCTGACAACTTGGTTCGTTGTGTCCACCAGCGGTCTGCCTGGCCAGAATAGATCAAACGACCTTGTTATGAAGCTGTGATAAAGCTGAATCTAAAACACCATTTTCTGACCCCAAGTACTGAACTTAACTTATTAGTGACTTTATGTATGACTGTGTTTGACTAAAATTTGATATTTTTTTACTTCTCAATTAACATCTGATTTTCACCTTCTCTTGTCAACATCTGCTATGGTAATGTGTGTACTTTCAGACAAATCATCCTGACAGGGTGTATAGCATTTGCTCAACACGTGGGTCCGACACGCCTGGAGACGGAACTATTGCCTCAATGCTGGGAACAGGTAGGGGAGATAACTCTCAGATGGTTTACAAGATCAGTGTTCAATGTGGAAGAATGATGAATTATTGATGTCATCTTAGGTGGCTACCATATATATTTCTCATGTCAAGGTAAAGGATTCTGGGGAAGAGTATAGTTCCCCAGCGACCTGTGCTTGTCGTTAAAAGAGACTAAATGTTTTGAGTGGTCAGACTCGGTGATTTGATTGATTGTTTCTCATCGTATCTCTATTGTGTGGATCAATGCTCATGATATCAATCACTGGATTTTTTAGTCCAGACTTGATTATTTACAGACTGCCGTCATATAGCTGGAATTTTTCTTAGTGCGGCATTAAACAACAAACACAATATACTTTTCCCTGTGGGGATTCTTGTTTAGAACTGGTCCCCAGCAGCCTATGCTGGTCGTAAGATTTGTTTGTTTGTTTGTCTGATCCAGACTTGATTATTTACAGGCCACCCTCACATATCTGTAATTATTAGACTGTGGTGTTAAACTACAAACAAACACATCCATATACTTTTTCATAGTTACAAGCATACAAAAAGGACAAGCAATATAGATGTATGTTAAGCCATGTGAGGCTTGAATACAATAGTCCCAGGAAGTCAGATGCAATGATTACTGTGGAGAGTGTTGAATCATTTGCACGGACATATTTATGAAGCAAGCCATTGTATTGGGGTGTGTTTGTTTCAGATCAGCCACAAGTATGTGGAGAGAAGACTGCTAGTGGCAGAAGCTTGTGGAGCTCTGGCTTCATACCTCTCGGTAAGCTCAGAAACAAACTCACAATCATTTTGTCGAAGTTGAAGTTAATCTGTTCATTTATTCTGACAAAGAGATATGGGAGAAGCAATTTTAGCTTGGTTGCTTATATTCTACCAAAGTTGCAGATGTATACTGGACTACACTTTTTTAAGGTTTATGGATTTTTGGCCAAAAAATTCAGGTTGGTAGCTCCAAATTGTTTTATCTTTGTCTATAAGTAAAGTGTCTGTCAGTTTTCTCGTTACTAATCACGTTTATTTGTGCAGCATGAAATCCGCAGCTCGTTGTTGATGTCCATGCTGACGCAAATGCTGCGTGACGACAAGGATGACGATGTGAGGGAAGCTGTGATCAAGAGTCTTGGACTTCTCACAGGATTTATCTGTGATACTGACAAGTTTGCTCAGGTAGGGTAATAGTTTAAGCTATAGCATATTATATTTAATCCTGTATTTGGGGTGGGATATTGGAAGGGAGTTTGTCCGTTCGTCTGTCCTTCCCTCTGTCTTTCTGTCTGTCAGGTTCTCAAAGGGGACAAACTATTTAAGTTAGAGAAATGAAATTTTACACACTGTTATTACTGGTCATGATCTTAAATGAGTTCGAAAAGTGGTGACTTAAATTCTATTTCTACAGAGTTGTGGCCCTTGCTCCATGCTTTTCAAATTCGTGCATACTGTGTGCAATAGGGACAAGTTTTCTCAGAAACTACTGAAATTAAATGAACGTTTGCAGACTCATATAAGAGATACTTGTCAAGACTGAGTTTGAAAATTAATGCCATAAGTTAATGTCTTTACACTTAGTGTAACTTAGTGCAAAGTGTCTGCAATTGGGACACGTTTTCTCAGAAACTACTGATGTTACATGAATGAAACTTTGCAAGCTTATCCATGAGATTCTTGTCAAGACTGAGTTTGAAAATTGGTCCTGTAAAAAGCAATTTTCCATTGTTACTTCTCCTGTTACATGTTTTAGATTTTGAGCATACACAGTTACAGCTATTGATCCATGTTATTTTACGCCATACATAGTGTCTGCAATGAAAGACTGGACAATTGCTGACTGAGGTGTTAAACAACAAGCACCTGCTGAATGTATGATTATTTGACAAGGTCAAGATTGAGTTCTAAATGAGATGAAGAACAAAACAATTTTCTTCACATGCAATTTTGTTTGGGTGAATTTCTCAATTTTTGTGAATTGCTTCATAATGTTGAGTAGACTGATTTGTTGATGTCCTTGTGAATGAGTATGGACCAGGTTATTTTCTACCAAACTTTTGTGACAACATTATGAACTATCTTGAACTGAAACATTGCATTCTATTCCAGGGATCTGAACTACTAAAGATAGGGTTGCGCGACTCGTCCGAGAAAGTCCAACAAGCCACGCTTCATGTGTTCCTCCCATCGTTCGCTGCCTGGGCGTATGAGCTGGGTCGGCTCGAGCATGAACTCCTGCATTCTGTGTTGCGGGACCTGGAGGAAATAGTTAAGGCACACCTTAATTTCAGGCCTCGGGCCTGTTTAGCTTTCCTGACACCTGACTCAAGTTGTAGCTCATGTAGCTGTAGACAGGTCAGGCTTCAATCATGGTCACATGGTCAGGTCACATGGTCTGGTCACATGATCTGGTCACATGGTCTAGTCACATGGTCAGGTCACATGGTCTGGTCACATGGTCAGGTCACATGGTCTGGTCACATGGTCAGGTCACATGGTCAGGTCACATGGTCTGGTCACATGGTCAGATCACATGGTCTGGTCACATCAGGTCACGTGGTCAAATCACATGGTCTGGATGCGGAGTTTGGTCACGTGGTCTTGTCACATGGTCAGGTCACATGGTCTGGTCACATGCTCATTGTATCAAATATTTGAATTTATTAAAGTGAGGAACCCAACAATGATTGTATGCCTCTTTGATCTATGGTATATAGGGGGCTGTAGGGTAGCCAAGTGATTAAAGTGTTGGTCTGTCACACAAAAGACTCGGGTTTGCTTCGCCACATGGAAAGCCCATTCTTGGCATCCCCTGCAATGATATTACTTGAATATTTTAGAATGCATAAAAATCCAACTCACTCTGGTAGACCCATACCGAGTTTACTAGTTACCATGTTCAAAATCTGTATGCATCAGCCACTGGGTGATGGACTTGCTGCGAGTATCTGCATAATTTCTGAAGTGGTGGGACGTTTTTTGCCCCATTTTGTTTTAAAGCAATTTTCACTGATTGGATGATTAAAGATTGCTTCAGTAGCTCCTGCATACTATAAAACAGTGAATGAAATAATATAAATCACCTGAATTTATAAAAATAAGGACTTTTAAGAAAGTCCCAATTTTGAACAAAATTAAGCTTTTGTCCAATCTTTTCTTAAAGCAATATTCACTGTTTGATGATTAAGGAATGCTTAATCATCTCCTGCGTAATATAAAATATAAGTGACATGCTACATCTTTGAATTCTGTACATGGTTACCATGTGCGAGACCCGACCACCATGTGGGCCTATGATTGAGCAGGACTTGTATTTCACTCACTCACCCTTTCATATGCTTCATAAATAGTTCTTACCTTTTAAGCTTTCTTAATATTAATTTATATTTTTTCATCTCTTGATCAATAAATATTGAAGTTATTAATCATGATTAATTTATATGCTAATAATAATTGACATTTTATTATCTTGTTTGTGTGACATGTAATGTGTTGATTGTTGAGTAATCTATATAAACATTCCCACAGTCATGTATCCAAGTCTGTCTGTAACGTCAAATACCAGATATGTGTTCAAATATATCAGCACCATCATCGGCCACCGTCTTCATCACAGACTCATCTTGAGAATCAACACAACAACTTGAGTCAGGAGTCAGAGCTATTGTGGCTTTACATTTGTTTGTTTTATTTTTGTTTTTCTTTTCTCACAAGTTCCATCACAGAGAGTTCATGTCTGTGATGGTGACTTCACTAGCCTTGTCTTTCCTCAGGGCAGTGTCTGGTCAGGCCGGGTAAGCAATGGCTACTGAAGACGACAAGATACAAGGACATATTTGGCAATTTGAAAGTTACTAGTATGATTTTAAACCATGTGTTTACCTTAAAAATCAAACTTGGGTGAAATATTTGTTCTTGTTCAAATATCAGAAAAACGTTTTTAAGAAAACCTAAAATCAGCTATTTTACATATTACAACGCTATTTCTGATTAGGTGTTAAGAGTCCAAAACACAATATTTTTTCAATTCGTATATTTCCTCCAACCCTAAATCTGAAGACCATGAAGGGAAAAAGGGTACAGTTGATGTTTGTTTGTTTTTCATGATTTTGGTTAAGGGTCCAACCATTTGACATTCGAAGGGGCTTGGATTTTATATGGAGCCTGCAAAAACATAATATTTTTAATTAAAACAATGAGCCTAAAAATTTTTTGTCGCCGACAATTTCTTCTCTTTTTTTTATCCGTCTGAAATGTTATTATTTTTTTCAAGCATTTTCTGGGATAAATTACTCTTTTTCAATGAAATCCCAGGCCCCGTTTCCCCAAAAAATATCAAAGGGTTGGTAAAAAAATATCAAAGAAGTACCGCTATTGGTATGTCAGTGTAGCTCTCAGACTGAGGAAAGACAAGCTAGTGTTTACTTTCAGATGTGCCAAGTTCACGTCACATTCACCTCTCGCGCCTGAGACTCCAACTGTCTGTCTGAACCGACCTGACCCCGTGTTGATAGCCTCTCCTTGCTGTGTTCAGTTACTTGGTGGAGGGATCTCTCTCTGTCTCACTCTCATTGTCTCTGCAGTGCCAAGCTTTCTTAACCAGCATTACTAGACATAGGCTTACATAATATATGTACACATGCTTCATGGTTTACAGAGTAGGTGGTTTGCACAGAACCTGTTTGTATTATCATGGGGAAAACACCACATATCTCACTGTTTTGTCACGGGTAATGTACAGGGTATCTCAGTGGATTGTGGGTATTATCTCCAGAATCATAGGAATATTATCTCAGTGGTATCGTTTTATTATCACCAGGGTGAAAATAGGGTATTTCTCTGGATTTGTTTTATACTGACACACTTGAAAACATTTTGTTGTTGTTGTTGTTATATTTGGCAAAATGGCCACAAAAATCAAATAAAGTTCTTATGGGTATTTAAGCATGAGATGTTTAAACACAACAATGTCGTATACTGGTTTGATTCTCATCTGTGTGTTTGGAGATGGACTTAAGCCCTAAACATCTTTTCTGATTTCGACCTAAAGTTGATCATACATTTTCATTGGGTTAGATCGCTGACTTTGTGTGCTGGCGATTAGGTGCCTCACTCTGGCAGTGTGGTTTCGAATCCTGGGACTCAACCCCCAACAAAGTATAAGATTCTGTACTTTACTAAGAAAGTGTTATCCCAAATATAACATTTGTTACATTTGACCACTTTCTAAACGGCATTGTGAATTCACGTTTTCATTGTGTTTCAGTATATTATCTCCAGGAAGATACGCAGTTTGTTTCACTGAATCTGTGTAACATCTCCAGGCTGATAATATAAAGGTTACCTCAGTTGAATCTTTGTACTATCTCCAGGATGATACACAGTTGATCTCAATTTTTCTGTGTGGGTTGCTTCACTGTCTGTGTCCCTGGAGTTTGTGATGCAGTATGTATCTCGGTTGAATCAGTGCGCCCGTACACAAATATTAACACAGTGCACATACATTAATGTAGACTTTCAGTAGCGCTAAGGTTGCTTGATGCAGGTTGGTTCTTGGTATAACACAGTCTATCTTATTGATTTGTTATAACATTCCAGGTTTGATAAACACTGTCTCACTGGAAGGTCATACATAGTTTATCTCATTGAAATCTCGATGTCATCTACATGGTGATGCATTGTTTATATCACTATAATCCTGATATCACCTACCATGTCATACATAGTTTATCTCACTGAAATCTCGATATCACCTACCATGTAATACGTAGTTTATCTCATTGAAATCTCGATGTCATCTACATGGTGATACATTGTTTATATCACTGGAATCTGATATCATTTACAAGGTGATACATAGTTTATCTCACTGACATCTGTGTATAATCTCCAGGGTGATATGAATGTTGTCTCACTGGAATCACGTCATTGTATTACTGAGTAATCTGCTTAGTGATAGAAAGTCTATTTCACATTGGTGCCTCACTGTCCCTGGAATGTGTGTGTGTGTGTGTGTGGGTGGGTGTGTGGGTGTGTGTGTGTGTGGGGGGGGGTGCTTCACTGTCTATGTCCTTGGAATTTGTGATGCAGTATGTATCTTAGTTAAATCAGTGTGCCCTTACACAAATATTAACACAGTGCACATACATTAATGTAGACTTTCAATAACGCTAAGGTTGCTGGATGCAGGTTGGTCCTTGATATGACACAGTCTATCTTAAGAAATCGTTATAGCATTCCAGGATTGATAAACACTGTCTTTGTATTAGCCTGGTCATTTTTTCATGTTGTGTTTTATTATCTTCAGGCTGCTATGCAAATTATCACACTGACATCTGTTATAAGGGATACAAAGTTTATTTTATAGAAATTGCCCATATTGTGTCAAGGGTGTTACATCTTGCTATCATCAGATTTCTTGCGGAAATCTTGATACCATCTGCAAGGTGATACATAGTTTATCTCACTGTCATCTCAAAAAGTTTGCAGTCAGCATTTAAACACGATAATTCTTTTCATAATATTTTTCCCTGCTTAAAGTGAGCACGGCATATTTTGAAGAATATAATAACCTGACTAGAGCCCACTTAAATGTGTAGAGTGTTACCTGAGTAGAGTGTTACCTATGTAGGGTGTTACCTATGTAGAGTGTTACCTATGTAGAGTGTAACCTGAGTAGAGTGTTACCTATGTAGAGTGTTACCTGAGTAGAGTGTTACCTATGTAGAGTGTTACCTGAGTAGAGAGTTACCAGTGAAGAGTGTTACCCGTGGAAAGTGTTACGTGAGTAGAGTGTTACCTATGTAGGGTGTTACCTGAGTAGAGTGTTACCTGAGTAGAGAGTTACCAGTGAAGAGTGTTACCCGTGGAAAGTGTTACGTGAGTAGAGTGTTACCTATGTAGGGTGTTACCTGAGTAGAGTGTTACCTGAGTAGAGAGTTACCAGTGAAGAGTGTTACCCGTGGAAAGTGTTACGTGAGTAGAGTGTTACCTGAGTAGAGTGTTACCTGAGTAGAGAGTTACCAGTGAAGAGTGTTACCCGTGGAAAGTGTTACGTGAGTAGAGTGTTACCTGAGTAGAGTGTTACGTAGGAGGGTCTGTAAACCATGAACCTGGCGTTGCCGTGACTCTGTAGTACGTTGATGTAGGACCACACTGTGTGAAGACCATCACCCTGCTGGGCCACACTGGCTCTCTCAGGACATCCCTATAAATGTTGTACATTCCTTTCATTCACCTTGAAGATTTAATTGTAAAAAAATATAAAACCAATATAAAATTATTTTTCCTTAAATGTACCAGATTGTAATTTTATCTCTATTAATATATGCTGTGATTGTTTGAATTGATAAATGTTGATGTATTATGGCACTTATTGTTCACTTAACATTACACTTGTATCGATACATATTAAACTTTGCTTGTGTTTCTTTCTAGGAATTACCGATCTGATGATTTGTTGTTACCTCCCTTTAGGGTGCTCTCACGATACAGAAAACTACAAACAGCACAACACTTCCTCTTGACGAGAGCCGTTTCTTGATCCTTCTCAAAGAACTGACAGAGTTACTCCCCTTCCAGTTTGTTTCCGTCCTTGAAAGTGGTCCATTTATCAAACATCTTGAGTCATCTGTTGAAGGTGTTGAAGACATTGACAGTGAGTACAATACATGCTTGTTTACGGTGACTTTTGGAACAAGTCAAAATAACAACTAATACCTTGAAACTGAACACAAATCAATTATGTTAAACAATTGTCATCTCATAGCAACAGAAATAATTTATCTTCAAATCTAAGCCTTGTTTTTGTAACACAGTGTCCAGATTCCCGATGTCTAATTGTCCACTGTCCGACCTGAGTGTCATTCTGGGAGGCAAGCAGGAGTTGTCTACCCTTGTCCATCTCTACTCTGAGCACCTGTCACAAGAGTGGTTTGAACCCTGGGAACAGCTCAACTGGGTTGTGAATAATCTGTAAGTGCCCTTGTCTAAAGTTTGCAGGTGCTCAGTGTTGTAGAGGCCCATGGTTCTCCCATGTCATATACTAAACAAAAGAAGTTAGGGATCATTAATATTTTTGGGGATATGTTTTTGTAGTGAAGACTGAGCATACAAAGTCATAAAAATATCGCCCAAAATTTTCATGATCCCTAAATTTTCTTGTCCAGTGTAGATTCAAAGTATGCCATGCTTGTCCTTAGAGCCGACTCAATCTCATTAAAATCAGATCTTAGTTTTTGCTACCGGTAAACAAAGATCTCAGGACATCCCATTACGGGTCACGTCAGAGTGACCTTTCGCGAATTTTGTCCGACCAATGAAATAACTGACAAGAAATCAACATTAGCCAAACAGAAGGCAGCTTTCTTGAACCTTAAGACACTAGTTTCAAACTGGCGACTACGCTACGAAACATATTTTGACGTATTCTCGATTTAAAAAAATTAAAACTGATAAGAAGAACATTCTGGAATGGCTTATCGATGGCCTAGATTGTATGGATATAATCATAAAACCTGTTACTGTCGTTCGGAATACCCCGTGTTAAATATTTCGTGGTTGCATGATTAGAAAACACATTCCGACTGTCACTTTCATGATCTGGTAAGCGACGCTCTGATTGGTTGGATGAAAGGTCGTTCTGACGTGACCCTTAATGAGATGTCCTCAGATCTTTGTTTAGTGATAGCGAGAACTAAGATCAGATTTGAATGAGATTGGAGCGGACTTGGCATTGGGTGGTAAGGGTGATGTCCTCAGATCTTTGTTTAGCGATAGCGAGAACTACGATCAGATTTGAATGAGATTGGAGCGGACTTGGCATTGGGTGGTAAGGGTGATGACCTGTTTGTGTGTCACCATGCGCTACAGTGTGAGAGGTAGCTCATAATCTCAACCGCTGGTATGTCCAACCCACATTCTATATTTATCCTATCTCACATTGTGCATTTCTTCTTATTCTTCGATCCTGGTGTGGAAACGTCCTAGAACAAAGTTTCCAGCTTCAAAAAACAACTCACCCCAACACATCCCATACATCACTATATCACCACTGTGATCATGGGTCACACACCACTGCAATCCTGTGCGACACGACCCCTGCGATCTGATCACCTGACATATCCAGCACCCTCATTCTCAGTCTAGAGCGTACAGGTGTACTGTGATGGGTGGACCAGGGTCAAAGAATAAGAAGATATGCATAGTGTGAGATAGGATAAGTATATGCATATACAATTTATTGTAAAATTTACAATTTTTCACGGTTTAAATCCTGGATGGGATGCCACCCAAAAAAGTACTAGATTTAGTACTTCAGCAACTCATACTTAGAAGGTGTTATCCCAAATAGGCCTAAAACATGTTACACATTACTTGAGGACACAAAATACTATCTATGGTATATGAATCTGGAACAGTTGAATTTAATTACCATCATTCTGAACATACTTATGAAGATCCGGGGTAGAATAGGTCTTCAGCAACCCATGCTTGCCATAAAAGCAACTATGCTTGTCGCAAGAGGGATTGGCAGGACAGGCTCGCTGACTTGGTTGATGCATGGCATCGTATCCCAATTGCATAGATCGAAGGTCATGATGTCAGTCGCTGGATTGTCTGGTCCAGACTTGATTTTTACAGACCGCCGTCATAGAGCTGGAATATTGCTGAGTGCGGCATTAAACAACATATAAACAAATCATCCTTTACATCTGTGTTAGAACACTATCCTGACCAAATACGTCCCTTCCTCCATGCTTCAGTCTGGCCAGGATCCTCGAGGTGACCATGGGCGTCGGTCTCTCCATGCAGAAGGTGGTCAATGCCTTGTGTAAATATGTCTTCCGGCTATGTCGAACATTTGGGAAAACCTTCACTGATAAGAAGGTGAGTGACCTTAAAGGAGCTCTTTGAAGCTACTTAAACACTTCCAGTGCAAAAATATTTCATCATACCTGATTGTCTGTAATGAATTGTGTGTGTTCAGCAGATTGTGGAAACATCGAAAGAAATCTTTTGTCAGAGATGGGTTAGGAGACTTTCTGATTGTAGGGTTTTCACAACAAGTAAGGGGAAGTCAAGAGTTTTCATACCAATATGATTGAAGACCTGTTGAAGTTTACTGTCACTGAATGTGATAGTGTCCAGATGTCTAGGGCTGGGACGAGTCCAAATTTACTACCCGGGTACCCACCCTGTTATTACCCGACCCTATCTGGGCACCCGCTACAGGTCTCAAGAGTTTGGTACAAAATGTCCGATTGGAAATAGTTTGAGCGTAGCCCTGGTAAAATGTATTTAAATCTATGTATAAAATGATCATTTTCATGAATACACTGAAGTTGACAGAAGTGCTATTTTTATTCAAACCAATAAAGGTCAGAAGCGATGGTGCTTAGTCAAAAAGAAATGCGAACATTAGTGACTTGTAGTGTAACCATAGAGTTCTAGATATATTTTAATCATTAAACAATATATCACATGACTAACCACGGGTCCAGGTAGTCCTGTGGGTACCCGGGTCCCGACCCGAGTACCCGAGTTGCCCGTCCCAGCCCTACAGTTGTCGGCAGTTCTGTGTTAGGGGTGGAGTGATATGGAAGGCTATGATATGATACATATCTCAATATGCCATAATAACACGTATGCCATGAACTGTGTACTTGTGTAAAACATGGTGACTATTTCTTCTATGTTAACTGTTCCAAGTCAGTTACAATAAGTAAGTATCTTTTTTTTAATCTGTCATGAAGTTGGTAAACTTTACATATTTTGTATCATCATGTATCTTGACACAGGTCCAGGTGTATTGTATATTGTGTCAAAGGTCATCAGACTTTGGGTGTATTGTTCACCCTTATTAGCTGTATTGTCAAGCACTGGATTGTCTGGTCCAGACTTGAATGTATATAGACTGCCGTCATATAGCTTGAGTGTGGCGTTCAACAACAGACAAACAAATGAACAAACTTGTGTTGTCAGTATGGTACAGCTTCTGTCATTGTTTACAGGTGAAACCCAAGTTTGAAGAGCTTGTGATTCTACCAGAGGAGCAACTAGGTAGGTGAAACTGTGATTGTCCAGATTCCCAATGTATTGGCATGCCAACTTGGATTTCCAGTGTTTTGACATGACTACTTGGATTCCCAATGTATTGGCATGGCAACTTGGATTCCCAATGTATTGGCATGACAACTTGGATTACCAATGTATTGGCATGACAACTTGGATTCCCAGTGTATTGGTATGACAACTTGGATTACCAATGTATTGGCATGGCAACTTGGATTACCAATGTATTGGCATGACAACTTGGATTACCAATGTATTGGCATGGCAACTTGGATTACCAATGTATTGGCATGACAACTTGGATTACCAATGAATTGGCATGACAACTTGGATTACCAATGTATTGGCATGCCAACTTAGATTACCAATGGATTGGCATGACAACTTGGATTACCAATGCATTGGCATGCCAACTTGGATTCCCAATGTATTGCCATGACAACTTGGATTCCCAATGTATTGGCATGCCAACTTGGATTCCCAATGTATTGGCATGTCAACATGGATTCCCAATGTATTGGCATGACAACTTGGATTCCCAATATGTTGGCATGACAACTTGGATTACCAATGCATTGGCATGACAACTTGGATTACCAATGTATTGGCAAGACAACATGGATTACCAATGTATTGGCATGCCAACATGGATTACCAATGTATTGGCATGACAACTTGGATTACCAATGTATTGGCATGACAACTTGGATTCCCAATGTATTGGCATGCCAACTTGGATTCCCAATGTATTGGCATGCCAACATGGATTCCCAATGTATTGGCATGACAACTTGGATTCCCAATGTATTGGCATGACAACTTGGATTCCCAATATTTGGCATGACAACTTGGATTACCAATGTATTGGCATGCCAACTTGGATTACCAATGGATTGGCATGACAACTTGGATTACCAATGCATTGGCATGACAACTTGGATTCCCAATGTATTGCCATGACAACTTGGATTCCCGATGTATTGGCATGCCAACTTGGATTCCCAATGTATTGGCATGCCAACATGGATTCCCAATGTATTGGCATGCCAACTTGGATTCCCAATGTATTGGCATGACAACTTGGATTCCCAATATATTGGCATGACAACTTGGATTACCAATGCATTGGCATGACAACTTGGATTACCAATGTATTGGCAAGACAACTTGGATTACCAATGTATTGGCATGCCAACTTGGATTCCCAATGTATTGGCATGACAACTTGGATTCCCAATATTTGGCATGACAACTTGGATTCCCAATGTATTGGCATGACAACTTGGATTCCCAATATTTGGCATGACAACTTGGATTACCAATGTATTGGCATGACAACTTGGATTACCAATGTATTGGCATGCCAACTTGGATTACCAATGTATTGGCAAGACAACTTGGATTACCAATGTATTGGCATGCCAACATGGATTACCAATGTATTGGCATGACAACTTGGATTACCAATGTATTGGCATGACAACTTGGATTCCCAATGTATTGGCATGCCAACTTGGATTACCAATGTATTGGCATGCCAACTTGGATTCCCAATGTATTGGCATGCCAACATGGATTCCCAATGTATTGGCATGACAACTTGGATTCCCAATGTATTGGCATGACAACTTGGATTCCCAATGTATTGGCATGACAACTTGGATTCCCAATATTTGGCATGACAACTTGGATTACCAATGTATTGGCATGACAACTTGGATTACCAATGTATTGGCAAGACAACTTGGATTACCAATGTATTGGCATGACAATTTGGATGACAGTTTCTTTGTTATCCTTCTGGGTTTTGTTGAATGCTTGAAAAATGCTAAATAAAGATAAAATAACTAGCACAGAAATGGCACAAAACTAAATGAATGGTATAACAACAAGCACTGTCGACTAGGTTGCTGCCCTGACATGGTGGTCCAACAGATATAGCGTCTGCCTGGTGAGGAAGAATGGGAATTGTTTTCCTGTAAGAGGAAAAAAACAAAGCGTGGATGGCTTGGTTACAAGGACAGACAGACAGAGAGACAGATGGACATGCACATGCACACGCACACGCACTCATGCACGCACTCATGCACATCAATACATCAGTGCAATAATCTGAAATGAATCTGAACATTTCACATGCGACCCCAAATCAACTCTCCACCTCTCGATGTTCTGTGATGTTATATCAGGTGTTAACCTCACTCCTTCTTCCCTCAGATCACCAAGTTAACCTGGGGCACACAGCCATTACCACCTGTGTTGTACCGGTGTACGCAGTCGGAGTGCTCACATCTTTCAGCACGGTGAGTTCAGCCTCTGATTCCCATGTCTGTCTTCCAGTGACTGCAGGATTCTGCTGAATCTGTTGTTCGTAACCTTCTGAACAATAATGCTACTCCCAAATGAAATATTTTGCCTTATTCAAGCTTCTTGCAAGTGTAACAAATAAAAACTGAATTTATTTTTTTCTTCCTTACATTGATTAACATGAAATGATTTCAATGTTATGTTCAAGGGAGCGGCACACATATTTTTAAGCAGATAAACAGTCTGAATTTAGCCACTAATCCGAAGCCTAGGGTCTAGTATGATTTTATTCTGTCCTGTGAGCCTTATTATTGCAAAGTAGAAACAATGTTTGGATGAAGACTTTCTCATTTTACTGTAATGGCAACATTTTGGTATAAATCCTTATACCATTGTCAAGCAAGGCTAATTATTATCCATACTTAAATGTTCTAAACAATCATGACAAGTGACACGTTTGGACCAGAACACCATGTTGACTCAAAGTTCATGAATTGTTTGATGAGCATTGATGACGAAGTAGACTAAATTTATGGATAACAACTTTTTTCTTTTCTGTAAAGGCGACGTTTCGGTATAGATCCTTATACCGTTGTCAAGCAAGGATCTATACCGAAACGTTGCCTTTACAGTTAATAAAGAAGTTGTTATCCATAAATTGTGTCTACTTTGTCAAAGTTTATGTGACAGATTGTGTAAGTTGCTGCTCGGTGTGTGATATGACTGTGTGATAATGAGTGATATGTCCTGCTACTGTGGTAACACTGTTCCAGGAGGAAGACCGGAAGCAGCTGGAGGAGTTCCTCACTCAGGTGTTATGTACACTGGCGTTTTGTCAGGCTCCCCTCGACAGTTTGAAGGCAACGTTCCTGGAGCTCAGGTGGGTTTGGTAGAAGAGCTATTGTAAATAGTTTTACAGACAACTTTGTATGTTGTATACAATGTCTGTGATTTTGATTTACATGTCTCGTATCCCCATATAGCACTGTAGTTCGTCAGAGAAGACTGTGTAGTTGAATGATTATCAGCAGTGTTATTGTTTAGTTACAGTAAGACCCATGAAGATCCGGGTTAGAATAGGTCTTCAGAAACTCATGCTTTTTGTAAGTGGCGTATATGCTTGTCGTAAGAGGCGACTAACGGGATCGGGTGACTTGGATGACTTGGTTGATACATGTCATTGTATCCCAATTTCGTGGATCGATGCTGGTGATATCAATCACTGGATTGTCTGATTCAGATTGGATTATTTACTGACCGCTGTCATATATCTGGAATATTGATGAGTGGGGCGTTACACAATAAACAAACAAATAGTTGCAGCAATGTTGCAGATATTTATGAGTTTAAATTCAAGAAACAATAAATCTACTTTTTAGTTCAAGTGAAGACAACCATGAATTATTACTGACAGTCCTGTGGTGTGGGGTTGTACACACGTCTGCTCCTGTCAGGGCAACGTCGGCCATCTTGTTTGAGGTAAGTCTCTGTTTTCTATTAAAAGATTACAAGATGATCTAAAGCTTGGCCATGTATGGAGATATGTTTTATATGACTTATATATTGCATATTATTTATGTTATGTCTTCGTGATTATATATTTCTTCATTTGTCCCATGTAATATAACAATTTGCTTCTTAACAGCAAGCAAAAAAGAAACCACAGGTTTATGGTGTGGTCATTTCAGTCTAAACTGCTGGCTTGGCAAAATGATGTGTCTCTTATTACTTTGCTATTCCCACCACAAAGGGATACATATGTTGATCGAGTTCTGTTTGATCTCTTGGACTTGGGGCACAGTACTGCCAATGGGGACAGGTTTTCCTGAAAGTAATATCTATGGCATTGCGAATGCAACATTATGCGATGAATATGATTTTAAGTTGGAATATTGCCATCGAGCATTGATATATTACAGTTATGGCTCTTGTTTTGGGGGCGTTTTTGCATTTATTCAAATCATTTTTCTTCTGGTTTTTTTTCTGCTGAAAAACTTTTCATTATTTCTCCATTTGCAAATGTATGTTCATGATGTCAATCACTGGATTGTCAGGTCCAGATTCTATTATCTTCAGCCTGCTGTCATATAGCTGGAATATTGCCGAGTTATTTGTAAAACAACAAACAATGAAACAAATTATTTTCAACTTCATTTTATGTCTTTCAGAAACATGGTATGGTTGAATGAAACACTCATAAAATAGCATCATGGCAAAGTCAGTGGTATTTGTCATTCAGCCAGCATCATATATCAGTCATTGAGCATGTATGGAAAAATCTGATCCATTATGTTTGGTAGTTGTTGATTCTAGATGGATGATTCTGGATTAAAACTTCACATCTTTATGGTTCTCTGTTTCTCCTATTGATACGAAGGAGTCACTTGTAACATGATGTAAATGAACAGAAGTTTGGTAATACAGTGATCCCTCGCTATTGTGCTCTTCGATAAAGGGCTACCTCAGTTACTACACGCGGTAACGCATGGCTCCCAAAATTTATGTACACTTTTAATACTAAGAGTATTACACAGACATAATTGTATTGTTGTTCGTTGTTCATTTGCACATAACGCTTCTCATTGCATAATCAACCGTTTATCGCTGAATGGAGTTCTAATAATCTGTTTGAAAACATCCGCGGCAAGTCCTGGAAATACGATTGTTCAACTAGTTAACTTTTCACACTATACATCCTTTGATCTTAGAAGCGCATGCATGCAATAAAAGAGAACCACAAGCGAAGTTTATGTTCTTAATTAATGGGCAATCCAATTTGAGGCGACACTGTCAACTCACATGTAGTTGCTATCACAACACGGCGGTCATTCCTTTTGATTCGGATCAAGTAACCATATCAAACCAATTAACCTGGCTTGAATGTGTATCTATATTTGTATGAATGTGTATGAATGCGCATAGTGCTGGTCAAAACTCTCGTTTTCTGTATTTTAAGCAACATGACCAATCAGTGCCACTCAGGGGTGGAAATTTGCCATTTCACGACTCCCGGGGCAGGTAGAAATACGAGGTCGGGCAACAAAATCACTAATTTTAACTTGTCTGGAGGCAAGTAATATTGGAAATCACTATCACTGTCTACATGTCTAACTACTGGTAAAATGGTACAGTAAATTAGCTGAGAGAAATTTCGTAATCGCGCTTTCGTAACATCGCCTGGTTTTTTTCCGTAGTAATAACAAGCGATTTCATTGGATTAAAATTAGTTTCTAATGACGCTTTCTTGTCGAAATCTGCTACAAGTTTCGTGATTGGTCAATTTTGAGCACGTGACCTCAGGCAGCCAATCAAATTATAGCTGTGATACCAAGCTCGTGTGTTATAAATTTCAGAAGTTGGCAAAAGATTTTTGTTAAATAGTGTTATTCTGAACGTTTTAAGCAGGAAATCACGATATATATTAAAAATATGGAACTTCGTGAATGTATCGTGCTAGGTTACGAGCTGTGACAAAGATTTTTCATGCATATATTTTTGCATTAAACGTTGTGTCCGAGCCGAGAATTCAAGGCGACGAAAGCCGAGATGTCATTTGACTTACATTACACGCGATCGCACGAAACGATGGAAATAATAACTTAGATGTAAGTTTGATTACTTTTAGATATACTTTTGTTGATTTTATTTATCACTTTGTATAATATATTTAAAGATTTGCTTAAAACGTCTTTATTTTGCTCTTTGACATGTTCGATGCGGACCCGTTGTCGAAATGTGTGTCCGAGGATTTTATTTTCAATAACATTGCGGGAAATAGTGAATAATTTTTTAATTTATCGATAAAAAATGATAAATTGAAATGGAATACGTATTTCAGACATTGTGAAATGTGACAGATTTAATAAATGAATGATATTACAGGTAGATCTAGGTCCATAAAAATATATACTATTTTGACGTGACGTGAGATAAACACATATTGATGATTTGAAGTTTGCTGAGCGCGCTCCCCCGCCTCGGCCTCAGTTAAACGGCTCATCGTCTATAACGCCCACCAATTATTTGGACCCCATTGGTAGCGTTGTAGCGAGGGACCACTGTATTATGTTTCAACTGTGAAATAATCTGTAAATGGAGGGTTTTGCCCCCTGAGAATAGTTTCTGTGAGACAACATTGTCAACTCAGAAAAGATTTCAAATAATCTGATGTTTGTAAGAGGAATGTTTCTTTTCTGTCTCTGCATTGCAAATGTCTGAATTTTGTTTTTATCTTCAAGTTAATGTAATCAATTCATGAGATTAAGGATCTGTTTCCCTCGTCGAATCCTGACTTCCACTCCTGTGGTGGGTTTAGACGCGCTCCTCCTCAAGATAGACACATTGATCGCATTTGTGTTTGTCATGAAGGACATCATCGATCTTCTCCCTGTCGTAGCTGTTCATCACCCACAGCCGCTCATATGGATCACTGTTCTCGGAGTCGCTCCCGATCTGCTTTGCCACTTCCGGTTCAGGTTACACCCCCCTCTTCGGGCCGGCCTCTACTGTGACGCTCCCCCAACCTGCGCAGCTGCTTCCTACTTCAGAGTCGCTCCCGATCTGCTTTGCCACTTCCGGTTCAGGTTTCACCTCCCTCTTCGGGCCAGCCTCTACTGTGAAGCTCCCCCCACCTGGGCAGCTGCTCCCTACCTCTTCGGCACATAGTGACCTGGCTACTGACCAAGCACTGAACCTTGAATTGCTTCTCCAAGTGGTTACCACGGCTCTCCAACAATTTTCTGGATTTTCGGCGACTTCTGGCCCGTCCACCGTCCGCTCCTGGCACAGCTCTTCTGCTTGTGTTTCCTTTGGTTTGTTTTCCGAGGCCGCCACTAAGAATGGAAGGTGCTACCTTTTGGAATTTCTTCTCCCCGTGGCTTTTTACCCACCTCACCAAGCCTCAAGTTCGAGTCTTCAGCTGGTTAATGACAGGCCTCATTATAAAATTGTAAACAAAACATCGGGAAATCAGTTGTTTTTGCTTTTTTAATAATTCTAGATGTTTATCTTTTTTAATTAGCTGTAGTTGCCCTATCCAAGTTCAATTTGTCAATGCCTGTTTATGTTGTTTCTTCCTTCATCAGCATTATTGGTGCAGGTGTAGGTTGTGATTTCTGATAATAAATGAGATGAGCAATTATGATGTACGTTTGTTACCCTGTAATGAAATATTTACAAAGATATTTAAAAAACAGATGTGTTGATTAGTTAGGACTACACATTTAAACAGACCATATTTTCGTTCGATTTATGTTTTTTCATGATGCTAAATTATGCTGCTGTTTCTAGGCTTAATTCACCTGAACTGTTTCGGTTGACGAGGATAGAGTTAAACCCATCATCACTGAATTCTATAAATCGGGTAAATTACTGATTTAAAAAATTCCGAAATCCATCACATCTGTTGTGTTGACATCAGCCGTGTTGGTGGTCAACCAGAAGCAGTGAGACAGTGTTATTTAAGTGCGCAGTGAAACGAATAAATGTACATGAAATGTGAACATTGATCAGTCAGAAGGTGCTAATTGGGATTGTTCACTAGCCAATATATTTGCAAATATCGCCATGGGCGCTTATGAGAGTGGGGCGCTTATTACGTTGAATACGGTATGACTAATTTTATTGATTATCCAATCAAATTCGAGTATTTCACATAGGCATTGTAGAATGTTGTTTACGACACTAGGTAGTGTTTTTAATGTTTTATTTATTTCACTGTTAAGAACCAGCTTCCTCGTGAACATCTCACGGTCGTGTACATCTCACGGTTGTGGTCTAGTACAGGCTTCCAACCATGGGATAAATGCATAGTGTGAGATAGGATATGTTTAAAAAATTTGAAATTTTTGGAAAGTATATTTATATACTTATCCTATCTCACTCGCTATAAGCATTTTAGCTCCTGTAGGCTGTTAGCTCTGAGAAAGAGAATGATGTGGCAGGGGTATTCACGTGATCAGGTCGTGTAGGTCGCTATGCACAGGATTGCAGTTTGTGACCCATTTGTTTACATGGTGACCAGGTTGGTCGGGTAGCCTAGTGGATAATCCGTTCGCTTGTCACACCGAAGACCCGGGTTCGATTCCCGACATGGGTACAATGTGTGTAGCCCATTCCTGGTGTCCCCCACCATGATATTACTGGAATATTGCTAAAAGTGGCTTAAAAACCATACTCACCCACATGGTGACCATGGTGATGCTGGGATGTGTTCCGGTGAATTGTTTTTTAGAAGCTGGAAACTTTGTTCAAGCACATTTCCACATTGGATCGAAAGAAGAATGAAGAGATGCATAGTGTGAGATAGAATAAGTAAATAAACATACAATTTATTGGAAAATTTCCAATTCGCACTGTGACTGTCTTGGGATGGAGAATGTATGCCTGTGTGTGTCACTTATACCAATTCAGATGTAGTCATTTCTACACTCAGTCGCTTAATTTTATTTCAAACACTGAACATTCAAACCATAATTGGC